TAACTCTTTTATTGAGAAAATTTGTAAAGACAAAATCTCTTACAATGCAGACGCATAAAAAATTTCAATGGGAACTCGTTTGATGATAAAATGCATCAAATTTAAAATACGGCTTCCATACGAATGAATGGGGTGATGATGAATTGATTTAGTGGTCCGTTGAAAAAGACACTACACTTATTAGGAAGTAGTTTTTCATCGCCATGTGGCGTGTACCACCTAGAATGAAACCTTTGATGTTTGAGGTTTCAAAATAATTACCCACAATATTATTTTATTACTAAAACTATAACATACGTACTAATTATTGTGGCTTCAAAAAAACACATAAAAAATTTAAACGACCATTGCGTGTCTATAACATCTGTTCTTAAGGATTAATAGATATCATTTCAATTAATTTTTTATTCCGTAACGCTTTATCTTCATTTAATGTTACGACACTACTTTATAATTGTAAATTCAAATTGGAATATCCGGCTCGAAGGACCATTTTTTATTTACTATTGAAGTCGCTTTAATGCTAACTAACTAAATCTGTACTTTTTCAGAATTATCGATAAATTATTGATACATGAAGCGACGTATTTGATCAATATTGCAGAAACAGCTCATGTGTTTTCCCCGAAATCCTCGTGATTAATGTTTTTACATTGTACACATTAAAATCATATATTTATCCCTATAGAAACCGATGACATCATCTTAAAAATTAGTAAACTATTTTCATAGTAATTTGTACGTTGTGAATGCGATTGAAAATTATTATCTGCGTGTAACTAATTAGTCAGTGAATTTAAATTTGTGTTTAATAAATCTGTTAGTTCAAAAGTGATTCATACCCGGGTCCATTTCCACAGCAACGCTTTATTTTATTTTGTGTTTGTAATACATTCCTGTAATTTTTCGGGAGGAGGAGCGTTTTAAACGCACGAAAACATGTGTTCCACAATCGATCTTCCGCAATGAAGGTTTTCAAGTGTTTACAGTATATTTATACAGTGGTTTTGTTTGTTCACCTCCGTCTTTTAAAGGCCGATTTCGAAGGGAAAAGAGATAAAATGGTCAAGCATAGAAAGAATGGAAACGAAGACAAGCCCGCGATGTGTGGTTCGTAGCGAGTCCCTCTTTTGCATATCACGGACCTAGCAAAAATGAAAAATTCCGTCGGATGAAAACTTCAACGAGTAATTTAAAAACGATCACACACTTCCTTAGCGGCGTTTACAAATTCTATGTAAATATAAAGTTTGTGGTGACGTTTTATCAGTAGGGCCGCTCGACGTGATGTATAGTCATCGCTCACAGTGCGGATATATCGAGAAATTTTCATGTGGTCACAGTTTGGTTAGTGGCCACACCTACATTATTGAATATATAGATAAACAATTCCGACCTTGTTGAAACTCGTCACCCACCAGTGATAAACAATTCAGATTTCAACATTTTCCTCCTACACCGAGGGAATCAAACAATATCGACAACCTTTAATACGAACGTAGCCTGTATCAGATCCAACGTTAATTTTTAAAAAATGACTCGATGTTCTTTGTGGCAAAGTCAACATGGAGTTAATCGAAGATGATCACGTATGCCTTTGAACGTGGGTGGTAGGCATAAATAAAGGGCATTAACGATATTAGCAAATGCTAGCGTATGGCTTTAAGAGGCTTCTTGGCGGGCATGTCCCAGCTTTAATTCTGCGAGACCTCACTTCAACTAAAAGGAGAGTACGTAAAACAGTGTAATTAGCCATTCAGAATTGAATAAAGCGGACTTTCTGCACTTATTTGAAGTCAAGTACGTACTCGAAAAGAATGGAATTTGAAATAGTTTGCTTGCAAAGGCACTTTGCAACTTATTCTAATTCCCGCCACATATGTGCTTCATTGGTTTTTCCCTCTAATGAAAATTTAGTTGCCGTCTAAGCGCGCCTTTGCCTCTATCGTACGTTTTAATGGCATTTTAATGACGACTGCTTTGATAAACACAACCTTTATATCTTGACTTCCACATCCCCGACACGTCAGAATAAACGCACATCTGAATTTTTTAAAACCCTCTGCTTAAAATTATATGTATCACACTAAATTATCAAAAATTTTATGGTCTAACCGTTGCCGAGAGTCTGATCTGCAACAAATATGAGAACTTCGGTTAAGGTGTTTCCACATTTTAATTATACTTATCTTAAAATATGCGTTTTTAAAATTATCGTTCGATAAGCGAAACTGGGAAAACCACTTTAATATTTAAAATTGTTTCTGGTTAAATGATAATGCATATAACAGTCATTTATTACAAGATAATTATTTATAAAGATGATTCATAGTGTTAAATTTAATAAATTAGAAAACTGCGTTCCTGTTCGTACTGATACGATAATAAGGAGGTTATCAAACTGTCTCCATTTACGATGACCTGCTACCATCAGTCGATATTTTATTCATTAAAGACTATTTAAATGGTTTTGATGTTTATTCTCAAAGTAAACCGAGCTCTTTTTGCTCTTTCGACGGCAACATAGGAAATAATTAATGATTATCCCTCAAAGTAGCCGATGTTGTATGCCACCTTGTCGAAATTGAAAAACCACACATAAATTTCATTTTGCGGAAGAAAATCGTGCATTCAAGTTTTATTGTGCCATAGAAAATCATATCACACACAATAGCATCACTGTTTTCATATTTATTAATTACTTTATTATAACTACACAACATGTGTAATATAATCCAATTTTCGAATATGCATCGAATATTTCAAATTGGATTTTGTTAACCACGTACTTCAGCAGTAATTGTGATTGTCAGTGTGGCATATATTTTAGGGTTTCGTTCAACGCAGTGGCGGCTCGTGACTGTCTGATGTGGTGAGGCGATGATAGAAGTTTGACAATAATAACATTAATAATAATATTAATAATCAAATTAATTAAATTAATGTGATTAATGCTAATTAGTAATGATAGAAGTCTTGCCCGAATACCGGTCATTTGCGGGTCAGTGGTAGGTCCTAATAATAATAATAATATTAATAATAACACCCATAACACATTTAATCAGCAATGTTTTTACAAGTCAAAATTTTGTTCAAACTAGGACTTTCTTGGAGGGATTCGGGAATAGTTGTTGTGTTCCTTTGTAAAGGTTTTAGGCCAATTGAAATTTTTAATATGTACTTTGGAACTTTCATGTAACTGTACTTCGGATGAAATTATTTAAATCGTTATTTCCCGGGACGTCAAATATTACGGCAGAGCTATTTATATGTTTCGTACCAAGTTGATTTAAAAGACTTGGAGTACTGACGATTCTGTCGCTTATCAATGAAAGTTAAATGAATTAACGGTTTTGACAGCTGGATATTTAGCAAAATTTGCCGACGTTCTAGCTCGGTTCGCCGTGAAAACGGCGTTTCAAGAAGGAACATGACGAAATGGTACTCGGGATTCATTTTTCACTCACCTACCTATGAAAGAGACAAAAACACGAAACATCAACACGTGGGCTTTTACTCACGTTCATGCTAATTACCCACGCACCCCGCAGCCCTTCCGTTCTGTAAAATAAATGGGAAAATGGTTTAATGAGTACTCCGAAAATGGCCGAGAAGCACCGAAGATATCGCCTCAGTTCCGACCGAACGCATGTATAGGAGTATACGAGCTGAGCCATGGAAATCCGTGTCTATGATTGGGCTTCGTTGGTTCAAGTGAACCGACGTTCTGGCCGCTTCAGTTAAAGAACTAGGAGCATAAATCGTACGGTATTTAACCGAAAATGTCAGCAGAAAGCGTAAAAAATTAAAAATCATATTTTTGTAACTAAAAATGCATTGAAAGCTCTTTTTTAATTACCAATTAAGTCAATCTGTTCTTAAGATATATGCTGTGAGGCGCCGCCTCACTTGCCTCATCTGACGAGCCGCCACTGGTTCAACGTATGTATCAATTATACACTTCATACGACCGTTTTAATTTTAAAATGGTATCGGACGAGATCGATTAATTTGCTTAACATTAGTGAAAGCGCTACTAATTTCTTTCTGATCAATGTGTACCTCTTCACAAAGTAAAAACAAGCTCGCTAAGAAACCTTACTTAAATTGGAAAATATACTTTGGGTAAGAAACTTATAATTCGTTTATCTTTAACAGAAACCTAGCTGTAGGGATGAAACGTTATTTATTTACTTACGAGTCAGTTTTAATGTTCGTTTTTTCAACGCTTCTAATTTTGTTACAGTTATGTTTTCAATATTATGTTTTAATTAAACTGTGTTATCGCTTTGGCGTCAAATTTTAATGAACACAAACAATTATTTCGGCCTCTCGTCCTTGTTGACAATTAATGCAAACTCTTCAAGGGTCAAAGAAAAGCGGTTCTTTGAGTATAAAAGTAGCGCGAATTAGTTCAAGTGATAAAAATTTTAGAGACAAAACGTTAAACAAACTACGAAATTGTTATTCCTAGCTCGCAGTTACACAACAAGTACGGTAGTCATCGCGGAAGGAGTTTACATTCGTAGGCGCCATTAGTACACTAATCAATACATACATAGCAAGAATTTATGCAAAAACGTTATTGAGCGCTATTTTTAGAACGCAGCTTCTCACCTGTTCGCGCACAAACCAATGACGTCACTTATTAATTGTCATGAACCGTATATTACTTGAATGAGTAAGACGAAAAGGTGTTGCAACAAGATACCTGATTAAACGGATCTATGCACATATTGTATATTAATGTGGAAAGCATGTCAAGGATTATTAGTAATTTGTAAGGAATAATTTTAAGTCGGCCTTTCACAAAGAAAAATACTTCCAACGATCCCTCGGTTACGTAAAGGCGCACATATGCACATGTACCGAAACAATAGAAATTATCACCTCAAGGTCACGCAAACGTTCGACGCATAGCGATGAAATTTTGGCGCTTGTCGCGGGGTCAAGTGCCATTCGAACTCGGGAGGATGTTACTAATCCGGCTTTTTTTTCAGAAGTGTACCGGTACGAAACGGCGTACGCATGCGAGGGGAAAACGCTCAAAATCGAATGCAAGGAAGGCGAGCTGATAAAACTGATTCGAGCTAATTATGGACGATTTTCGATAACGATCTGCAACGACCACGGCAACACCGACTGGAGCGTGAATTGCATGTCGCCAAAATCTTTGAGGGTTTTACACGGAAGGTAAGTGAGGACCGTTACTAACACTCAGCGCAACTGGAAAGAGATTTTATACTTTATTAAGCCAAAACGGTTCCACTAATTTTGTAAGTTTTTCGAGAGACGACTGTTAGAAACAAACACGGCCGAAAAAATTAACAATAGAATTAACTAGCGGCGTCACACTCGACTGCATTGTCAGAGATATTTCGGCCAACAAAAGTGTGGTGCAAGAAAAACTAAACACTGATGTATTTTTATGGCTCCATTTTTACTTGTCGCCACAACACTCGAAATTTAAAATAGAAGTTTCATTTGGGTAAATGCACGCTTGTTCGGATGACTCGTTGCTAAAGAAAGTAGCAACTTTGACGTGTCATAACCTCACTTTGTTCTTTCCAGTCAGTCGCTTCAAACGGAAACGTTTTATTTTCATTCGGTGAAATTTGACAAACCGTCCTTTATTTTTATAGCCTCTAACGTCGATTGTTATGTATATACGTTGAGAAGAAACCGGTCTTAAAAGCGTTTTAAGTTGACGAAAATGTGCACTGTAATTATTATTAAGTGTTTTTATTTACTCGCTAACGCTTGGCGCAAGAACGAAAATTAATATCGAACGACTTCAAGCAGATAAACTGTGTGTTCCTGTCAAATTTGCTTATTTATTAGGTTAGGAATGATCTTATTTTAGGGAAAAACGTGAATACTAATTTCTTAATTGGTTACCTAATTCCACGCCTACGTTTTTCTTATTTGCTCACGGACTTGCCAAGCGTCGCTATATTAATCATTTAATACCCAAAATAAGTCAACTTAAGGCGCTTTTACACGATTAACACATGTAACTAACTTAAATGTTTTCATTTGTACAACTAACATTGTCGAAATAAAGTCGCTTTGTGTTTCATTAACTCAGTGTTTTGTGTGCTTCCTTGTGTCTGCCAATATTGTATGTTTTTCGTTCTCATATGGGCTAAGTGGGTGCCATTTTGTCGATCGACGTCGACGAGTCGGCTCGAGCTTGAGCGAGCGACTTATACGTAAAAAAAAAAATTTCCGAGTGCTTAACATGTGTCTAGCTTTAGATTGTCCGAAGTTGTGTTGATTAACAAATTAATAGCATGAGTTTGATTTTTAAAAAGAGGGCGCCTTATTTTTTTCAGATGTAGTTTACAAAGAAACTGTTCTGTTGAGGTGAACAATGAGATTTTCGGCGACCCGTGCCCTGGAACAAAAAAATATATAGAGGCGCAGTATAAGTGCGAGGGTAAATGAAATTTCTGTCAAAACATACAATATTGTCAGAAACGAGGAAGCATCGTTGATGTCGTTAATTCGCGTTTGGTATTAGTGGTGGTTGTGTCTAACACATTGGTTGGTTGCCTTAGGTGTACCCACTATCAGAACTGCAGTATCCCGGCGAGTACGAGTATGTTCGGAGATCCTTGTCCTGGCACACACAAATACCTTGAGGCCCATTACCAATGCCTACCTGGTAAGTTAGACCCGACGCATTACTGTTTGTTCGACAAGATTCTACTCGAATTACAACACGCCGACATAAAATATACCTTATTCGAGTGTTACATCTTAATCTCCATGTCCAGTTTTTTCACATCGCCGAATTACACGTTTTACAAGGTTTCCAAGCAAAATCGACCCAACACCAGCTAATTCGCACACAATCGCTATATGCTTCCTCGATTTCTTACAACACTCACGCCAGAAAGCACAATTTTATAAAAAAATCTCGACTGTTTCGTCCGACTTCGCAAATAACTGTGCATTAATTTATCGTAACCGCGGCTCAAAACATTTTGACAGTCGCCGTAATAAGGTCAAGATGATATTTATGTCTAGCCAAGATTTATTTTGTGACAACTATTATTTATAGCTATTTTTTCCTCATAATGGCGTCATCCTTTTGGAACAAACGTAGAAGGTAAGCCGTATACCTGTGAATAGGTTCAAAATCTCGATGTGTGGCAACATCTAATTTAGCTGTCAAAATACTTGTCAAAATTGACCATAATTAAAGCAGCAAGTTTAAAGCGTGTATCATTAATGTAAATTAATTGAAATTACACACTAGAATTGATGAAAATTATAGCAACACGGCGAGAATTCTCAGAATTTTTTGTTTTGTTCGGGGTTTTTTGACACTTCACGGGAATCGCAGCCATAGACTTACCTACAACAGATATGTTAATCACATTAAATTAATTCGTCATTTTACACGACTTCATTCGATAAAAGAGACCATAGTAACTTTCAGATCACTTACAACCAACATCAATAGACTTAAATATACTGCGATGTTGTTGTTTTTTAAGTGAAGTTACTTTGTTCAATATAAAGCTATAAATATTCAGTTGTAGATAATAACCACGATCAACAGAATAAACGTCAAGTGATTACCGATCGTACTTTGACCACGCTTGTCAAATTCAAACGTCGAATCCCTACTTGACGTCATTTTTGTTGACCACATGGTTTTAAACTAATTAACTAAATTTCGATTATTTGATCTAAATAGGAACATTATTTTCAACTTCAGAGCGATATTTTGATGCACGGTTCATACCGCATACCCACTGTAGAAATATTGTAGTTTATTTAACAACAAAAGATATTCGACATTATTCGCTTTAAGTCAACAGTTGGTGAAATAGTATTAGACGCTTTGAAGTAGACGTACAAAGGTATTTCTACCTTTTCTATTTACAGACCAAGTAGAAAGGTTAAAAGCAAATAAAATTCCATTTGGTTCTATTACTAATTTTAAAATAAGTCCCGGTTAGCGCAGAGTAAATGCCGTTTGTAGAATCTGCACGTTAAATGTGAATTCATCATTCCCGTCACATCAAAAATATTTTATCTCATGTAATTACCTCAGAACCGAACATATTTATTTTGCAATTTAACAGGACGTTAAAAGAATTTCCGTGAAATTTATTAATTGAACCGAATCCAACATTTCACTCTAAATATACTGCACGACTTTTCGACCATTTGATCAAATTGTCTGCATTTATTCATGAAAATGTCGGTCTAGAATAAGAAAAAGTCGAACAATCCATTAAAATTTGAAACAATTCAAACAGAGAAAAGCTTATTGGAAAGGAGATTCCGGATTTTATAAAATTGTGCAAAGCAAACGACGCGTTACCACGATTCGACTCCAGCCGGGGATGCCCCTTGGACGAACATTTTTTGATGTGTGTTATTTAGCAACAACAACGACCACTACAAGCCGGCCCAGTCCTCCATGGTTGATAACGTCGCAACCGCCAATGTGGAACACCGTGAAGCCGTCGGCTCGCCCGCCCCCAGCGCCACCAAAAGTTTCAGCTACTCCGCCAACCAGACTTGTAACAACTGTTACATCTTCGACTACTACGTCCACGTCTCCGCAGCCGCCGCCTGCACCTCCGAGCGATCCTGAGAAGGACGACGAGCAAGAGCAGGAAGAACTTCCAGATAAGAACTACCACGAACCTATTAAACCTATTCCAGATGAAATAACGACACTGCCATACACCACCGTAACCCCGAAACGGGTGACCTGTATGTATCCCGTTATCCCGTCTAGGAGTTAGTTGATTGTGTTGGTTTCAGCGGATAGTACGTATCCTAATACTTTTAATCCAGCACCTAGTATACTGCCATCTTGGACCAAAGACTCTGAGACGAATCGCTGTAGTCCAAAGACGTTTCGTAGCATTTTTTGGAACTGGACTAAAGTTAACTCCACTGACATACAACCATGTCCTGGAGGTACCACGGGTTTTGCTAAGTGGCGCTGCGTCGAAGTTAATTCGGTGCCAACGTGGTATCCGGCCACACCAGACTTAAGTCAGTGTAGATCGGTGTGGTTGACGAGCTTAGAACAAAGGATCATGGCGGGAAGAGATCCCTTAGTCTCCATAACGAACGACTTGGCTCAAGTTACCAGCAGTAAAACGTTGTATGGAGGCGACATGATGATCACCACGAAAATTATACAAAAGATGGCGCAAAAGATGTCGCAGGATATTCAAACGTTCCCGGACACGAGACAGCGTGAAGCTATAGTTACCGAAATGCTGAGTGACGTTGTAAAGACTGGTAGTAATTTATTAGACTCGTCACAGCATCCTTCGTGGAGGGACTTGAGTTACAAAGAGCAAATGAGAGTAGCTACGTCCCTCCTTATCGGGCTAGAAGAAAACGCGTTTCTTCTAGCTGATACGGTCATGAGGAAAAAGACTGTTGATCAGATTGTTAAAAATATAAGTAAGTTAAGTTAGTAACTCAATTGTAGGCTTCGTAACGAGCGTTTTGTTCCAGTGTTGTCGGTGCGTGTCTTAGAAACCAAATCTGTTACAACAGAAGTATTTCCTTCGGACAACAAGTGGTCCGCTAGTAATGATTCCATAGAACTTTCACAAGGAGCATTACAAGAAAACAGTGACGGCGGTTTGGTTCGGCTTGTTTTTGTCGCGTTCGACCGATTAGAGGAAATTCTACAATGGCAGCCGGATTCTTCCGAAACTAATAAAAACGTTACTAGAATGCTAAATAGTAAAGTGATTTCGGCGAGTTTAGGCAAAGGGCGCCATATCCAGTTGCGAGAACCGGTGAGGTTGACACTCAGACATCTACAAACCGAGAACGTGAGCAACCCTTCGTGTGTCTTCTGGGACTACACTTCCAGCGCATGGTTGGAAGAAGGTTGTCGCGTGGAATCCACCAACAGGTCTCACACTGTATGTCTGTGCGATCATCTAACGAACTTCGCGATTCTTATGGACGTCCACGCTATCCAGCTACCGATACCGCATCAAATTGCTTTGAAAATCATAACATTAGTCGGATGCATAATCTCAATTATATGTCTTATTCTAGCCATAATAACCTTTCAGTTATTTCGAGGCCTCAAGGTAATTAGTTTTGAGAAATGTTTCTAGTTCTGACGATGTGCTTTCAGAGCGACCGAACAACAATACATTGCAACTTATGTATCTGCCTCTTGATCGCCGAGTTAATTTTTTTAATAGGAATAGGTCAGACTGAAAATAAAATTGTGTGTGGGGTCATCGCCGGATTCCTGCAGTATTTCTTCTTGTGTGCTTTCATATGGATGTTCTTCGAAGGTAAGTGTTCGCGGTTTGTTCGTAGTTTGTTCATAACGCGTTGTTATCCAGGTTTCCAATTATATGTGATGTTGATTGAAGTGTTTGAAGCTGAGAAGTCTAGAGTAAAGTGGTATTATTTTTTCGCTTATGGATTACCTTTGGTCATAGTTCTTGTGTCGGCTGCTATTTATCCGCAGGGTTATGGTACCGAACAGCACTGCTGGCTGAAAACAAATAACTACTTCATATACAGTTTTGTCGGGCCCGTTATTGTAGTGCTTTTCGTAAGTAACCTGATTTCCTCTAGTTTCGTCAGCGCTAATTTGTTTTTGTTTCAGTTGAATCTTATTTTCCTAGGAATGGCCGTTGTAATGATGTGCCGTCACGCGAGTGCTTCTGTGTCTATTAAAAACAAAGAGCACTCACGTCTTGCAAGCACCAGGTAAAATTCATTAACAATTTATTAGTAACAAAGATAAATGTATATAATAAATGTTGCACAATTTGGGCATGGTTTAATCCAACTGTCGTAGGTTTTAACGTTTTATTTCATTTGGTAATTAAACAGTGGTGTGGTTATGGTAATAAGTGTATTTGGTTGGACTGTTGAGGTTATAATTGTTGAAATAAAAAGAAAGTTTGTGGTTTGGTCTTATTCTAATATAAGTTCTTCTTTCTTGCATGGCGATCTTATCCTATGGTAGTGGAAAGGAAGAAAATGCACTTCAAACCAAATTTCAAGCTCACTTGTAAGATTTTCTTTATTATCTCTCGCTATCGATATTAGATTTTTGATTCTTATTAACCATCCTGCATGTCATTAGTTAAATTAGTTTTGCATGAAGTAATAGTTAACTCTTTATCTAACGAATCAACCCGATATTGACGTCTTTAATTTGTAGGGCCTGGTTAAAAGGCGCTATAGTGTTGGTGTTCCTCCTCGGATTGACTTGGACCTTCGGTTTCCTCTACCTCAATCAAGAGTCAGTGGCCATGGCATACCTGTTCGCGTTTTTGAACTGTCTACAAGGATTCTTCATCTTCTTATTCCACTGCGTGCAAAACGAGAAGGTCAGCTTTCCCTCAACCCAACCCATTACCCACTAACTCACTTGCCGTACAGGTCCGCAAGGAGTACCGCAAGTTCATCCGCCGTCATTCGTGGTTGCCCAAGTGCTTGCGTTGCTCAAAACCTAGTGGTGGCGCTGGCAGCAGCAGCGGTAGTTCCGGACTGAACAAGGAGCGCAGAACAAGTATTTACGCCGGCTCAAATGGCAATCCCTCTGGTACAAACTCGCATTCGACCGACAATTCGGTGTTGTCTCCACATGCAACTAGTGTGGGTACCAACAATATAGTCATCTCCAATAATCTTAATAACGTGCGTCCTACCGCGCTAGTCCAGGTTCTAACTAGAACCGATCTCAACAATGCTAGTACCACCACTACCAACCACAATCGACTGCACAATGTTTCTCAACAAGGTACTATCCTGCTTTAACCATGCAGCTCTGTCTATTAATTTATGTAGCTTTTCATAGTCTTCACTGAGTCACCACATTCTTCCACAAGGACAAACACGCAATAATACTGTAGATCAGTGATGCGTTGTTGCCGTTTTTGCACGAACAAGTTTAAAAAGCCAGATTTTTCAAGCACAACTGCACTATCAAAGTCATAGTTCCATTAGAGTCAATCACTGATTTAATCTTAACACTACATCAAGTTCAAGCGTTTCATATAATTTTCAACAGTAATAATTAAAAAAAATTGATATTAACCGCATTTACCGATTCTGTGGCAATAAATAAAGACATTTTTTCACACTTTTGAGTTGTCTAAAATGCGTAAATAACAACATTGATGCAAAATTATGACCCGAAGGTGTTTTTAACACTCTTACTTTTAAAATTTTAAAGTGTGTTCGACAAAATTAAGGTTATGTCAGATTGTTTCACAGCCAGTGAATTAAAGAGTGTTTAACGCGAAACCACAAACTTACCGTTGAAGAATCACTGTCGAAACACTAAAATTTTGATTTTAGTATGATTTAGTTTGTAGTTTTTACGACATTTTGTTATTTGCGTACTACCAATGTATACGCATGCGCACTTTAATGCTGCGAATCGTAGCCCACTATGTTTTTTAAAAAATATATTCTTGTAGATATGTTTAAGCTTGAACAAACGGTTTCATACTAATTAGTGTTTATTTAATTAAGACTTTGTAGTTATGTTTATTGCAAAGATCCGTAGTCTAAGAGTCAGGAACGCAGTTTAGTGAAGTCGAAATGTCACTCTTGGGATACTCAGAGACTTTGTATGCATAGATTGGACATGTATCCGTTGAAGGTTTATTTAAGTAATGTAACTTGAGAACTTGTTGCCGTGTCGGCAAAAGACCCGAATTGCTTAGAAGCGGTTTAGACGTTTAGTTGATTTGTGGTTGTGGCGACATAAAATATGTGGAAGATCTGGTTTTTGAAATTTGTCAGTGAAGTTTAGCGACGACACAACTAATTTGGGCATTTCATCATCATACGTCAGTCATGATCGACTATGTAGTAGAGTTGTTAGATTGTCCGATGTGGATTGTGGATCCTGTTTCAGTCTGTCGTCTAATGAACATGAGTTGTTTGAGCTGCTTACTAACTCGCGTGTGGTGCTGTGGTGGTGCGTGCATTGCGCGCCCCCTCTTGGCATGTGTCTTGTCTTTTTTGGTTTGGTAAGACTTTTGTTTTTTACTAACGCTTCCTACTTGCTTACTGACGACGATAGGTGAAGGCGCCCTCTGTTACAGTTGCAGCGAGAATGGAACTCCCGGAGTTGCACCAACGTCAATCGCATAGGCAGAACACCTGTGCCCACCTCTACCTCGGGCACCACGGCTGCTACTCTGTGTCGCCCAACCCGAGACGGCACACAAACACCCCCACCCGTTCTTGAACCTCCAAACACTTCCACGTTACCTTATATTCGTAATTTTTATAAAAATTCCACAATCACTCCAAATTTACCCAAATCGGCCTCCACATGGGGTCCTCTTCACAAGCCCTTACACTGGAAGGTGCGTAGCACAGCGCCCGCTCCAGACCAAACCCGTTGAGGGCGCGTGTCTGGGGTTGGTACCGAGTAGTAAAGCCTGCATGGTGACGTTAACCCCGTTTCCTCTTCTGTTCTTATATTCTTCCGCTTATTTACTAATTTTACTATTGTATCAACCCGTCGCCCCCACGCATTTAACATTTTGTTTCTATTTACTTGCAGAACATTTCTTTTAAGTCATATAGTCGCGATTCGGGTCATGGAGGATCGGAGCAGGAGGATTCCCCCAGATCGCATACGATCGTAGCCGACACCAGGCTCAACAATGCCAAAGATGCGCGTCGCCAAGCCTATGTATCATCCGACTGCAATCAAGCTATCATGGAAAACAACATCCAGCTGAACTTCCCGGACTACAACAGAAGACACGACACCATACCTCATCCGAAGCACCTTCCTCTCCCGCAGAGCCTGCAGCCGCACGGAACACGCAAGAAAAACGGAAACTTCTCGAAACCGGGCAACCACTGGCCGCACCACACCTACACCGAGATTTACGACGGACGGTCACCGAGAGGACTGGCGCCCGAGGACGATCCGGTGTACGAGGAGATAGAACGGAACGAGATTCAGGTTAGTGACATGAGCGACGAAGACGGAAAGCGCCAGAGCGACATGAGCCGACAATCATCGCGTTCATACGGAGACCACCGACCACTGATTCCGTACAGTCCCGGGACCGACCGCAGCATTCTGGAAGCCGTGAAGAAGGAACACAACCGGTACCCGCAAGATGTAGACGGTTACAGGATGAGACCCAACATGTACCGAGGTGACACCGTGAGGTCCCTAGCTGCCGTTTTGGACGGCGAAACTGTAGTGTGCCATTTAGAACCACCCGAGATGTACCCACGTGACCCGTATACGTCCCGAACTCTGGTCCTACCCCAGTATAGTGAGAGTTAGGAAACTGCCATTTGCAAGTGAATATCTGTGATTTTACACATGATCAGACTTTCGGTCATTATTATTTAAGTTAGTAAAGCTCAGCTTGATTGAATGAAGGAAAGTGATAATTTTATAATAGTGAACTATTTTAATAAAATATTTATGTGAATACGAATGTCTCTTAGATGTGAGTTATTCCAGTCAACTTGTTATAATATGTTATTATTTTTCCTTTTTTTTTATTGTAAATTCTTCTTTCTTTTTCTATTTACTATTCACTGTTAGCTCAACTTTACCGTCTTCATTATACCATTATTTTATTAATAGCTAAATTGTTATTCAGAGTTTTACTGAGTTTATCTTGTAGTGCTTTTTAAGCCATACTTAGCCAGCACGATGTAAATATAGAAATAAAACGTTTTCTAATAAATATAAACTCAGCACTTCCCTTCCGATAACTTTTATTTATTTATTGTATTTAATTTTTGAATTGTGAAACATAACTGTCTCGAAATGATTGTTTTTTATTTTCGAAATTATTTAGTGAAAACAATGTATTTATGTTATATTGTATATATTGTATAGAGCTTTGTACATGTTGATTGAATGGTACGATATTAGTCAGGCATAAATTGTTATTATTGCTATGTTCATTAACACATAGCTAAAATAAACAATACACCATTATACAAAACAATGTATTAAATTTTAAAATTAAATCACAAAGTCTGACCAATAAAATTAATTTTCTTGTAGAGATAGAACTTTCTATACCCATCCCAATATTTCCATCATTAAATAGGCAAACACGAGTTCAAAACCATTGAACAAATCAAAGTCAACCATAATATTTAAAGAAACAAAAGTATAAAACACACTTCAAACATACAAGTTGTGCATACCCCTGCGACGTCACTGCCATGCGCGCATGCGCACTAAGGACAACGTCATACACATTTGGCGGTCTTTTCAAATGTTATGTACAGAATTCTTATAAACCATCTATATATTTTGTCTCAGTACATAATGTTTAAAGCCATAATGGCATAACAGTCTCTTAAATAATGTTTCACTGCTATTAAAGACTGAATTTTGCCTAGAAAATGTAATCACACTCTCCCAGGTGGTGTTTTTAGAACAACTAAAATCATGTCAATTAAAAACTTGCCTTAAAAATTAAATTATTGTTTAAACAAGTTCCTAGATCCTTAGCGAATGTACACTAAACATCTAACAAAGATTAAACTAGTGTTTTGTAAAAGAATCTTCTTTTGATTATTTGGTACGTACATACTTTGATAAAATTAGTTTCATAATTGTTGAATACTTTAGATGGAATAAAAATTAACCACGGACTTCGCCAAGTTCGTTAATCGCACGTAAGTATATTTAGAAGTATGATTTTGTTAAAAAAATATAAATCAAAAGAAAGGTAAGTCTTCATAGTTAGTACACATACTAATAATACGTACAATAACGTTGAAATAAAATAAATAAATACGTATCATAATTTACTTTATTTATAACGACACAGTTAACCAATTTTAAATCAATTTATAAAACAAGGTGAAATTAAGTTTCATGGTTTGATGTGTTAACAGTGTTACACCACTAAGCTCCCACTAACAAAAGTTTCCTTTTTTCTAGTCTTGTACAAACTCTTGAAATTTTAAAGCACCTAGTAAGAGAAGTCATAATTAACAGAATGATTTTATTTTTGCAATATAAATTTTTTACAATTGTAACAAACTGAAGAATATTATATTGCTATATATATATTTATTTATTTATATATATAGATAAAATAGTTACAGAAATTTTTAATTTAAAATTATACAATTATGCTCCGTTGGATGTAAGAAAAATATTTATTGAACATTATTAAAACAGTTCATTGTGTTCCGAGATTTGAAGCAACAGGGTTTTACATTTACTGGTATTTATAAACTATATTGTAAAAATAAATATAATCAGCAACAGAATGAAGTGTTTTTGAATGCAAATGATCAATAAATATTTGACAAGACCAGTTCTAGTATTATTCTACTTGTTACAATGCTTGTTAAAAACGCAACTAAACAACAATTCACATAATCTGAAAGAACTAAGTAATATTAGCTTTGAAAAAAAAAGTGGGAACAAAATGTGCAAACGTATATTGTGATATCCGCAATTGACAATTTTGTACTACGGACAACATCAATAAACAAATTCCTAAGCCTTACCTTATTATAACAATCTACAAATAATACAAGATCTTCACGTTTTAAAATGTTTAAAAGCTGAAGATTTTTTTTTATAGTAAAAAATAGAGAAAAGTATTATTACACAGTCAACCATTCCTTTTACACTGTTAATCAATGTTTTTTAAAAGATATCCTTGAGATATCACACTAACTAACTGCAACGAAAAGTCCAGTACTAATTAAAAATTGAAATTAAGACTTCCAAGTCGCTAACACAGTTTCATCTGAAATAAATATTTTAGAATGTGTATTTCCAACTAAACAAACAGGAATCCAAGAAATTCTGGGGCTCGCCGTCGATTGAATTATAAAAAAAATATATGATAATAATTTAACAGCCCCTATTATTTATTAATAACTAATTCACATCATACATTTTCTCCTCTTTAATTCTCATCTTTCTCGAATTTCATTTTCTTACTAAACATGGGGCGTTCTTCTTGTAAACGCTTCGCTGATTTATTTGTTGTTTGCGAATCTGAAAAAAACAAAAAACTTAGCAAATACCCACAACAAAAAACATCTACAAACCTTGCAACCACCTAACTTGGGTCGCAGGTCCGTAACCTTTATCATTTTTAGCAGCAATTCTAAATATAATCGCCGCCTTTGTTGACGTGTCCAAATGGGCAGCTGCTAAAGTTGAATTCGGAACCACGCACGAACTGTTTGGTCCGCAGTACACACGCACGAAAGCCAATTGCACAGGAGGAGTAGCTTTTTCCTTAAAATAAACTCGTTAAAACATCACGTTACACCGTTCGATGTCCTACTCACTTTTCCGCGTACGGCAAGGTAGACGGAGTACTCCAAAATATCACCTTGATTCGAACTAGGGGGTTCCCAGGAAAGTTGTGCACCATCTCCCGATTTGGCGATTTTAATGGCAGATGGCGCTCCCGGGAAACCTGGCAGACATGTTTTAAAAGCAGAGACCTGTCGAACTAGATTTAGTACGGATGCGTAAAGAATTTCTAATGATTACCTCGCTCCAGTCACCCACGCCTACTGAATTAATGGCAGCCACTCTGAACTTGTAAGCGGTGCCAGGTTCGAGATGGATCCTTGGGAAAGCAGAAAGGTCGGGCAAATTATCAACCGTCAAGTCTGAATAATCGTCCAACATAAAATAACTCAATACGTCACAACTGTTGCCTTTGATGAACCCGACTGTGTGCCACAGCTCTTTGTTTACGGTTTCTGGTACGTTATTCACATTATCAGTCTTTTTAATTTCTTTTGAGTGGTCTAATGCGGCCGAAGCTAAGGCAGATAAGGCATCTCCCTCTTCTTTTTTCACTTCGTCGAGGAGAGTGCCCTCTCCTGTCGCGTTCTGTCCCTCGGGGAACCCCCCCATGTCTTGGTTACTGGCGAACCCAGCCGCCAGTTCGCCGTCGAGTGACGAAGGATCGAACTTCTCTTCCTGTTCATCCATACTCTCTTCCTTGATGGACCCCACCTCCATCTTCTCGCCGTCCCCAATAGTGCCATTCATCGACGTCGCATCCGTCATATTCTCGTCAGTATTTACAGCCTCGTTATTTTGATTATGAGTCATCTCTATCGAGTCCTTGCTACCGCCTCGCAGACCCATTTTATAATTGAACGGTTTATACGGGGGCATGCGCGTCGAGCCGCCTTTCAACCCCAGCGTTTGATTTATCCCGTTGTTATCGAACAAGATGGCGGTCGCCTCTTCCGGATTCGGCGATTCCGTGGCGGTCGAAGGAGGCTCCACGTTGTTGTCTTCCAACTGTCTGATGAGGTTCTGTTCGGCGCTCTCGCCGCTCTCGTCGACTACCGAAACATCCTTCACAGGCTTTGGATCGATCAAACCTGCCTCGGCAGCCAGCGCGGCCAACGCGGCGTCCGTTGTTGCCGGCCCGTCGAACGACGAAGACGCTACGACATACGTTACAAAACCGAAAAATAAAAAAAAAAATACTGACCTATCGTCGCCGTGGGCTGCTTCGGACGCGAAACTACCACCAACTTTGGTTGCTCGGCGTTGTTCGACGAAGCAATTGTCGAGGTTACGGGCAAACGGACTATTTTACCTAAGCCCTGCTGTGGCTGCATGAGGGTCACTTTGTTACCTCCGGCCATCTGAACGGTGACCGGTTTGCCGCCGATCATCACCTGTTTCTAAAGAGAGAATTTTGCATACTAATAAAATTGTCTTGCCTATAAGCATCGTTAATTACTAAAATTACACAAACAAATCATTGCAGAAGATGTAATAACTGGTGCCCGCCGAAATATTTTCACACTTTCGAGGAAAGAAGGTAATGGACTTACTGTGTTTTTGGATATGGTCAGCGTTTTTGGAGATCCGACGACAGTCATGGGCATGGACAGTGTGATGGGCTTGCCGATTTTGACGCCCTGTATTCCGGTGATGGCCGACGAGGACGCGATCGGTTGGACATTGACGGTCGTGGACTTGACGGTGGGTACGGTTTGAGCATTGGTGACCGATTGCATGGTTCTGATGCCGCTATTTGAACTAACGACTATGACTTGTTGGTTGTTGATGGTCGGGATTTGTCCAGTGGCGTTCTTAGATAGCATTAGTTTTCCCGTCGCTTTGTTCATCTGTATAAGATTTGACGGTATGGCTTTGACCGTCGTCAATACTTTACTAGTAGGATTGCTAGGCATGATTTTGACTATCGTGTTCTTAGGTTGTTGGGGCGATTTGTTCTGAACTACGGTGCCGGGTTTAGGCAAGGTGGCCAACGTCATTCCCGTGCTAGTTTTAACTAATGTGACAACTTGCTGTTGGATGCCACCTTTTTGGATAATACTGCTGCCTTTTTGAACTATGAGTGGTTTACCGGCCACTTGTGATGTTTGTCTGATTATAGGTCCTGCGGTCCCTTGGACTCGAACGGGGGAGGCTGGAAGAAATTTGGTTTGTGAGTATCAAGACGAAGGAACGATCGGGTCGTGATAATCACCAATTTTGATTTGAGATGTTTGTGGGGCAACAGTAATTTTTTGGGTAGCAGCAGCAGCTGCAGCTAGTGCCTGAATGCCTGACAACATACTAGCTTGTGTGGGATCAGTATTCACGGCACTCTGTGGAGGTGCAATTAAGAGTGGAGCACATGCTGATGTATTTTTCACCGCATTTCGAACTATAAATAATAAGAACACTGGTTATTCAAGTACAAAAAAAAAATTGATCAGTTTTATGTAATGAAGACACGTCAATACCCACATTCGAGTTAATCAGATCCAAACTACACCCAAAAACAACAAAAAATATATAAATAATAATAATAACAGTGTTTGTTCGTTCGGATCTTAGAAACCAGAATCGGGCACCTCGCTTCATCAATAAAACTTTCTAATGCAAGATAAACAAGAACCTCTACACTCAACAGCAAATCAAGCTTCGCGCTCACGTGCTTTACTTTTTGACAAACACCAAAAAAAATCATGCATTAGTCAAATTAAAAGAGAAACGAACAACCGTTTTGAGAGTTTCAAGAGTGAGTACATATTAAAAAGAAAACTCCAAAATACAGGTGTCCCAAACACTGATCTACAGGCCAACATCATAGCCACTTAAAAAAAAGGGGGTTACCGTTGCTCGTTACGTATCGATGGCGGGACATTGGCCTGTCACTGCTGAACTTTTGTTATTTTCCCCACAATTCGCGTCACCAAATCAATTATTATTTCTAATTTGTAGACAAATTTGTTATTTGTTGAAGTCATGGTGCGGAAATATTACCTTTGATAGGTGTGGCTGCCTTCGGTGGACTGCCGACGGGATTCGTGGTCTGAACGACGGGTTTCGCTACGGTCACAGCCGGTGATACTTTAGCCACTGGCGTTGCCTTCGACGAAGCCAGCAGCGGAGGCACTGCAGAGGCTGCGGGCACAGCGGCAAGTGCGGGGGCTGCAGGAACTGGCTTCGGCGCAACGTTAGATGTAGCGGAAGGCGTCGGTAAATCGTACTTTTGAATCTGGCAAAAAACAGGGGCATTAGCGCGCAAGCAAGCGGATAAAATCAATGGCGTATCTCTACAGAAGCTAAAGTTATGTGAATAGAACTTCCCACGCCCCTAAAGTACAAACACATCCAGAAATATCTTAAATTTCTTTGAGTCCCCCTGTATAAACAGTTCCAAAAAATATGAAATTGTGATACACCACATGGTATTGATATTGTGCACAATTTAATAATTTTTCGGCAAAATTATGGCATGACATCATCAATGGGGGGGGGGAAGCTCTTTCCGGGACGGCAGACGGAGAAACGGGGGACTTATTTCTTCGTACTCTAGGGGTCATGAAAGGTTGAGAAAACGTAAAGTAGAGGGTCGGCCGACGGACTCGAATACAATACTTCTTTCGCTTACATGTAAATAGCAAAAACGGCTGACGACCTGACGTCCACGCTTCACATACCTGCAAAATATACAACTGCACCGAGGGTGAGCCATTCCAATTGACCTCCAAAGAGTGCGTTCCTGCTTTGACCAATGATACCCTACTAGGAGGAGCGGGTCGATCTACTTCAAGGTACCACATATCTTTACAACACACCTACCAATTGATCACAGTATTATACCACACGAGGACTTCCAATATTCAATCTCAATACCTGATTTTTCCAAGCTTTTCTGTATCCATCGCGTCCGGACCAAATATATAAACGCGTACTTACACCCACAGAACAATGTCCAGCTCTAGCGCATGGCACATTCTCTTCGCTAGCGTCAATATTGAGCTGCTCCCAACTCATAGTTTCTACAAATAAAAAATTATAATGTCAATTTTTTTTTATTTGATTTAATTTTTGTCAATACCTAGATTGAGACACGCCATGGTGCTCGTGCATTTCCATTCCTTCTCGTTGGTGGACGTTTTAACTTCGTCCGCTACAACCGGTACCCAACCGCCGAACACGAACATCCGGTGTCCGATTAACGTGGAGGTATGGAGCGACCGCGGCAGCGGAGTGGTTCCAGAAATTTGGGGTTTGCTCCATGTGCGAGTTTCAGTCTCCAAAAACCACAAATCGCCCAATCGGCAACCGCTCATGCCGCCGTATATAACCAAAAACGACTTATTATTTTTCTTATCGCAATAAGCTACACCCGTGTGAGATTCTCTCGGCGGAGGCGACGAACCGCTAGTTATAGGAATATCCCATTGAACGGGAGAGGTACGTATATCCAAAGTATATAAATCATTCAAGTATCTCGGCACATTGTTCTTGGGGTCAGCACTATCGTTTGCTAGACCGCCAAATAAGTAGACTTTGTTATTCACAAGAGTGAAACTGTGACCCAAGCGCGGGCAAGGGGCAGGCCCGGACTTCGGTGGCTTAGGTTTTAGGCGACGCCATTCCCATTTTGATGCCTGGATCAAACAAAGATTATTGCGGTTTTAACCTTGAACGTAATCGATCTAATCGCAAGCTTCATTACGCAGATTAATCTGGGACCACTATTACCTGCAGCTCGTATAGTTCGTTGCTGTACTTTCCGTACTCTACCATGCCACCAAAAACCAATAAGCGGGTTCCGTCCACCACGAAACCATACGCCGCACATCCCGGAGGAACATCGCCTTTTGTCATAGGCACGAACCACTGGTTGGTCGCTGAAATTAACACAAATATACGATTATTATTATTATTATCAATCCTCAATCTGGACCATTTTACTGCATCATTTACTAGTATAAAACAATCGTACCAAAGAAACATGAAATCGTATTACTGACCAACTTATCAAGACAAACCCACGTAAACATAATACAATAAAAACTCATTATGTACGGTATTTTTCCAGCAACTAATACCATAGAAAGCAAACAAAATTTTATTCGTGTGGATAAGATTGACGTCTACTTGCATTTCTTTGCTTCGTTAACGAATACGCGTCAGACGTAATGACGTAAATAATATGGAAACGTCACTTCTACGCAAAGGTACTTAGGACCGTAAGGTATTGTGGCGATCGACAAGAACGTGGTTGTCTGACAGTCAGTCTACAATAAAGCAGCGTTCGATCAGCATTAAATTATTAATCGAAATATATTAGTCACGTGATCGATTTTATCGTTTAAAAAACACAACCCGGTACTTATAACGCTGGTCACCGCAGCTTATTTAGAAAGTTCGTCGACTCTCACGAAATTTGCAACACTGCAAATCCGAGGTTTAATTTTAAAACGTCTGCGTTTGGCGTAAGCCGTGGAGTTAGAATATAGTTTGGTTTGTAAGGCCGTCCAAAAAAACTCTTATCGTCCTCCAAGCATATTCTAACCTCACTTTTTGAAAAAACGATGTCTGCGAACTTGGACTGTGTTAGCATGAAGCCGGTTTTGGGGTTTTATTGTTTCACCGTGTATCACTCAAGAGTGTCATTAAATGGAATGTATTCGATATTCGGTGAAATTAAACACGGAGCAATATTGTGTGGATTGAAACGCTGAGTGTGAGTTTTGTAAAAGTGGGTTAATCAAATCGGTGGCTTGAGGTTATGGCGGAGGGGGAACGCAGGTTAGCGAACTTAACCTTTCGAGAGTCGCTTAAGAAAGTTGTTGAAAATTCTCGAGCCCAATGGGACTTTCGTAATGAAAAATTGCAGTCCGGTCCCTATAGAATGTTGATGTTAGGCGGCCATGTTTGTTTTCGAACCAAACAATACCGAAAAAATGCGACATTTGAAATGAACAATAACACTCGTTGACTTTTCCGCAAACAATTGAAATTTTGGGGGTGAAGGGTTAGGGGGAGGCGCGTGTACGGTCGCGGTGTGGGGTAAATATAAATAACAACAATCTCCGCGCCATATTTATCGGGGTGAGCGAACATACCCGTGTTATAAACATGGAGTTCGTCGACGATTCCTTCGTTGCCGCCGCCGAAAACCACCATCAAATCTTTGATAGCGACAGCCCGATGTCCATGTCTCGGCCGAGGTTGAGGGCCAGTGGTATTAGCCACACATTTCCACTGTAACGCCTTACCCGCCATTACGTGATCACATTGCACATAACCATCCACAAAGCCAATCGGAGCAAGTTTGCAAATTCAAACGTGGACACGGCCGAAAACGGCCACCGTTTTAATCACTACACCAACACACAAAATATCGTTACTTCATACAAAAACACACTGGACGTCGAACTTTTACAACATTCATCGAAATAACTACCCTTTCCTAAGTTTAGCGGCAAAACCATAGAAAAGGTTTTCGTCAAATCGGCTTAGAAGGAACGCGTAGAAACACTCGATCGGTAAAACAGAGGACGCCGCTGACGCGCGCCATCTTTAAACAACCTACTCGGATGAAAACGAAATCTACAACGACACTACACCAAAGAAAATCAAAATTAACACAAATACACGAATTATTGGCACACACATGTACACCAACTAACTACGACATAGAAAAACACTTTGCAACAAATTTCAACACTGAATTAACATTAATTCTTGAATTCTTCGACTGACGGGCGACACCTTGCGAAAATAACCCGAAAAGACACTCACACACGTATGAATAGATCACTTCATGTCGGACTCGTCCAACTTGTAGAAAGTAGGGGAGGAAGCTCAGTACACAGAGATGTACTCAGAACATTGAGCCCACAGACTGCGACCTTTTCGTTGAAAATTTTAATTCGCACAAGTCAACATGAGACCGAATAACCACCCGAGCAAATATTCGCATTAGTTTTTCTTTTTTATTAATTCCAGAGAACAGCCATTTTGTGTCACATTATTAATATTAATTCCAGCTGGCAGATAAGATGAATTAAAACACAATATTTCGTCAACTACTGTAATTTTTACCAAAAAAGACCTACTATGACTCCGTTGTACAAAAACAAGGTTTAATACAAAGTTTGCAAAGAGTTTCAAAAACAATGCATACAAAATATATATTTCATTTTAATAAATCATACCATGGACGTCGAATTCTAGAAATTTTATCTCATGAATCACACAGATATGATGTGAGCAGTAAAACATGTACTCGACAACGATTTCAGTTGAAAAGAGTTATGTTTCACGAACGATTTAAATATTTCTCGAAACTTATAAATGTTTTATCAAGCCTGATGTCTTAGTATTGTGATAACATCGATATGCTATGGTAAAGTGGGTGCAATTTGTACCCCAGTTGATGTTTACTGTTTAAGAATAAGGCAATTCTTATTAGGCTTTTCATTATTTTTGAAATTAGGATGCGAGGTTGCCACGATATTTCAACCGTGTAAAGGTTAAAAAAATTCCATCGATATTTCAGTTTTTTTAACAGAACGTCATCTACTTTATTACTTCATTTTACTCAATTTTGTGTACTTTTTCTTTCAATATGTCGGTGTGGCTCTTAAATAAACAAAAAATAGCAGTAACCATCAACTTTCTCGCAGAAACAGAATAAGATAGTAATAAATTATTGTTGTATATACACGCTGTACACTAAGACTCAGTTTTATTTATACCAAAAAATATTGTAACATAGATTTTAAAAATAACCCTTTTGGGATTTTTTGTTAACTAAAAAACTTCAAAAAAATTGAATTCCAAAAATAATCTGTAGTTATAAAGCCAAAGCAAAGTCAATAATATGTAATATGCAGAGTATTCCAACTGAAAAAACTAAATTGTGTGTCGCGTTTTAAAAACAGACACTTTGTATATCTGGAAATAATTGTATTGTATGGTCCTCAAAAACCATACAACCTTAATCTTTGACTTTTCCTATTTCTAATAATTAATCAGATATTGAGAAGCGCGCTTAGTGACTCAGCCGGTTTGTCGTCTAAAAATAGGTATACATTCTATTTAAAACGTGTAATCAGTAGCTATATTCATAATAACAATTCTTGATTAAAAAAATATTTTGCTTCATGGAGTTATTAATGGATCAAAAATTCTGAAACAACAAATTTCGAAAACAAGCTTCTAAAAATTTGACGATACTTACTTAGCACACTGAACTTTGTTTATTATAAGTTTCATTCTCTATACCTTGTACATGATAATTTTTAGCAGTGGGCATGGTATCAAATGTCATGAAAAATTGAGAATTAAGAAATTTATCACTATCAGTGCTAAATATATATACAATGAAATGATAACTAAATTTGACGGGTATTTTTATTATATGTATTGCATACCCAATTACCGATACTCAAGAACCATCAAGAACTTTGTCTTTCGATTAACCGTATCAGTCAGTAAGGCTTCCATGTTTTAAAAGTATTTGATAACACTGACAGAATACGAAATTATGTATGAATAAGTTTCACGACGCCAATTAAGGCGAAACAAAATGATTCAAAAGTAAAATTGTGGCTGAACGGCCGATTTAGAAGCCACATTTGCCTACAGCCGGTCAGAAAGTAACTGTATTTTTAGAAACTTTCTTGTTACACCAATTTAAAAAATAAAATTGACACTTTATAATCGGGTTCTTAGCTAATTTGACAGCGCGGAATCTATTTTTGTGGATTTTTTTTTTTTTGTAAATTGTTTTTGCTGTTCTATTTTTGGAAAATTCTGACCTGAGCTGTTTTTGAGTCAATTTTGGGACCGTCTCTAGGTATTCCTGTTTGAAAGTGCTTGGAAACCTTTAGTGTCTTTTCTTTTAATAATTTAATTAAATTTCTTAGAAGATACGTCGTTTGAGTCATTTGCTAAACTCAATCCTATCTTAGCAGGTACTATCCCTGCCCACCCACCCTCTCTTTTCTTAGAAGGTTTGTCATTTGCCAAAATCAATTTTATCTTAGCTAGTACTTGCTAAAGCCCGCTTGACACGATACAATATTTGGTACAAGATTTAAAGTCTCGTGTCAAACACAACTTGTACAAGATTTCTTGTACCAAATATTGAGTATCCCAGAATTTAGAACAGCTTCTAAATTTCTTGTATAAGATAAATTGTACGAGTTGTACCCATGTGCAGATCATCTGGCATAAACTAAGACTAGCAACAGTTATAATCGAGTACTTGTTAACGTAAGACTGATTTTGGTAAATGATACACCCTTAAAGAAAATAAAGAGTGGGTGGGGGGTGGTATAATTTGCTAAGATAGGACTGAACAATATTAAGAGTCTTCTCTGGAATGAAGAAAGGGTGGGTGGGTGGGGCTACTGCTTGCTCATAAAACTAGAAAAAAGTTAATCTTAGCCCCATATTTTCTCATTTTTTTTTCTTCTGAATTAAAAAATAAATCTTATAGCATCTAGTGTAACAAAAAAAAATACGATTAGTGTTTTTTTTCTTTTTTTAACAGGCTACGCTCTATTAGTTTCTATTCCCACTCTATAAAGGAACATATATTTAACTCTGCCCACCCAACGGGCTTCCATTTCAGTGGTTTATTTCATCTAGTCCGAATGACAGGTGGATTTGAATTGAACAAAGATAAAATCGTTTGAAACAGAGCAGCTACGATAAGACTGATTGTGGCAAATGATATACCTTCTAAAAAAATAGAGGGTGGGTGGGCGGGGCTAAAACTTGCTAAGATAGAACTGAACAATATTAAGACTAGTCACTGGAATGAAGAGGAGGGGGTGGGTGGGCGGGGCTACTGCTGGCTTATAACAAACTCTGCACGAAAAACTTAGCGTAAGTGCTCATAACTCCGGAACGGCAAGTCACAACGTTTCGACCTTAACGCCATTCGATTCCTTGGACTTTTTTGGTCGCGTCTACGAAATTTCAGATCGGTTTCGGCAGTGTTTCCGGTTCCAGGGCTCATAAACTTAACGATGCCCTTTTCCGATAAGCTGTACTTATAAAAAAAAATCAAAAAACTTTAGAACGGAATTTTGGGGCCCGAATTTTTGATTCTACGACAACTGGTCGCAAACAATTGATCGCGCGACAATTGATCGCAAGCAACTCGTCGCAGCACAATTGGTCGCACGCGACAATTGATCGCGGCGACAATTGATTGCACGTAAATTGATCGCAGCGACAATAGATCGTACGTAAATTTATCGCAGCGTCAATTGATCGCAAGGTAAAATTCATCGGGAACTATTTTCTTTTATTAAAACTAAATATTTTGTATTCTGAATTTTAAGTTGCAATAAATTTAGCAACCAGGTAAGGTGTAAATATCGAATTAAAAACAATTTGAATATAGATAAGTGACGAAGTTTGTAGTTGCACTTTAAAAATTAAAAAATACGAGCGTAAACACCTTGTTACATAAGATTTTTTATTAATAAATTGTCATTTTGGTTATTTTTTTTTAAGAGATTGTTTCTATTTATCTCGTTTCTTATTTTACCTATTATATTATAGGAACTAGCTTCATTATAATAAGTACTCAACATAAAAACAAGTGTTTATTGTTCTTAACTAGATTACAGTTATTTAAAAAATCATATTTTTAACAACCTTTAAATTTTAACACATTTTGATACAGAATAATAATAGTACATCTAGAGTATCCATATGCAGCGAATATAAATTCCACTGGACGGATATATAATACTTATTTTAATACCTTGTAAATTGCAACGGATCTTTTACAGGGTTTGAGAAAGGTTTACGTGTATTGTAAATATGTATATATTGCAAAAACTTTTGTTAGAGCGTCAAGAATAATTTTGTGTTACCGGGAAATCTAAGAAATGTAGGTACTTATGCAACTAAAAACTTATTTTTTAATTATTATTATGTGACTAGTATTGTACTGAAGAAAAATTCAGTTGTACCATATGTGGGTGTAAAAAATACATATACAGGGTTAGTCACGAGAAAATTATTTCTGAAAATTATTTTTACGCAACCCAAAATACGAATACCATGTACCACTTGATACTAACAGAATTTAAAATGAAATGCTTAATTCATGATTGCTTTGAGTTTGGCAATGTCATTTTGACAATTCTGGAAAAGGAGGTTACGCGAGTGTTCATGGTGGTACCGCAGCCAATTGGAGATCTCCGCTGGCGCCGCTAATAAGTTTGTCAGGGCTTGCTTCGAGTGCCTCTTGATCTTTTGCAACCGATTAATGACGAGAAAATTATTTCTAAAAATTCCTTTTACGCAGCAAATTTATTAAAAAATATAGGTATATATTTAATTTTTTAAACTAACAAACGTAATGAAAATAATACTTTTTCACTTAAAACTGTAACGAGAGTTTTTTCACGATTTATCTATAACTTTTTAATTTGACAGTTGTAATAATTTTAAAACCATTTTTTATTAAAGAAAAATGACGTCTAACACGTTTTGAAAGCTATTTTTTTCACTCGTTTAATTGACAAACTTTAAACTTGTGAGAAGAAAAGCTTGAATCACTTACTTGAGCGTCTAATCAATAAGACGAATAATCCAAATGAACATTACAGTAGCATACCGAGAGATGTGTCAGCATTAAAAAAAATATTTTACAATATTTTCACTTTTTTGCACTTTGGTTTAGTCGGAAATGAGCCTAATAGTTACCGTTTTTATGGAACTCGTATGTATTTATTTTGACACTTTTTTTAGAAATAATGAAATTTTTGAGAATATAGCACATTAATTTATTTTCCTCATTCTTAACAATTACTTATTTCTCTATAAACGCTATCATTTTTCGCCTGCGATTAATCGTCGCATGCGACCAGTTGTACTTGCGACGAATTGTGTTGCGATCAATTGTGACTGCGACCAGTTGTCGTTGCGACCAGTTGTCGCTGCGACCAATTGACGCTGCGATCAGTTGTTTGCGATCAATTGTCGCGCGACGAATTGTGCACGACGAATTGACGCGGTACCGAATTTTTATTCCGGAGTATCAAAAAAGCAAAGAGACCAAATTTCCAAAGGGTGCACGCTGGAAACAAAGATTAGAATGACCGATGTAAGAAAAATTTGACGAAAAAATAAAAGTCTTCAGATCGACTTGAAAATCGAGTTTTTGATTAATTTGACACTGTGGAATCCATTTTTGAAATCAGTTGCACGATATTTTTCCGATTTCCACTTGAAAAACAGGTTTTTCGATTACGAAAATTTGTTTTACAAGTTTAAGGGATCATAACTCCGAAACGACAAGTCACAACGTTTCGACCTTAACGCCATTCGATTCCTCGGACTTTTTTGGTCGCGTCTACGGAATTTCAGATCGGTTTCGGCATTGTTTCCGGTTCCAGGGCTCATAAACTTAACGATGTCCTTTTCCGATAAGCTGTACTTATAAAACAACAAATCAAAAAACTTTAGAACGGAATTTTGGGGCCCGAATTTTTATTCCGGAGTTTCAAAAAAGCAAAGCGACTGAATTTCCAAAGGGTGCACGCTGGAATCAAATAAAACGACCGATGTACGAAAAATTTGACGAAAAAATAAAATTCTTCAGATCGACTTGAAAATCGAGTTTTTGATTAATTTGACACCGTGGAATCCATTTTTGAAATCAGTTGCACGATATTTTTCCGATTTTTACTTGAAAAACGGGTTTTTCGATTACGAAAATTTGTTTTACAAGTTTAAGGGATCATAACTCCGAAACGACAAGTCACAACGTTTCGACCTTAACGCCATTCGATTCCTTGGACTTTTTTGGTCGCGTCTACGGAATTTCAGAACGATTTTGGCATTCTTTTCACTTCCAGGGGGTCATAAACTCCACGATGTCCTTTTCGGATAAGCTGTACTTCGAAAAAAAATCAAAACAAATTCAGAACACGCCGTACGGAATTTTAGGGCTCGAAATTTTTGTTCCGGAGTTTCAAATAAGCAAGGAGACCAAATTTCCAGAAGTTGCGCGCTGGAATCAATAAATTAGAACGACATGGACATGACCGATGTAAGAAAAATTTGACGAAAAAATGAAAATATTCAGATCGACTTGAAAATCCAGTTTCTGATTAATTTAACACCGTGGAATTTATTTTTGAAGTCAGTTGCACGATATTTTTCCGATTTCTACTTGAAAAACGGGGTTTTTTGATTCCGAAAAATCGTTTACAAGTTTAAAAACCCATAACTCCGGAACGGTAAGTCGCAGCGTTTCGACTTTAGCGCCATTCGATTCCTTGGACTTTTTTGGTCGCGTCTACGGAATTTCAGAACGATTTTAGCATTGTTTTCAGGTGCAAGACATCATAAATCGAACGGTGTCATTTTCCGATAAGCTACATACATCAAACAAAAGAAAATACAATATTCAATAGTTTAAGTTCACCTGGGGTGCTATCTAGACTTCGAAAATTTAAAATATATTTATAATTTCTAACGTATTAGATAGATTAATACGTATACAAAGAAGAATAGCAGTAGGTGACGTCAAAAACATATCGAAATATACTTCAGAACTCAAAATATGATTTCTAGCTAAAATTTGATGGTTTTCTTGGTATTTTCGGGCCCGTGGGGTGTCTGATAGGCTTGAAACCACTAGAAAACTAATGAAAATAACGTTTCTGAAGTCTTTTAACAAATTGTTTCAATATCTTGCCACCTCATTATCTACTGTTGGCTAATCCTCTTAAACATTTTTGGTACATTAAATCAACACAAACAGAATTTACAACTCTGGGTTTACCCTATTAACTACCTTAATTTTACAACAGCCAAATAACCTTATAGTATCTGACAGAGTATACTACAGCTTGGACTCTGCCAACCCCCTGGTTTGTTATAGTGCTGCAACTGCTGGTTCGTTTTTATGACTGCATCCTATTGTGAAGGAGTTAAGTGTTCCACAATAGGCCTGTGCCACAGGTAATCTAGTGGTTACAAATCATCAAGGGACCAACTGTCTACACTACACAGGGCCGTATGCGCCCCTAAACCTTTAAGATGATTTATGACACGGCTATTTACATTTTCAATAAAGTTCCTAATACTTGCGGTAATTGAGATTCCAGTGCCATAAAAACGAAGTCAAAGTTGGACCACTATAACAAAGATTGCTACTTAGTAACCAAATACGCCAAAGAAAGTGTCAAATTTGCACCCAATAAGCTGCATTATTCTTTGACAACAGTGAAGTCAAAATCGTAAAACAACAATTCTTGTTGACGCACGATACTTACATGTTCCTTTGAAATTACAAGGGCAAATTAGGATTCTAAGGGCAGGAAGTGGGATTATTTGTGTGTATATTTTAAAAAATGTTTGTATAAAACTGAATCATGTTGCGTAAATTTATGCATACCGTTTACCTGCGACTCCTACGAGTATTAAGTGTTGCCTATTCGACAATATCATTTTATTTTGACCACAGTTAAATAAGGGCTAGAGTTAATATCCTTATTTAACACTACAGCAGCGATTTCACATCACGTTTGACACACTTGACACTTTTTGAACGCTGCTTCCTCACTGGAGTTATCTATTAAGGGCAAAGTCAGCAAGTATCCTCAATACTCAAAACTCCAAATTATTAATAAAACAAGTATATACGAAATTATTTATTAGTAAGTAATAAACATGGAAATGTCAAACTGAGGAATTATTCTAAAAAATCACAAATTACAAAATAAAATATCTTTAAAACTCCAAATTTATTGAAAAATGAACATATAAAATGATTAAACGGAGTCACTTGTTAAAATTATTTCTTCTTGGCAGCTTTTTCTGCAGCCTTTGTGACTTTACCAGCACCAGTATCTTTGAAGCTGACGCTCTTGATAACACCTACGGCGACGGTTTGCCTCATATCACGAACAGCGAAACGTCCCAACGGTGGGAATTCCTGGAATGATTCAACACACATGGGCTTGGATGGTACCAAATTAACGATAGCGGCATCTCCGGATTTGATAGCCTTTGGATTCTCTTCGGTCGTCTTGCCGGAACGACGGTCGACCTTTTCCTTGATTTCAGCGAATTTGCAGGCGATATGAGCAGTGTGACAGTCGAGTACTGGAGTATAGCCATTGGAGATCTGGCCAGGGTGGTTCAAAACGATGACTTGTGCTACGAAGTCGGCGGCGCCTCTGGGCGGGTTGTTCTTGGAGTCACCAGCAACGTAACCGCGACGCAATTCTTTAACGGACACGTTCTTGACGTTGAAGCCGACGTTGTCACCAGGGACGGCTTCCTGAAGTGCTTCGTGGTGCATTTCGACGGACTTTACTTCAGTGGTGATGTTGGCAGGGGCGAACACGACGACCATACCGGGCTTGAGGATGCCGGTTTCCACTCTGCCGACAGGTACAGTTCCGATACCGCCAATCTTGTACACGTCCTACGAACAAAGCGGAAAATTATTTCCACGAAAACGTGCTACCTTCGGGTGAAAATTGAAGCGAAACGTCAGAAAAGATTAAGCCTATTGCAGTCACAGGAAGTCATTAATAATTTCAACATCATGAATGACGAATAGTCGGTCAGTTTTAGGTTAGGGTCAAACACGTGCACTCACCTGGAGCGGAAGACGCAGTGGTTTCTCAGTGGGGCGAGATGGGGGCAGGATGGCGTCCAGAGCGTCGATCAAACACTTGCCTTCAGCCTTGCCTTCTTTGCGTTCTACGTTCCACCCCTTGAACCAGGGCATCTTGGTGGACGGTTCCAACATGTTGTCTCCGTGCCATCCCGAGATGGGGACGAAAGCGACGGCGGCCGGATTGTAGCCGATCTTCTTGATGTAGGAAGACACTTCTTTCTTGATTTCTTCGAAACGCGATTCGCTGTATGGGGGCTCGGTGGAGTCCATCTTGTTAACGCCGACGATCAGTTGTTTCACACCCAAGGTGAAGGCGAGTAGAGCGTGTTCACGGGTTTGGCCGTTCTTGGAGATTCCGGCTTCGAACTCACCTGTACCAGCGGCCACAATCAAGACAGCGCAATCGGCTTGAGATGTTCCGGTGATCATGTTCTTGATGAAATCTCTGTGGCCGGGGGCGTCGATGATGGTAACGTAGTATTTCGATGTTTCGAACTTCCACAAAGCGATATCGATGGTGATACCACGTTCACGCTCAGCTTTGAGTTTATCCAAAACCCAGGCGTATTTGAAGGAGCCTTTGCCCATTTCTTGGGCCTCCTTCTCGAATTTTTCGATCGTACGTTTGTCGATACCGCCACATTTGTAGATCAAGTGGCCAGTGGTGGTCGATTTTCCAGAATCTACGTGACCAATCACGACGATGTTGATATGAGTCTTTTCTTTACCCATTTTGGTCTAACCTAAAACACGTAACACTAAAAGTTGGCTGTGCTCAGAAAAATGACATTTAACACTTCGTTCGATCGAATGATTTTCGCGACAAGAAGGCGTAGAAACGTCTCGTGCAACAAGTGAAAATCAATTCAAGTCACGTGGCGCAATTTCACAAAATCGACCAAAAACCGTTAAAATCACACGAATATTAGTCACCGGATGAATAATCGTTAATTACAAGGAAGAACTAAACACATGTTATAGGTGAAACCGTGGCTGGTCCAACAGGTTGAATCGCACCACGATGACTCTTCACAATGATAATTTCGCCAAAAATACGCCAATCCCGTCTTTAAAACCGTATTAAATCTAAAAACACACCCTCGATCACACCGCAACAAAGAACGCCGACGCCGAAAACCGCCTAATAGCGTTACAAACTCGTTAAACCGAGATTTCAGCATATGGCGGACATGACCGGAATGCATCTGTACACGTGGTGAGTGCGATGTTTTTGGCGAAAATTCAACGAAAACGACCACATCGAAGCAAATCCGCGACGAATTACACTAAAATTATTGTATACTTACGATTTGGAATGATATAAATGCAACAGTTAACAAATACCTAAATTATAGGAACACGAAATGTACAACTTAACGAAGCGGCAACCACACCGGACGACGAGCAAGTCAAAAAGGAAGAGGCCCACAAGTTGCGCTCTTTTCTTTCCCCCCACCCACGACGTAGGCGATTACGTAGCGGAAGTACTACGAACATCTACGAAGTACCGTTTTAAAATTACGCGGTACTAGAGGAATTTTGAGGACTCGCTTGTTTGTTATGTTTTGCTTGATGGAAATTGGGCTAATTGCGTGAATATTTTAATTTTAAGTAGTGCAGAAGTGCACTATTGTTTTCAAACGGGTTTCGTAGAAACAAATAGTTTTGCGAATTGATACTCGGCAGGATTGCGCAAATTAATGAAAGATTGCGATACCGAACTGATATCAGACGCTTCGAATTGAGTGCTATCGATTATGGAAATATTTTTAAACAAAATATTAAATTATGCGTTATTTGGAGGCAAGCAAAGTTCGACAATATTTTACAGCTACAAGAAATTTATATCGGTTACCTAGTTTATAAAAATTTTCCACTAAATACAGTACAGTTATAATAGTCTTCACGATTTATCATTACAATCAAGAAAATGTTATCATGAAAAAATTATTAATAGGACTGTTTTTTAATAATAAAAATCGTAATTTTACTATGACTCCAATTAATTTTTAATAAAACATTTAAATAAAAAGCTCCACACAAAGAAATACTTTTCTACTTTTTAATTTTTAATTTACTTTTGTTTGTACGTATTTCAACAGAATATAAATTATTCATTCAAAGATACTCCAAATTAACAAGTTTTTTAATTGCTGTTCCTGTATTATAACTAGAGTAACAGAATATATGCAATCTTCAATCAATTATTATTTTTCAAGGTTTACATAAATTGAGATAATTTAAACCGACTGACACTAATTAATCTCGTACATTTTGCATATTTAAATTACCTCCGATTTTGTGCAATTTTATAAATATTTTTAAAATCTTCATTGAGAATTCAGTTATTTATGTGTAAATAAAGCTTCCACAGCAGTGTTTTGAAACCGAAAGTGGTAATTATAAAATCCAAGACGTGTGTTCGCAGGAGTTCATTTCAGATTAGAAAAAAACATTTTATTAAATTATATTTTGAATCCGTTCCCAAAATAATTTTAGATTTTAAAAATGAATTATTTCAAAATGTATTCCAAAAACATATAGTTTAAATAAGTTAATAACTAAAAAAAGTTTCAAAATATTTAAATTTAAGTCAAAGTAACTCTAAATGCTTTAAAACAGTCTCATTTTGTTCGCGTTTTTTCACTTTTGCTTTCCTCCAAATAAAAACATTTTCAAAAAACACAAAAATTCTTACTGCAACACACAGGGCGAATCTTGGTTAGCACTGGCACTTAGGAAGAGTTGTTCACTAGGCAAACTAAGCAAAAGTGGACTGGACGCATTGGCAGGACCTTTTATATTCTGCGCAAAGTATGCTTACTTACAATTGGTCACTGTAGGCGTGAATCAACTTAGAACTTCTCCTTCCATGCAGACTTGTTGTAATGCTATTTGTAATTTTAAACATGCTTTTTTAAAAAAAAAAGAAATCGATATAGGTTTAATTTTTAACAATGAAAGTAATATGTATCCTCTTTTGGCGCCATTTCATGTTAAAGAACATTCATGTGTGTATTACTTATTTTTTTTTTAATTTCACAACGGAAAAATTCAGCTTTTACATATTTACAGTCAAATTCACTGTTTAAAAAACTGTAGTATTTGTGTAAAAAATAAATTAGACAATAAAAAGTCTAGATGAAATTACAACATATTATGCAAAAGAATCGCCAGATATTCTTTTCTCAATTTTTCAAATTCTAGCTAGATAATGACGTCATTAATACCACATTTTTAATTATAATTAATTAAATTACATCTTTATTGAAATTTGATTTCCCTTTTCTGTCATGGCATTTTTTTTAGAATTGATACATATTGAATTGAAAACAGACAAATTGTATTTGGTTTAATGTACCAAAAATATTTAAGCAGATTACTGAGCAGCAGGTGGCAAGATTTTGACACAAATCCCTGACTTATGACGCTAGGCTAGGAAAGGAATTGTAACATCTCATTATTAAGTTTTCCTGATACCGAAATAATAAATACGGGAATTGTGATATGTTTTCAATAACCGAATATCTACAGTTCTGTATCTTGGGAAAGATTAGATAACATTCTTTGACTCATTCGTGATGATGGTTGTACGTGTGTATTTCACCAAGTCACTGGAAATCAGAGCTTGAATGAACCATGTTCATTACAAAAATATTTTTGACCTTGTAGCCACCATATCACTCAATTGGCATAGCAAAGGGTTGATTGGTAGATGAAAATGGAATAATACTTTTTTCGTTGAAAATGATTTCATTTTGATTTTTATGAAAACATGCAACCAGTAATACAAATTTTAGTATTTCAATTATTTGAAAAAAAGCAATTTTGAAATCCGGTGCCACAAAAATGCTGGAATTTCCGAAAATGGCGTTATTACGGAACGTAGCGTAGTTTTAACTGTTTCAAATAGTATGTTGTTTAATTTTTTTTATTAATTAATCAGTCAAAACTTCAAAGCTACATCTCTTCAAATATTTAACATATTAGAATGGAACAGAGATGTCATGAATTCAAAACTGAATGAATAAAATAATATTCTTTACAACTAAACTTCCACGACGTAGCTCAAAATTAAAAATAAAAAAGTAATGTTCGAGGCAGATTGTTACACAATTTTTCCTCTTTCTCCAAAAATCTGGATGTCAGGTTAAAAACTCAACACAGATGCATAAACCACAAGTGCAGGAGTATGTTATTTTATAAAATTTAAATAAGATTTACTATGACGTAATCCCGCATCCACTTTAAACTGACCAATCAGCACCGACTGGTAGGACGTTTATTATGTTTTGAAATAATTTTGGTTGTATTTATTTTTTTAAACCGCATTATTTTGGCGGTAAAATAATCCATTTACTAAATGGTATTTGTATTTAAACAAATTGCACAAATAGTTTCAGAATGTCATTACCTTTGATTTGGCATAAATATTTTAATTATATTTTAATGTCGTAGCGGAGTAATATTGGTCATATTGTCTTTTATTCAAGGTCAGTTACACTTCTCATTTATATTTTCTCAAAGGGGTTTTGTAATGATTTTTTTTCTTTAATTTACCACACTGCCTAAATATTTTAACATTTTTGGGCGCCAGTTAGGTTGTGCAATCGCATAACGACTCTAGATTGTGTTAAACAATATACATAGCTCGCTCTATCTCTCTCTAGTGAAAATAATACAATGTGAAACAATTAACTCTCTCATGATTTTTTCCAAAATTTCTTCATGACAAGCACTATGAATGGTGTCAGAGTAGTAGATGATCGTAGTTTTTACGTCGATTTTTCATTTTTATTTTATTCCGTACACAAAAGAAAGGAAGAATTGCTGTTCTCATTTTTAGTTTGTTTGACATAGAAGTGCATCTCTCTCTTTAGGGAATGTTGGGAAGTTTCCATACGTTGTAAAAGTAATTTTGTTTACCTGTATTAACACACCCGAGATAACGAGTTTACCTTGTGACCTTGAGATAAGTAGGTGCTGCGCCGGCGTAAGTAACAAAGTCCTGACTGTACTCAAGCGGCAATTATGAACTTTTGTAAGTAATAAAAAACAACACGAAGTAAATAAAATAAAACTGCATTTATTAAAACATAGAAAATACACGGTAAGACCCTATGCTGCGAATCAGGTCTAGAAGTCTGTAACCACATAAAAAAGAAAAAAATCACTGTAACTATAATAAAATAATATAGAATCTAAGAGTGGTGCACAGATTTTCCGTGACGAAGTGAAACGTAACTGAGTTAAGGTACAAAACTTTGGTTCAGTAACTGAAAACCAAATATTGCTGAGTAAGTTCCTATCTATAGAATTGTATCTAACTTAACTTTACACTTATAAAATAGTACAAAAAATGCTTGGAGCGTATATCTCAGAAAACCTTAAATTTTAACAATTTCAACAATAGTATTTAAATTTTAATCACTTTTTGAAATTGAGATCAATAAATAGTTATAAAAATCAGTAACATTTTAAAAAGGCACACCTTGCACGGTTATAACCGGAAAAATCATCAATCACTACTTGTGAAGTATAAAAGGCACGAAAATCGTAACATTCTGATCACTATAACACATGAATATAATAAAATTACAAAATAAAATATATACGTGTATACTGAATATTATTGCAATGCGAATAAGTCTTTTCTTTACCCTTCACGATTCAGACCAGCGTCGCCGTGGATTTACCCTTCGTACCACCACCTCCGCTGCTGTCAATCTGAAGTTTATGTTTATACCAAGCGTTCATTTCATCAGAGAATCGTTCAGCAACATTAGCGTTTGATATCTGACTGAGATCAAAACTCGAATTTAGCGAATTATTGTCCAAACGCGTCGGACTGAGCGGCCTGAAAATCCAAAACACACTTAAAATCGAGACGACCAACCAAACTCCAGCAAAAATAGCGAACTGTGCGGAAAAAGCGTGAAAAGCCAACATGCAAAACCACTTACGATCCAGGACTGAAATTATGGTTTTTGGCAGACTGCGCATGCGCTTTGTCGAACGTCTCGTTCAGATTTTTCTGAAACGACGCATTCATCGGCAATTTTCGCAGATCGTCTGGTTGCTGCTTGATGGGCGACTTTTTGAATTTCGTTGAATATTTGTAACAGTCCGCCATTTCGAAGGGTTTTGTTTCTTCATGGTAGGGCTTGAAGTGCCCGGCCTGGACGATGGTACAATTTTTGGGGATGTTATTGTTAAATAGCTCTATGTTGGTATCAGGTATTCTGGGGGACGGATTTGATTCAGCTGGGATTTCCAGTGGGGGCTTGGGGGTTTGCACAGGCTGCACGTGCTGTGGTGGGCTTAATATATATTTTTCTTCTGGGGACAAAACGGACGGAAGGGCCGATTGGGATCTTGAAACGACCGAATGAGTTGGCGACACTGGGCCATCGAGGAAAGTTTCCCTCCTGTATAAACAAGAAAGACAACAATGTAAAATAAATATTTGAAACAAAACTATAGTCAAGCTTCTCCCCCACTACGACTTACTTAAGTTAAGACAAAAAAAACTTAAAAAGTACCAAAATATGTAAAGATTTTTTTACCACAAAATAGTGCAAAAACCTACAGACAAGGTTCAAACTCATTTTGTGCATTTTAAACGGGATTTGTTACTAAAAACATTTTCAGTGACGTCATTAAATTTTTGGTGGGGATATTCTTAAAATACTTCTAAAATTTCACAATAATCGGTGCTGTTGTAGCTTGAAGCACTTTTCCATATTCTAGAAGCTATAAAACGTCGGCAAACATAATCAAACGTAATCAAATTTTTGGGGTTGATAAAATACATTTTGATTAAAAACTTAACATCTTACAATAACTTCACAACATCAAGGTTTCAAAGTACATATTTAGTTCTGCAATTCTTGATTTAATCAATAAAATAAATTGACTCAGTCATTATTTTTTTTCAGACACCCTGTATAAGCAAATCTAAAAGTATTAATGCAGTGTTATATCACAAGTTTAGACTCATCATACTTTGTATATTTAAGATTTTTCAGCAAAATTTTGGGGCGGCGTCATCAAATTTTCAGGGGGGACGAGCAAATACATTTTGAGCAAAAATTTACCATGCCTATGATAACTTTAAAACATCTCCAAATTTTCAAAGCATTCGATTTTGTAGTTCCTGATTAAATCAATAAAATAAATTGACGTATTCATTAATTTTTTTTTAATCACCCTGTATATGCAAATCCGAAAAATATGAATGGAATGATAAATCACAAGTGCAGACTCGTCATACATTTGTACATTTTAGTTTGGATTTATTCAGCAAAATTTTGGGTGACGCATCAATTTTTACGGGGGATGAGCAAATACATTTTGTAAAACTCCTGTACTTATATACTTTTACATGTATATTTTACATATATTATACTATTATAAGCGAAGTTCGTACATGGTTATTCGTTAGCTTATCGCGTAAAATCTTCAGCTTCGGACTTGATACATTCTAGTGTATTGCACTGTACGTGTTCGCAATGACATACGTGTTCTTGCTGAAATGCTAGGAACCGTTTTACCCTTTTATCAATGCATTCATATTTTTAGAGCACTTATTACTCAGTTTCTTATCATGGACAGAGGAGACCAGACCGAATATAAACAAGTTAATAGAGTGTGTTTTCGTAACGTAAGGCGTTCGAATCATAGACACGGGCGGGGTATGCGTGATTAAAGTATAATACAATAATGAATTCAGAAGAACAAACTTTGCGAAAATCTATAAAAAATATACTGTTTTAGAACAGAGAAAAAATAATTAAAAAAATTCCTGGGTCCAAATGTAGAAAATATAGCCCTTCAAAATTTACCTTTTATTTTCAATATGTCACCATATTCTAATTCAACTAGCTAGTACTTGCTAAGATAAGACTGACTTTGGCAAATCACATACCTTCCAAAAAAAAGAGGGCGGGTGGGCGGGACTAGTATTTGATAAGATAAGACTGATTCTGGCACATTTGACATTTTCGACCATTTTTCAACGATATCCGAAAATTAGTTAGACATTTTCTTCTAGATTTCGATATACAAAAGTCATTTTCGGCTTCGTTTCTTGGGACATTGCTACCATTGTCCCAAAGTCTTTTTATAAAAATATAAAATTTGCAAAATCAAATCTTAAAATTTTTCGAAAAATCTGGATTGTACTTTACTTCAGGGACGACGCAAGCTCTATGGGATAACCCTGGGCCATTTTTTTTAATAAGAAGGTGGGTTAAGTAAATGTCAACTAATCCTATTCTATATGACATCCATTTTGAAAAAAAAAGTAAAACAAAATTGTAGAAAACATTTACCAATTTAGCTTAAAAACTACAAAACCTTCTGTAATTCAACAATGTACACATGTCTATGTTTTAGTATGGGAGTTACCATAAAAAAAAATCCTCAAATTTTATCATTTTTCTCATAAACTAGATTTACTTGGTGTCAAAAGCGACGGAAATTCTATCGAAATAATATACCAATTAATCGTACATAATTTTAACTCAAGGGTACATTATTAAGTCCACAACTCTAACTTCGGAAAAAATCGTTAAAAAATTCCTTATGTCAATTTGACATGCACTTATAGAAACAATATATCGATTTAGACCGATAAGTCAAAAAAACTCTAACAAATTTTAAGTTTTGTTTTGTATTATAAAATAAAGAAAACTATGGATGAAAACAAGATACCTCCAAAATTATTTTGAATAATGGAAGTCTAATTGATTTGCCAAAATCAGTCTTATCTTACCAAGTACTAGCCCCGCCCACCCGCCCTCTTTTTTCTTGGAAGGTATGTGATTTGCCAAAATCAGTCGTATCTTAGCAAGTACTAGCTAAGATATCTAATATTAAAGTAAATGTAAAAGAGCGCCCTACGCGTTTGTTTCAACTGAGTTTTTCCATTGCAAAATTTAGTAATGACGTCATCAACATTTTTGGACGGACAGGTATATCAATTTGGATAGATGCAGCTTAAGATAATAAATTTTGATTAACGATTTCATCGACATAGACAGACGGAAGGAACCGGGGACTACTTATTTCGTACTCTAGGGGCCATGAAACGTCAAGAAAACATGAAAGTGGCTAGTCGTCGAATGGATATTGGGAATAAACCCAAACACAGCGATTTAAATATTTTAAAACAACAAAACCAACGAATTACATACTTAGCATACACACACCACTTAAAAATTCAAGTGTCACTTCAAATATGTACTTTATTTGATTCCAAGCAAAAAATTGACGTCATTTCCAAAAAACCGGTCATTTTATAAATTTCTTTATTAATCGTTCTAAATTTCTTGTTTTTTTTTTTGTCTGAGCCATACTCATTGACAAAAACTAAAATCAGTTAACATAACCTATAATTTTATAATAATGACAGGCTATGGCCTGGTTCTGATCCATTCCGTACGAAACACATTTTTCTAACACTAAATAACTATCTAGGTTCATTCAAACTTTTGACAATTTTACATTGCTTGTCATTCATGTTTCGTGAACTTATAATACGTATTTAGTTCGTATATTTGAGTTTAGGTCAGATTAAAAATCTGGGACACCTGGTATAATTTGCAGGTGTTCTAAATTTCAACATTTCAACTTAACTTTTTCAATTCAAACTTAACCTTACCACTCTTTTTGTTTTTGTTTGCGAGCAGCCTGTGCCGCCTCGTTAATACTACGATTATCACTTTCACAAGAAGAGTTATCATCACTTTGCCAAACGCTATCGATAGTTTGGCCGCCTACACTACCTAACGATTGAGTTCTGACAAGCTGTCTATTATCTTGGGACCTCCTACTTATCACCTAAAAAAACAACCACAAAAATAAAAAATCTACCACTTCCTAAATTTGTGTCACATACTTGTGGCGACTTCACCGTAGCCGTTCTGACATGATCTACATGAAGCGGCACACTAGCAAGAGTTGCCGACTTATTGGACACAGATGGCGACACTCGCTTATGCAGTCGTTTATTTTTCCTCCTATCTAAACTACCGAATCTCTTGTCTCGTTGCCAGTTCGACTCAATGGGGCTAGAATTACACCAAACCATTTCCCCGCTTTCCAACCGTTTCCAGTAACCTCCCAAACCTAAATTCATCTGTTCATATTGTTGGTGCGGCTGTATCTGGTGCGGGTTGTTCGTGTGGAAATTTTGCTCGGGTTCTGGGTGTAACCTATAGTCGAGGTTTTGGGGGTAGAACATTTTGGGAGTATTGATGTTTGGACTAGATTGTCGGTGTTGGATTCGCGACGTAAGTTGACTGGTTGGACTGTGGTGGTTTTTGGGGATGGAGGGGGCTTGCGTGTACTGATTGTTAATGGGGTAGTTGTAGTGGTTTGTCGATCTAACGATTTGTTGGTATTGGTTTTGAGCTGGGTGGGGGTAGTGCGTGCTACCGGGGGAATGCTGCGGGAATTGTATATGCGCATTATGCTGATTATATTGTAGAGTATTATAGTTTGATATGTGATTTGACAAATTTTCTCTCCTGGAATTAATAAAAGTCAGAACGAATTGACCATTTTTGGTTACTTACCGTTCCATGTAGCTTCTGTAGCCGTTGATGCTTAACGCGTACAAACCCCTAGCTATTTCTTCGTGTCTTGCGTAAGACCCTTCCACGTATGAGTTATTAATATTTTTATATGGCATTCTAGGGTTGGATAGTAGATAGCGTTGATCCACATCTTCGCTACTTACACACTTATTGGACCTCATGCTATGGCGCAGGTCCGACTTACCAAAAGGCTCGTTCATACTAGTCCCTACTGATATATTATCATCTAAAACAACGCATAAAAACACAACCGTGACTATTTCCCCCTAAACCTTGTTCCGCAGGTCTCGGCTTCTTCTTCTGTTTATGCAACTGCTCCGACTGCTGCAGCTGCGCTTTATCTTTCAAACCTGTCAATTTTTCTTGGAGAGTAGTAAACTGTACTTTGTGTTGTTGATAATCGGCCATGTGTTGGCGACGCAATGTCTAAAATTGGCTCTCCTTTGTTAACTAATCTTGCAATGCGTGACCTATCTATACCTTACTAATATTTTGTTCGTTCGCCAGACCCAGAGCGGCTTCTGCCAGTTGGGCGTGCAATTGTATTTGAAGCTCAAGATCTGTAGCCGACTCATCTTTACTATTTGAGTTTTTAATCAAGTTTTCTGGTAACTGGTAAGCCGTTCCGACGCGTCTGCGAATCTGGGGCGGTGTTTCCCCGGGCTCTAGAGGCATTTCTTGCGGAATAATCCCAGTCAAATCTGCTTCCTAATGAGAGAAATTTTAAGTATGCTTAACGTCAGTCGGGTTGACAGATAAGTAACATTCGACTTGGCAGAACTAGTGTGCGAGTTTACATTTTTACCAAGAATGGCTTTTTCTCTAGGTCCGGGCTAGGTTGAACGCCATAGAATGTTGAGCGTATGAAAATAAAAGAATCTTTCGTTTGACGTAGAAACTTAAATTGGCGCATATGGTAACAATAACATTAAAACAGAGAAAACAAAATCTAAAAATAATGTGTACATATACCACATGTGAACTGCTTCCTCTTTTTGATCGCTTGAATTCTTATATACTAATATTTTTTTTTAGTTATTTAAACAGAATTTAACTCTTATCTTTTACAAGAATTGTGAACAAATTCGTATATCTATGTTTGGTTAGTTAATACCATTTCCGTTTTCGATTTGACGAAAAGCAAATGCAGAAGTACCACCTATTTCATAAATAAATCATGATTTTGCGAATTACAATAAATGACAATTATTTTGTTCCGACTTAAGTAAAGGCCGCACTGCGCAGGCGTGCACGCTTAACGGCGTTGTCGAAAATGTCATTAAACTTGGTTTTTATGACATTATTATTTATGTAATGTAAATTTTTTATTTTATCATCTTCCAAATAAACTTACAATTTCGGTAGGCGTAAGTGACATAACATAAAATAAAATCAATAATAATTAATAAGCGCGGTTTGTTTGAAATAAAATATCAGCAATTATCTGGCAGATTTTATTGACACATATTGATAATATTGTTTCTGATTAAAAAAAATTAATCATACTTTGACCGTAAAATACTTGATTTTACTTGTAGTATCTGTGAATTTTATCAAAAAAAATGTTCCCGTGATTAAACTGGCGATTCCACTTGTGATATGAACTACACACATACCTGCAAGCATATTTGTTTCAATTCTTGGTTGCATTTAGCTAAAGACTCCTCAATAGTTTTCTTTCGTTCTTGCAATGTCGCAAGACGTGTGATGTTTGGGTTTCCGGTAGCCCCCATCTTTACTGACTTATTATGTTCGGTATTAACACCATCCTCTACAAACAAAATTAAATACCCATAAACAACCATCCAGAATGCACTTACCCATTGTATACAAAGTCATCTAAATACACAAACCAGCTGTGCCATCATAATGGGCGGGTTGAAATACACTTGAAAATTACATCTTCTTTCAGTTTTATTCAATTACGAGTAAAATTATGCAATGTCTTTCATTGAAAAATGACCAATCGAGCTTAAACTACAACCATACAACACAACTCACAACAGTATTGACAGTTGGACTTTGACAACTGTGACAAGCAGGGCTGCCAACTTGAAACCGAAGCGATCTCCCCTCCCTGGTGCCAAATTTTTTTCAAATGGACATTTTTGGGAAACAGGAAAGCGATCATTTAAGAAATAAACTTCCCACTCTGCTACGGTCTATCGCACCCTTATTACTTTAAACTGAAACATGTATTTATACCTCTTTTATTTTGTAGTCTGACATTAAAATATAATACAATAAAACATTAAATTTGTATGCTATGTTTTTTATTAATTGTTGTAATATTGATCATGGTAGAAGTGCTGAATTAACTTCGTTCATTTATTTAAAGCCTGCTCCCCCACCACAGTTTAAAATCGACGCTATGCGTCAGTTGTCATACGTGATGCCATGTGTCAAGTTACCGTTCTGTGGTGTCATGTTGACGTGACTGTTTGACAGAAAGGTTATGGTTACATCTACATTTGTGCAACGTTACAGTTCAGTGGTGACCAGTGAAAAAAGACACGATGTTTTTGAACGATATAGACCCCCAGTTTATCAAATCCTTAAATTATTTGTACACCAGCGATAATTTAATAAAAGGAGAAGCAGTCCCGTTGCAGTTTTACCTCGAAGAAGCGATAAAAAATAAAGTCGGAATAACAAAAGACCTCTCGGGTGTAGTAACATCGTCTTTTAAACAGAGAAGGGTTACCGAATTTAAACCCTTCATTAACACACTCGAAGAAAGCAATGGTTCCAGTTCAGATAAAGAATTAGAGTTGGATTTACTTAAAGAAGACTTAATGTGCATTGTATGCAAGTATGTTAAAATGTGCGATTTGGGTCGCTTTTTATTTAAATTTTGTAAATTTTAGTGGAATGGATGTGGGGGCGCGGAACCGTTTATTGGAGTGTTCTGACTGCCACATGCTGTACCATCAAGAGTGCCACAAACCCATCGTCACGAATCAAGATTCCTTTGACAGTTGGATTTGTCAAAACTGCAAGGTACCAATTGTTCTATTTGACACACTATTATTCATAATTTTTTCAATAGGATGCCAGTAAAAAACTTAAATTAACGTCAGCCCCAACCGTTTCCTCTACGTCGTCTCATGGAAAAATGTCGTCTTCGTCTTCCTCGTCGTCATCTTCTTCCGTGTCGTCATCAAAGTCCAACTCCTCGTCGCACCGTCATTCCAGTAGCAGTTCTTACAAGTCGAGCGCCTCTGACTCGAAAAACGACAAATGTAAGTACCCCTCACCATTCTTGGACTGAGCGTTAAAAAGGTAACGTTAAATTTTTGTTGTGGTTTTCTTTCTTTTTCTAGATTCAAAAACAAGTACATCTAGCTCAAGTAAAACTTCATCATCAAGTACATCAAAACCTGCGTCTACTAGTACTTCTCGCACAAATGTTACTCCTAACATTAATATCATTAGCGCTGATAAACGTATTCAGATTATGAAAAAGAAAGCCGCTAAACTTCAAGAAAAACGTTTGACACGCTTGGCTCGATAAAACGTAGATTTGATATTACGAAAATCCGACAGGAATTTATATTGTAATATTTATATGTACCAAGATATTTAATAAAATCGTATACCAAATTTCGCAGTTAGGAGTCACTCAGTAATGCTTGTTGCGACAATGTATACTCAGAACGTTGTTTTTGTTCAAGGTCAAACTCAAGTCTTAATCACGTGACCACGTAACCTTAAAAAATATAATTTCAGCTAACCTGAAAATTACCATCACGATTTTTGCACTTAAACCTTTCTCAGTTAAGTTCATATCATTTCCCGCTTAACGTTCTGAGAATGTTTTGCATTTTCAGTGTGATGCACCTGTTTCATTCTGAGCATCTTACAGGCCAGGTTTCAAGGTTGTGGACCCAGCCTAATTATGTTCGCTTGTCCTCAATGCCAAAATGAAGACCCTAGTAAACTAGTGGACGTACGGACCGATTAAAGTAATGTTACAAAAAACCTGCAGTGCCCGAGTTCCAATTAGGACTTATTTAATTAACAGTGGGAAATGGACTTAAGTAACACTGTATATACTTGCTTTTTGTTAAAAATGAAAATTTTAATAAAGATCTGTTTCGTTGATTAACTTAGTGTCATTTACTAACGTCGTACGACAAACGTGAATACAGGGTGTACAAGTAAATGTGGTGTTCTAATTGACAGGAAATTTTTATTCATATAAACAATACTGTATGGAATGTAACAATGCGAAGCAAAGGTTTAACTTACAAATGGGTAATTATGCCACAACCTCGATGAAAATAAAAGTAATACAAAGTTATGTGTTGGAAAATAAAGAATGGGCGTTGTGTCGATATGAATATAAAGTTAAGCCTGTCTACAACGTAAAAATTATCACATCATAAAATACAAGACACCATTCGTAGTTCTATTAAAACATTCTGCCTTAAATTCAGTCATCAATTTGAAGGAACTTCATTAAATTTGAAACCATAAATATATATATATAAAATAAAAATTAATAAATAAATAAAGATAAAATAAATTTGCAGGTGTCGTTACAATAGTAAATAAATAATGTATCAGACGATGATTTTTGATACAATAAACCTCGCAGTAGTTTTAAAGCTAACACACAAAAAATAGATTCTTTTCTTATAGTTAGAAATTAATCTAAAATTTTGCTGTGATATGAAAAAATATTAGTTATTACTAAAAACTTTTCTAACATTGTTATATATATAATATATATATTTCAATATACAGCAACGCTTAAAGGTCTCGACTAAGTAAAAATCTGTACATATTTCTCTACCTATACATATTTACAAGAAAAATCATAAATTACATAACATTTTAAAACTGTTTATAAATAAAATACATTAGTAATGGCAAAAATCGGATTAAAAACGATGAGATCGAAATTTACATACTACGCACTGTGATAAAATTAAAACACCATAAAATCATTTTTACAAATACGAAATATATAAAGAATAAATAAATCTGATAAAACATGATGAGATTCCGATGTAAATAAAATTTGGATGTAAATAAAACAATCATTAACTCATTGTCCAGTTTGCTTTAGAATTCGTGTTTGTATGGATGACGAAGATTCATCCAAATTATCGCCGATAAAAAATATTTACAACTATGTACACTCCAGGTATGAACACTTCAGTTATATGTAATTTATACAACAACAAAAGTTACTGTTATATATGTGGGTCACATTTGTTCATATCTTTCAAAATATCACCGAGAACATCAGTTGATTGTGACAATCGTGGACGTTTTATGATTTTTTGGGGCTTCTTCTCCTGTTTGTGTTTCAAAATCTGAGACGTATTATCCAGCGGAATAAACCTAGGTATCTGCGCATGCGCACTTTCGTTTGTCATACCAGGCGGAGAATGATTTTTCTGTACGCTGCTTGTCAGCGAAGTACTCGATAACGTACTACTCGTACTACTATTCAGCGAAGTTTTATTCCATTCGTTCTTACTTTCGCTGCCAATTTTTTTCGAATCTGAGTGTTCTCGGTCTTTGTGATGCGAATGACTACTTTTATGTCTACTCTTATGGTCGCTGCTTTTGTGGCTTTTGTGATAATGGTGGCGTGACTTATCGTCTGAACTTTTATCTTTTGATTTATCTTTGTCTTTGTGGTAGTGGTGATGATGGCGATCTTTGTCTCGATCATGCTTACTTCTATCTTTGTGTTCGTGTCTGTCTTTGTCGCTCCTTGATTTGTGGCTGTGTTTATCGTGATCTTTACTACGTTTCTCTTTATTCTCGTCCCGAACTTTATCCTTTGAACGACTCTTATCTTTACTGAAACTTTTGTATTTGTGCTCGTTTGGTATTTTGTCCTTCTCTATTAATACTTGTTTTTCGAAATCTAGTTTCTGTTTCACCTTCAACACGTTTTTAACGTGATTATTTTTGGACGATTCGTGTTTATCACACACTTCTGTTCTCATTAGTACCTTGTTATTGATCTCATTTTCATCCACGTTTTTGGTTTCGTACGTCGGGTAATACTGTTGCAATCTAACGTGCCACGCTAAAATTCAAAACTACTATTGTTTGAAACTACAATTTTTTTTTAGAAAATCATACCTATGCTTGTAACTGCAGTGACCGTTCTAAACTGATGTATAATATTCCTCGGCAAGAAATATATGTCATTATCGTACAGATTTACACGTGCATATTCTATACCTTCTCTTCGCAATTGGTTTAGTTTGGCGTCCTCTATCCACGTGACACACTGAAAAATAAAACACAATTGAATACTAAAATAGTCGGTCGCCAACCGTCGAACAGGGGCGTACCTGCGATATGGGCGGCTCGTGCAGGTCCAGCTGCAGTTTTTCAGCCAGAACATCAAAATATTTGGCGGAAAACGCCACAACGTCTTTAGTGATACGATTAATTGGTCCTTCGTTTTGTCCTCCGTGAATTGCTTTAAGAATCCCGACGGCGGCTGTGGTTTTCCTGTCTAACCCAGCTCCCACGTGATCCGCATGCGCTTTAGTCCTGTCCTCAAATAGGTGTTCCCTAGCTTCAGACATTCGTGGTAAGTACTGAAGATTTTTAAGTTCGTTTATGCCGGTTCTACGGAATTAAATTAAGTACTGAGGTACGTACTTTGATTTGGTGACTTACCGTTTTCTCTTTAAGGGGGTTCTTGAATCTGCTGTTGGTACTAACTGTTCGCCGGGTCTGCACCATACTATAGGTCCGTCGTTGGATTCTGTGCGTTTCATGTCCCGACATATAGATAGTCGCCCCCATGGCATCGTCTACAATAAGTACCGTTTTTTCTTCCAAGTTAAATAAGATTAGAGTTACGTACCAGTTTTAAAAAATAGTTCGATTCTAACATATCCAACAAGTCCGGGAAGTACCCCCCCACCTCCTCATGCGCAGTACCGACGATACTAATTTGGTGTAAAGGCCCGTATCTCACAGTACCGCTTTCGTATTGTTTAGTTACGTTTCTGTTGTATTCAGCGAAAGTGGTCGTTTCAATGTCGGAACTTTTGTTCAAAAGGCCGTTTTTTACAGTCAGGTTTGGGTATTTCTCGGCCATGTATTCTAGTATATCAGGAAGGAAATTGGCGGATCCGTGAATGACGGCGATGACGAATATAGCGTGCCCGTCTGAGTTTTCCTTAAACGCTAACGTAAAAAACTCCTCGGTTAACTCCATCTGCTCTTCCGGGCGTAACTGTTTCAGCTCGTCGTCGTACATCCTCAGGATTTTCGCCCCGCCGTTTGAGTGCGTTTCGATGTGGTAAAAACGGCGGTATTTTAAACTGGTCTAAAAATTAAAATATCAAATGATTAATCAAGTGGGTGGCGCCGTGGGTGCGGTGGGTTCGTGATACTTGATTAATGGGTTAAAACCTAATGAGTGGTATCGAAGGTTTTATACGCCGACGTTTCGGAATTTGTTGTTGTTTGTGAAGATAACAATCGATGGGGTAAAAGCTAACTTTAATGACAAGTTGATTATACAAAGAATGAATGGATGTTCTCGGACTGGTGTCACTTTTCACGTCACGTGGTACAGCGAAATGAAATTAGACTTTGTAGTTATTTATACTGAACTTTCATCTGCTCGGATTCACAACCAATGTCAATGAAGATATTTTTGTTAAGACTAAAGGCATACTAACACAAATTTCATGAATATTTTGTGATTTTGATGTTTTGTCTAAAATTTGATCAGTGAGAAACAATATATATTTTTTGATATGTACATCCAGTGTGATACAAAATAAAAGATTAAGCCTGCCTGTATAAACAAATATAAAAGCTATGAATAAAAACTCCAATTGTTTCACCACAAATAAAAAATTATGTCACTATAAATTTCATGGGAGACATGGTTGACAAAATTTTGAGATGACGTCATTATATTTTTGAAAGGAATGACAGCTGAATTCTGATTAGCCATTTTCTACGTTCGTTCTTTCGTTTCCGTCATTTGTTGCCGACTTTCGACATATAATTTGCGAAACTACTGGACTGATTGGCAAGATTTTAGATGCTAACCAAAACTTGTCTCACCGACAGTTTGATGCGAAGTAAATACTACTTACAATTTGTAAAATAATAGTTTCATATGCATCCACCGATTTTTTTACCTTCAGACATCCACATTTTATGAGTTTCTTATTAGTTATAATTTTCATTACTTTGATAAAATATTTTTAGTAATATATATCCAATTTTTTTAAAGACATCAAAAATCAATTATTTTCGTTTCAATTATTTGGAATTAAAACTCAAAATAGCACGAAAAAGCTAAAGTTATGAATTTTAATTATGTTTACTGCTACAACTTTTTTTTTCATTTACATTGCTAAATAGTAATAGTGTCATTTTTGTTTACAATGTTTACTCAGATATTTTTAATTAACGTTTGCGGTCATATGTACAATTCGTTTTTATTTTCCATGTATTTGCGCCTTAATAAATGTATTATTATAATGAAGAGTGGGTGGGTGGGCGGGGCTAGTACTTGGTTATAAAAGCCTCTAAGAAAAAATTAAACTTGGCCCCGCCCACCCACCCGTTTATTTTCTTCTGAAAAAAGAAATGAATTTTCTTTTTTCTCTTTTTAACAGCCTAGGATCTATTAGTTTCTTGGCACTTTACAGAAGAGCATATAATTAACTCCGCCTTCATTTTAGTAATTCATTGTATCTAAATGAAAGGTGGATTTTATAGTGATGAACAGAAATAAAATTGTTAAAATGAGAATAGGGTGGGTGGGCGGGGCTAGTACCTACTAGGATAAGACTAATTTTGGCAAATAACACTCTAAAAAAATAGAGGGCGGGTGCATGCTAAGTAAGACTGAACAATATTTAGTGTAGTCACTGTAATGAAGAGGGGGTGGGTGGGCGGGGTTACTGCTTACTTATAAAAGACTCTGTAGAAAATAGTTTAACTTAGCCCCGCCCACCCACCCGTTTCTTTTTCTTCTGAAATAAGATGTGCATTTTTGTAACAAATCATATAACAAAAAAAAACTATTGTTCTTCTTTCTCTTTTAAACAGTCTAGGTTCTATTAGTTTCTTGCCACTTTACAGAAGAACATATAATTAACTCCGCCCATTTACCCCGCCTTCATTTTAGTGACTCATTGTATCTAGTTTGAATGAAAAGTGGATTTTATACTGATGAAAAGTAATAAAATCGTTAAAATGACAACAGGACGGATGGGTTGGGCCTGCGAAGATATGACTGATTTTGGCAAATAACACTATAAAAAAAAATAGAGGGCGGGTGGGTGGAGCTATCACATGCTAAGATAAGACTGAACAATATTTATAGTAGTCACTGGAATGAAAAGGGGGTGGGTGGGCGGGGCTACTGCTTGTTTATAAAAGATTCTGTAACAAAGTTAAACTTAGCCCCGCCCACCCACCCGTTCTTTTTTCTTCTGAAATATGAAATGCATTTTTGTAGACAATAACATAAAAAAATACGGTTGCGTTCTTTTTTTTCTTTATAAAAGCCTAGGTTCTATTAGTTTCTTGCCACTTTACACAAGCACATATAATTAACTCCGCCCACTTACTCCGCCTTCATTTTAGTTAATCATTGAGTGGTATGAATAAAACTGAGTAGATGCTTATACTCGAAGTACAAAGTTACAAAGTACATATCTATTTGAGCATCAACTCAAAATGTTTCCAGTTTTTCTAGATGATGCTAATATTTGATACTAAGTAGATGCTCAAGTATATAAGAGTAGATACTCGCTGATACTGAAGTAAATACGTCGTACTTCAAGTATAAGCATCTACTCATTTTAATCTGAATGAAGATGAATTTCGTACTGATGAAGGTGGGCGGGGCTAGTACCTACTAAGATAAGACTGATTTTGGCAAATAACACTATCTAAAAAAAATAGAGGGCGGGTGGGCGGGGCTATCACTTGCTAAGTAAGACTGAACAATATTTAGAATAGTCACTGGAATTAAGAGGGGGGTGGGTGGGTGGGGCTACTGTTTTCTTATAAAAGACTATCACAAAAAGTTAAACTTAGCCCCGCCCACCCACCCGTTTTTTTCCTTCTGAAATAAGTAATGCATTTTTGTAGCAAATAATATAACAAAAAAAAAAAAATAATTGTCGTTTTTCTTTCTCTTTTAAACAGCCTAGGTTCTATTAGTTTCTTGCCACTTTACAGAACCTATAATTAACTCCGCCTTCATTTTAGTAATTCATTGTATCTGAATGAAAGGTGGATTTTATACTGATGAACAGAAATAAAATCGTTAAAATGAGAATAGGGCGGGTGGGCGGGGCTAGTACTTGCTAAGATAAGACTGATTTTGGCAAATGACTCTCAAAAAAAATAGAGGGCGGGTGGGCAAGGCTATAATTTGCTAAGATAAGACTGAACAATATTTAGAGTGGTCACTGGAATGAAGAGGGGGGTGGGTGGGTGGGGCTACTGCTTGCTTATAACAAACTCTGTAAGAAAAAGTTAAACTTAGCCCCGCCCACCCACCCGTTTTTTTTCTTCCTAAATAAGAAATGCACTTTTATAGCACATAACAAAAAAAAAAAAAAAAAGATTAACAAATAGTTCTTTGAGCAAATTTGTTCCATTTCAAAAGATGTGATGTAAATAAATGACATGAGTGTCTGTTTTTCAAGCTACTAGATTGTTATCAATAAATATGAGTTTTTAGTCAATTTTATTGTATAACTTTTAAAGTATTGATTTTACAATATTGGTTGCTTTTGATTTTTTACAAAAATCAAACTTTTCATTTATGAACAAATATACCTAGTGTTCTATAAAAAAATAAAGTTGACGTAATTTCCGGTTCTACCGGAAGTGATAATAAAAATCTGAGGTTGCCATCACATAGATCTTTTAAAATGATACAAAAGAATAAAAAAGTTACAGGGGTTGTATCAAATGAAAGAAACAGCCTGTATAATTAACTCCGCCTCCATTTTAGTGATTCATTGTATCTGGTTTGAATAAAAGGTGGACCTTATACTCATGAACAGAAAATTGTTAAATGAGAATACGACGGGTGGGTGGGGCTAGTTTTCTGCTAACATAAGACTGATTTTGGCAAATAACACCCTCTAAAAAAATCGAGGGCGGGTGGGCGGGGCTATCATTTGCCAAGATAAGACTGAACAATATTAGGAGTATTCACTGGAAAGAAGAGAGGGTGGGTGGGCGGGGCTACTGCTTGTTGAAAAAAGCTAGTTAGCCCCGCCCACCTCTCTTTTCCATTCCACTGACTTATTGTATTTATTGTAAAATAAAAATGGAGTTTTATTTTTATAAGCGGTAGAATCAAAGAATTAAAACAAAGTCAAAAGATTAATCTGTAGATTCATAGAAAGAAATTGAGAATTTAACTGAAAACAAATTTTGGAAGCTGTCCTACTTTCAAAAATATGTTGAAAAAATAACGATAACTCTGAGTGAAAAATGAAGTGATTTTCATTTTCATTGGTTGCTGTTTGTCTTGGACACAAATTAAAAAAAATTGTAATGAATTTTAAAATTTCAAAATCTAAAATATTGCTCTGCAGTTTCAAAAACCATTTAAAAATAACTACTGTGTTGCTTTTATATTGGTTTTTAACTGGTGTACATCCACATATTTCGTCATTATTTCTGTATAGACAAGTGTGATACTGAAGATGCAACATTAAATTCTGAAACGTCGGCGTAATCTTCGTTATTTCACAACGTTTTAATCCACGTACTGAAGAATGTAAACTGGTAATATTTCAAGATTGCTACTCCTAATTGTAACAATTTTGAGTACATAGAATTATTTCACACTTTTGAGTTTTTGAAATACAATAACATACTAAATGGTGGATATATACAGGGTTTTTCACGCAAATAATGAAGAAAAAAAAGTGAACTGTTTCAACAGAAACGAAAATAATTCAAGACTCGAAATTAAGTTAAATTGAGAAACCCCGTATATATAAATTACTACGCGTCGAAAAAAGGCATAAGAGTAGATAATTATGTTACTACAATTGGTGTGATGCTCAGTGAACACACAACTGTTAATATATTTTGATGTCAAAATATACTGACAGTATGTGACATTTCCAAAGCAGAATTACCAACTGCCGTGAAACTATTATCCACTCTAACCCATTTTTTCCTACAAAATCAAAAAAATATAATACAAAAGCATAAATTATACCTAAATCTTCAGTCATACTACGTGAATTTTCATTTTCAGCTTTCTGAATTAAACGTTAATAAAATACACTAGCTTCTGTACACCTCAATATCTTCGTCTTCAAATACAATTTCAGTTCTTCAAATTTAGTTTCTTGTTTAATTTTGTAACACTATAAAAAACAATAAATTTACAATATCTCGAGCACAAAAAAATAATTCCTTTCCTCAATTGTACATTTTCAAAATAAATCTAGACAAAAACACTGTGTCGCAATAACGTGCAAACTTACATCAGACGGTGGGTAAGTGTAATTCCCGTTCGTCATCAACCTTGGATTTGCGGACTCTCTGTGCGACGATCTGGTTTGCGTCCCTACCGACTTCTTCCTCGACGAGCTGCTCCGCCTCCTGTCGTGCTTTTTCGCACCGTCGTGCCGCCGCGACTTGCTTTTATCGTCGCTTTTGTGCTCACTTTTGATCGGAGTGCTTATAGGCTTTACTTTGTCGAAGTCCAGTCTTCTCAGTTTCACGTCTTTGTGGTCGGCGTCAGCCGAAAGCGCCCTCTTAGCGCTGCGTTTAGGAACCGTGGTGGTTTCAACTGATCTCGTCCGGGCATTGCGCGGCGAACAACTGATTAGCTCGACGTTCGAAGAAGGCTCAATTTTTGGGCGAAATTCGCTTTGATTGAAATTGTTGGTTTGTTCTTCAATGGCTGTTAGTAGCTCGATGCCTTGCTTTCCTTTCAGGAGACTGTAATCCAAGTCTGAATCTAGTGTCGGACAAAGATTCTTTGGTAGTTTATTGCTGTTTGTAAAATTTAAATCATTTAATATATCAATATCATTATTATTAACATTTGAATTTATCTGAAGGCCACTGTTTTTTGAAGTTTCCTGATTTAAAGAAGTGTTATTAGTGTCTATGGTAATATTCACAGCACCAATATTGCAACTTTGATCACAGCCATTTTCAGAAACTGATTTATATTCATCTTCTTCCTCTTTGATACAAAAATTCTGGTCAACTTCTGTCACACTAATGTGATCATTTATTTCTTCTGTGTTGTTGGTGAGGAAGTCGGACGTTTCGACTATCTCCTTAGTTTCGTCAAGGGGGTCCTCCACACCTATCACTTCATCACTGGATCTTCGACTGTTCACTGTATCACTATCACTAAAGCTAGCACTGGAAGTAAGGTAGTTCCTCTCCGTCAAGTCCGTCTTGATTTGGCCATTCGTTAACACTGTCGGAGTGTTTTCAGGTGACACGTCTGAAACTAAAACGACATTAGTGACGTCGCCACAAAACCAACAACGCAATTTCAACACCACTTTAAGCTAAATCCGCATTGTTTTGAACCCAAACAAAATTAAATGCCATCGTACTCACTTGTTTCTTGTCCGTTGTGGTTAAGAACCTTGGACATGGTACAAGAGCACCTTCCGGGGCTTCCACCGAAGGAGTTGCAACAAGGATCGCAGTCATCAGTTCGTAGAATTAGCCCTTTATTCAAGAAACTATTATTTTCATCATCACCAGAAGATTCGTCATTCGACGCCATGATTGTAAAAGCCCGGGTTTAGTGTTTATTTACAAACTTTTCATTAAACAAGATTCACAAACAGTCACATAATTACACCGTACACTAAAACCACAACACAATATCAATATTTCTCAAAAATTAATGTGAATTACTTTTAAAATACGTACAAAAAACGTGTAAAACTACAAAATGTCCACGCTTGCCGCCATGCTTCTCCTAACCGGGCATAATGTCGCTTGCCATCTTTGTCACACGACAGTGGCGTAACATATCCCCACCACCGAATACCCATAATTTCACCTAAATTACCTTCACCGAAGGAAAACACCCAACGAAACGTGCAAATTCACACACACGAAACGTCAAACGAAATCGCAAAAAACTAACCCGGATGGAAATGTTCAAGTTCAATGAAAATCGACGCGCGGATGCATGCTACGCCCTTGTCCAGCGACCCTTCAAGTCGGGTTTTTTACTTTAATTTTGAATTTTTGACAACGGCGGTGACGAAACTGGCAATCTGGGGCACAGACGACCAATTACTCAAACAAAATTTTATTTGCAATTTAAGCAATAACTCCTTTTTGCAGAAATGAGGATTCATGCCCTGAGTCACGTAGCCACTTTATGGAGGGAAATTCAAACACGGGAGACTCGCTATTGCCAATTTTCGTGTTGTTTAGCGGAACAAACGAGAATACTAACGAATAATAACGAAATAAAGCAAAAATGACAACATAAAGAGTAGAAGCTGCATTTTTGTAAAAACTTCGTTGGAAATTTTGCCACAAACTACTGGCTGCGCGCGCATCACTCAGCCGTTTTTACACCACTAAACACTCAACTTTTGACACTAGTCACTACAGCACCGAGGCAAGTTTAACAAAAATGGCCGTTCAATAAAACACAGTTTTATTAGCATTTCTATATATAAACCACTGATTGTATTTATTTTGTATGATACAGTCGCTATTTAGTGCAAATTTTAATCAATAATCGCTGTATTCAGTACTCTGTGATATCCCATGCAAAGTCTTTAAAACACGACGTATAACCAACTGAGACTCACACAATTGTTACAAATTTGTATTGAAAAAAATACAAAAGAATTAGAATGACTGCAATGAACTTAAATAAACTTCTCACACAATACCAAAAAAATATTCACCAAGTCAAGCATGAACTATTGTTATTGCAAAAAATCAATATGAATACGTAAATTAATTAACATAATTCGACTACACAAAAAATAAAAAACTTAACAAGATCAATCATACATCTGACGGTGTTGAAAAAAAAAACAGAGTAATTAAAATTCACGATGAGTAAACTGTAATTATCCTGTTTCTTGCGTTAAGCCACTTACTTAAAAAAGAGGAGAAGGGTATGTTGTAAGCCTTTAGCACCAAGGGATAAGATCTTATTGGCAAACAGAACCTTATCCTTAACAATAATCACTAAAATGTTCCAAGTAAAAAATAGTGTATTAAAATAACTCGGCACATAAGACATTACCGAATATACAATTACATACCCTCGCGCAAGACCATCTTTATACACATTTATTGTATGGTCATGTTTCTCGTATTTACAGCTAATATTAAGGAACACCAGTATTAAAAAGTAAGGCTACAAATTAACAAAACTACTAAAATAAAAAAATTTTGAAGTACTTTTTAAGAACCCTGGTGTATATCGCAAAATGTCAGTCATTTAAAAACAATAATTTACAAACGACGAGAACTAACCAAGAGTTTAAAAACTAAACGCTTGATTACTTTAAACAAGCAGTAAACTGCAAATCTCATGAAACTGATGACACCCTGTTTACGCGTTGTTTTACACAGACAGCATGTCATCAGTTTACATAAATCTTATTAGATGTAATCTAAATTATACCAGTTAATGGTACATCATAAATACTACAAATGAATATATAAAAAAAATCCAAGTGAGCAGCCAAATACATCATATAAAAAGTTAACAATGCAGTAGAACACTGACTAGTAAACCATCACCCTCTTGGGCTCACAGTTGACACTGAAATATATGAATCAAAAACCACCTAAAGAATTCTAGAAACCAGTTTGACATTTTTTCAGGGTATTGAACGTTTTGTACCAATATAACAAAGTATTTGAAAAGTTTTAAATGTACAGTGTTTGCAACAGCAAAAACTATACACGCCAATTGTAAACTAAAAACAATTGACTTGACTGCGAACGATTAACCCAACGAAGGAAAATCACGTTCGTCATCGACTTTAGGTGCTCGACGGTTCTCTGGTCTTTCATCAGCCTGCAAACAAACGTACAATTAATAAAACCCGATTTTCTTTTTTTTTTTTTCGAGTCATACCGGTTCCTCACGATAACGTCTCTCTGGTCTTTCGATGCCCGGACCACCACCACCGTTTCCTCCTGCGCCGCGTTGATTCGTACGATTCCCTCCTCTTATACCAGACCTTTGACCTCTTCCACGCCCGCCACCGCGCCTGTTGTCATTAAACTGAATGTCGATATCTAAAACATGTTTCTGCCGGCCGACGCGTTGAGGGTATTCAGTAGCGTCGTATTCCTCTTCCTCAGACTCCTGGTAGAATTCAGATTTTATGTTCTTTTTTTCCAATTACGTACAACAAAAAGCATTCTAATTTTTTTATCGGTACTCGGCGGGAATGCGAGAGAGAACGGACGCACAGTTCGGATAAAACCACTGGCGTTTCACTCGCTGCAGTCAAATCGCGAAAAGACGCCAGTTCTCGTCTCGCCTGATGTAATTGATAAGTATACGTACGGTTTCATTTTCCTTTTTTCGTAATTCGTACATCTTCTTCCATTGGCTTGGGTCTTCTCCTTCTCCGGCCTTCCTAATGTTGTATTGCGGCTTCATGCGACCAGCGCGTTGAGCCTTCCATTCGTCCAGAGTAAGTTCCTTGGGTTCTTCTTCGACGGGAGTTTCATTATTTTCGACTTCCTCTCTAACGAAAAAAAAAAAAAAAAAAAAAATTAGTTCAGTTTTTTGAAAAAACAAAATCGGACACTTACTTCGTTTCCACTGTAATATTCGTTTCAGGTCTGTCGTTTTCGTTCCAACTCTGTTCCGCGTCGTTAGTCTTATCAGCTTCCCTTTAATTAATCATTGTATTACAAAATCGCGTGGAAATGTAAACTTACTCGATAACGTCTTTGTGAGAACCCCAATTATGAGCGCCAGCTCCGTCACGTTTGTCGATGGGTTTAACTCCTCTGTAACCATGGCTGCTTAGTAATGTAGTCAATAATAAACATAATATATCAAATTACGTAAAAACACGACTGTCTTATATTCCGACAGAAAAATACTTACGTCTTGTCTGATCCGCTCTGCCTGTCGAACTCCCTTTTACCTCGCCTGTCATCAAAAGGGCGTCTAGGACCTCGAGGTCCAGCCGGTTTATTCCCTAACGCTCGCCCTCCACGTTCGCCACGGTCACGATTACGATTTTCGAAATTCTCGCCAATATTCTCCCTTCGAGGTCTTTCCTCTCTATCCCTGTGTACACACACACATACAAGTTTAGAGAACAGATGACCTTCATGTAATTGAGATGTCAATTGTTTAAACAAACTATATGAAAGTTAAGTAGCAATTTTATCAAAGCGGTGAATAATTATCATATAAATGCAATTTTACTCTTATTTACGCGCATCGTTTTAGATAACAAAACAACTTTACGGATTTTGATAAGTTAAAACACGGAACACGAATATGTAATATATTTGTACATTTGTAATAAACTGGCAGAATTATGCATTACTCTGCTATGCGTGGAGTTTGAGATAAGGCAACAAAGTCGTGATCAATAAACGGCTCGCTGCGCTCGCCGGAATATATTACGCAAATTATTTTATATTAAACGTTCTTTAATGCAACACCTAACCCGGGTATACGTTACGTTACTTACGAATAAAAGCGTGTGATTCTTTAAAATGGTGCTCTAGTTGGCCATGACGCGTCGACTGTCAAAAAAATTAATTTAGATATAGTATCGCGTTCGTAAATTCGGGGGAGCTGCATTAGATAAGCGGATTATGAAATAATCAATATATACATTTTTTAACAATAATCTGCACGTGCGGTCATACTAGATACAATAACCCGCAGTTTTGGGGGTTATTGAATCGGGAAACGCGCATTTCCGTTTTCTCCGAGTCGCGACACGCCAAGAAAATTGGCTATTTGTCAAAACGAGCGTCCCGGGGATGTAAAACTGCAGCGATGTGGTCTAACGCATTGCTTCAAGGTCATGGATTTAGCAGTGTACCCTGACGCGAAGCCGCCAATCACGGCTCCAATTATTCAATTTACACTGTTATTACCAAATGTGCAAGATTTGTGCGACCTTGACCCGGTTAAAGCCGTTCAAATTTCGTACAAACACGTTGGGATTCATGAACAAAAAAGGATTCGATGTCGGCGGGTTGGAATGAAGAGTTTGAGGAAGAAAGGAGGGTGAAAAAAGATTTAGTTCGCGAGGACGGGATAATGGTTAGGGTAAAGCCGTTACATAAGGAGCATGCGATCGAGGATTTCGCGATAAAACAAAGCAAACTCACCGATTCTCCGTTGGTCCGTTGTAAGTCCTATCTTCCCGGTTTCTCCTGTTATTGCGTTCCTCGCGATTTTCGTTATTGAACTTGTTGTAGTTTCGTTCCGGTTTTCCATCAACGTTCGACCTTTGATGGTTGGGTTTGGCGTCTACAAAAGGTAAAATAAGCGGCAATGAGGCGGTTGCGAAAATGCGGTTTCAAATTAAGCATCACATGTGCACTGAAATGGCCGTCCAAGCTGCGGAACTCACCATCACGTTTGTTTTCTTGGACTTTATGAATGGTGTTTTCTTTGTTGGTTTTTTTTTGGACGTTCGCCGGTTTTCCCTTGGCCGGCTCCGTTTTCCCCTTATTCTCCTTCTCGGCGACTTTACTCTTCTTTTTCAGTTCCTTTTCTTGTTCTTTAAGGTTGAGCGTTTCTAGTGGATCAGATTCATCATCCAAAAATAGTGCGTACCTGTTGGCAACGCCGATTCCGTAAGAATTCTCCATCATGGAATTTACGGATTATTTCTTCGCAACGAAGGGATGTTGGAAGATTTGTTTATGGCTACTTAGCCCTATGTTTTCACGCACTCATTCAACGCAATATGGCCGGTCACACGAGGAATCACCCGCGCAACTGCTAACCAAACTTTATGTGCGCATGACACACAATTATTTCACAAACGCCACCAATCGCCGGGCAGCACCGGCGATGTCACAAAAACCCGCCATTTTTGAACACATCCTGTTTTAAATTACGTTATTATTAAAACTTACACGTGCGAGACAACCGGCCGGCATTTAGATTTTTTTACTCAGAACCTTCTTTAAATTCTTAAAGTTACCGAAACTGTAAACAGCACTGCTGAAGAATACGAGACGACGAAACACGTAACGAACGAGATTATTTCTTCTAATGGCACTTTAATTATCTAAGGTCACTCTACGAGATAAACTCTTATTTTTCAAAATGTTTAAAAAAGACATGAAATAAGATAATTCCGCTTTCCAGTTTCCGATAAACAGAATGAAATATGAGGGGAGGCGACTTTCAGACCCTAATCAGCAGTTCTCAACCTCATGGCCGTCCATATATTGGACACGATACCATTCACTAATCAAAAGTGGAAACAATAGCATAATTATTAGCTTCAAACTAAAATATAACTAAATTTTACTAAAACACGTGCATAATTGACCCTTTTCCTCTACGATCGTACAACTTCCATTAGTGACCTTCAGTGCGCACGCATCTCCAAAACCACGTTGAAAATAGTATCCGGTAACAAACCGTTTTCGAAGTTGGCAGAATGCAACCAGAAATGCGTTATCTGCCGCTCATTTTAACTTGCCACTGCAGAAATCTGACTTCGCCTTGCTTACAGTATAACAACTGTCCATCGAAATTCAAAATGTCCGCTTGCATTTGTCCAGATTGCGCCCTGCATTTAGCGTAAATACACGCTTTAATTTCACAACAAAATACCAATAATCATGTAACTCTAGCCCGGTTTTTCGATTTGTCGTCCACAAAACACTTGCTTTACCACTACTATTGTTTTTTAATTACAAACGCGTATATGATCTTTTTTGACAATGCACTGAGAAATTTCTCTCAAAATCAAAGTATTTTGGACGAAAGTATTAGAACACCGGTGGTTATATACATATATTATTTCTAAGTCGAAAAATTTACTACCACAAATTAGCCTATATTATTATTAACAAAAACCACAATAATCCTCCAAAGGGACTTCCAAACAATTATCTAAATGCCTTTAGAGTTATTAAACTTTGAAATAATATCATCAAGTACAGGTTTCCATTAATGTATGACGTCTAATAGGCCATGCGGTGTTTAAATATTTAAATATTTCAGTGTCCTCTTGTGATCTTTTATGTTTGTATATGATATTTAACATGTTTTTATGACGTATGTTTATGTGAGTGCCTGAAGGTTATAATAACCTGACAAGAATTGACTTGTTAGAATTTTAGGTTAAGCAGTGTACAATGATGTGCAGAAGTACCACCTGATTTGAAAAATCCATGACTTGCTAGACAACAAATATTAATGAAAATCCTGGCTTTCAACTATGAATAAATCAAAATTAAAAATCAATTAGAAATGTCTGTCTATTTTTTTAACATAAAGTGTTCGAAATTAGTGTTGATTTTTGCGATAATGGTGAAATCTTAATCAAAAACCGACGTATTGTAAATGTGTTAATCACCAACCTTATAAAAATGAAACGATTAAAATAACTATGCTTGAAATCTCACTTCATTATGTACGTTGTTGTTTCTTTTTAATAACCTTTTCTTTGATTATAGCTTTTATTTAACGTGGACGTGTTAGTATTGCTTTCGTTTTATTTCTAGTTTCTTTTACAAACATTGATATAACAAAATTTGTGTTATTTTCCATAATCATATTAATTTATAAAATAAACAAATCAATCAGTTTCGACAAATAACGTTCATCTTAGTGAGAAGATTTTAGTTCATGTGTACCAAACACGCCACGAAAAAATTTAGGGATGTTTTTTGGTAATTTTTCCACAACTGTTGGCACTAACGTACCGCGTGATCGACTCTAGGCCAATCCGACGTCGCTAAACGCCTCGATAAACGCGTGAGTGAAAATATTCCGTGAACTGGCCCCTCAATCTTCTTGATTGTGCTTGTAGACGTTTATTTTCGCCATTTATTTTAACGGGTGGATGTACTCACATTACAATAGTCGTTTAATTGTATCCAAAGTGACAGTTCAGTGTTTTCGTGGCGAATTTTGGCGAAACTGGGTCAGTTTTAGCCACGCCATCGATTTTCAGAAATATATTTTTAAAACGTGTGTCGAGACGCGTTGTTTTGGAGTTGCTGGTTTAGTTGTATAAACAAGCATCGATCCGGTGGTGCCCCCACGTGGCGAGCACCTGAACTTAAGCTCGTATCGTGCGACGCATTGATGGTTTTTCGTCTCCATCATAGGTATGTTGGTGGAAAAATCGGCAAAAAAACATCGAATCTGTGTAAAAATGTTGTAAAAGATTGAGGTAATAGTGTTCTCAGTGTTCTGAAAAGAGTGATCAAGTGTGCCGTCGTGATGCCTAAAAGAAGCCTTCAATAGTCCACAGGCCAGGCCTCGTCTACGTATTCCCAATTCCGAGTATTGCTGTTTTCAAGAATGGTGCATCATACAACTTAAGTATGTTGTATTTTTGACTTTTTACGTAGAAGTGTGATTTTTGAGGGATTTTTATTCGGGGTGTTGGGTACGAGTGGCGTAAAATGACATCGTGTTCACGTCGGGGTTGCTGTCAAATATGGACAATTCCTTGTGGACATATTATCGGCGCCTACTTAGATAGTCCTTAAAAGTCTGAAATCTATTTAGGTTTGAACATGCCTATAGGCAAAATCGAACGAATTCGAATCAATTATGCCAGTGTTTTCGTACTTTAATGTGATTACCAACAATAGCGGTTATTAAATTAGCAAGTGAAATGTAATCACACTATTAGCGCCTGTGCATCGAAGATCGGAAACCATTTAATCCTGTTTGATTTCGATAATTAGTACGTGCGTTATTCATCCGTCGTAAATTAATTGAATAAAAGGAACTGAGGTATTTTTATCACTCTTATCAATCGGTTGAAAGTTAATTTAAACCAGAATATACTATTCATATGATTCGTGGAAGACGATTGTAGCATCTCCATGCTCATTTGAAATTCTATGTCAATTAATTCGTAATTCCTGAAATAATGCATTATTTATTATCACTGTTATTGCTCATTTCACAACTTTCATTCTGTAATTGATAAATTAAATTTAAGATTTGACCTTTCGTTACGTCCACTGTTTATCGGAGTTTCTCTGAAAAACATTTACGTTGTCTGACGAGAAAGATCAACGATTACAAGAAAACTTTAAATCTGAACTTCAGTCTTCTGTTACATCGGTGCGGTTACACTAGTTATTAATTACGACAGTTTGACTAAACGAAAGTAAAACCACCACGGGTTTTACCAGAACTCAGTCTCACACAAGACCATTTGTACAAGGAATTAGAATCCGAATGTTTCTTAATTACTAACTCGATTCTGAAAAATGCCTAAAACAAACACTCGGTATAATCTTGCCACCTGGCAACCGTAAATTACTTTATTCTTCTGAACAAACACCACCAGTTCATATCAAATACACCAACCATAAAAATTTCGTCTGACAATTATAAACGTGTCATATTAAAAAAAAAAAAAAACCTAAATTCGCATCATGATTAAATCCGTATTTTTGCGTATTTTTATCACGTTCTGGTTCACTGAAGAGGTGATTTGGAAAAGTCAAGGTTTTATCTTCTTATCGGTTAAATTTTGGAGCTGGATTGCTTTGTATACAAAAATGGTGTACAAACGTGACGTACAAAAATTAAAAAAAAAAAATGAATAATCACCACCAAGTTATATAAATAGAATTTTTATTAATTTGTAATAGATATGTTGTTAATTGTTTGATCAAATCATGGTACACTTGTTGTACATTTTTAAATCAAAGTAGAAAATTTGCGATAGTGACGTCATCGGTGTATGTTTTAAGTATTTTCGCGCGTATTTCAAAAAATAAATACTATTTTAATGCTTAATGGGGCATTTATTTGTTAAAAAAAGCTCATGACGTTACAGCTTTGAAAGCGGATTCAACTTGTACACTAACGAAGCCAATATCGACCGTCTCCCAAAGAGTATACAACGTGGGCAGATAGAAAACCTCTCGGCTTTCTTTTCTACGTTTTACACAGAAGAGTAATTTTCGTCGCTTTATCGACGCAGTTACATGTGGAATTTTCAAAGTAATATTGTTGTTTTAATGCCGCAGAAAAACACCAACTTTATCGACGCAATATTGGAAAATTTGGCTACTGTTATCGAGTGTTTAAAAAACGAGTGTGGTGTTCTAGGACACGTAAAATAATGTTCCAAAAGCGGGAGCTGATCATTTCCAACTTCTAATCTTAATCAGAATTCGCGTAGCGTATTTATGTTTTTTATTTATGAAGCACTTCATAACATTATCGATAATTCGGCCTTATTGGGGCAGATAAAATCGTGCTCACAAAACAGGTATAATTACACTTTACTTGTAACTACTGCGATGTTTGAAATTCGCTACGAGCTCCTTCTATTTTTTCGTTGTAGTGTGCATTGTTTACACTAATTAAATTTTTGTTTCACCCCATTTTGTAATGTAAGAATACAGTGATGGCGCGCCCGCCTACATTTAGTAATTAATTAATTAGTTCTCGGCTATTTGGACGAGGCGGAATCGATTGTTTAATGGTCGAATTCTTTCGACGCAGAGCAGATAATCCCCGAAACACTGGACCGATTGTTGTCAAATTTTATATGAATGTTAGAAATATCGTTCAAAATTTTTATGATCATCCCCGCCAAAAATATGATGACGTGACCTCAAAAATTTACACTTTAATTTAATAATTATACCATTATCGACTATCTGAAACACACAATAGAGTGTTTGCTTACACATACATTTTTTTCTTATGGCATTTCGTCGATTTTAAAACCCGGTTTTATCGGTTGCTGAAAATCAGTTCTTAAACGTTATAGGAAAAGATAATATAGTATCTATTTATACAATAGGAATCGATTATAAAACATCAATGTGGTGCTATTTATAGTGGTAGAAATCAATTAAGTCTCAACTGTCTTAATTAAGCGTTTTAAACATTTTAATAGTGTTAAGTAAGAATTTGCCTCTTCAGACAATTTAACAAGAGAAACGTTTTCCATTTTGTGGCAAGATTTTCAAACTTACAAGTTATGATTGACATTTAGTCAAGTAGTTCGTCCATCATTACAACGAGGCGGCAAAATTCACGAAATTTCAACGCCAACTTGATGCGCGTTCTCGTAATTTAATGTTGATTACGTGATACAACGTTGGTTTTCATATTGATAAATTTATCTTTTTATTTATCTGTAATACAACTGATAAAATTAAAAAATTGTTGTGGCCATTTATTGAATCAGAATCACAAATTTCTATGAAATTTTAAAAATCAGTGTTACTTATATTACTCTTAAATCATTTTGACTGACTTTCTCTGCATAATTAACACATTCCGTCGTTAAAATTTTACATGTTGTCAAACGGTTCGCGGGAATCGTAAATGACATTTGAACATCTTATCGAGGAAATATAGTTGGTGACGTTATTTCATCGAACTGTAGATTTGACCATTCATGCCTCTGTTGCTCCATTCAAGATAAAATTAGCATTCAAAAACGCTCCCCAGCGGTGGAAGTTTTTAGAGTGTCTTGATTTCCATGTAAAAATTTTAACAATACTTCATCGAATTATTAAGATAATTATATCGTACGTTCCTTGCACTATTGTCTGTCGTTATAATAGCGTCGTGTAGACTGGTTAATGCATACCGTGGAAAGCAACTCTTATTGTAATATCTAGAGAAGTTATAAAAATTGTTGGTGTAAGTTTTTCTTGACTTTGTTATAAGTGTGGCGTCCGTGGTATAGGGTGTTTATCAGTTTTATTTTTCGTTGCTTCTATTCAGAAATGTTTTTGTTAAATTTGTGGAAATTAGCAAAATAAATTTCCCATGGACGACTGTTGTACAATTATTTTGATAAGTATATTATAATATTGATGTAATTAAGAAAGTTGGTGATTAATTGATTTCTACTAATTATAAATAGTACGACTTTGACGTCTTGTAATCGATTTCGTTTGTATAAATAGATACTGTGTTATCTTTCCTATAACGTTTAAGAACTGATTTTCAGAAATCGATAAACCGGATTTTAAATGCATGAAAAGCCAGTAAGAAGATAATGTATATATAAGCAAGCTATTGTGTGTTTCATATTGATAAAAGTATAATAACTAAATAAAAAGTTGTGTTATTGCGAAGTGAGTAATCGAATTTCACAACTGATTTTATCAGTCATAAATTTGGGTTTTGCGGATTTTTATTTTCACAGATTGCTTTCAAGCGAAGTTATTGACTACATGCTTGCTTGCATAAATAAAACGAAATTTTATTTGATGGCACAAATAATATACAAATTTTGATGCATACAGTGTCACTCTAATAACAACAATATTGTCTGCTTAGAATAAAAAAATGATACGGTGTTTTCAAGGTTATCAATTAGTAACTCATGAATTTTCATAGCCAGTGTGTGTAAGTGATTAAAACTTATTAAATACTTTCATTAATAATTTTTTAAAACGATGGTATCGCAGTTCTGGTAAATTGATAAATTTTGGTTGTTTTAAGTAACTAAGGGAAATCATCAATTATTAAATTTGTTATTGTTGTAATTTGTGGCCGTCCGATTTTAATTTAGGATTTCTTTTAGGTAATTTCACGAATACAGAAAATGGGTTTAAAGAGATACTATGGGTTTTGTTACATAAAGATACTACTTTTGGTTTTTGTTGAAGTTGTTTTGCCTGAGAACGTATGTTCGCCAGGGTTAGGCATGCCGGGGTGTAAGTTACAATTCGCGTGAATTTTCGATGTTTTAATTTAATTTGTAGATACCATCCCCCGAGGAGACATAGCAATCGAATTTGGTAGCCCATTAGACATAACATGTGTTATAGTTAACACCAGTTCTCAAAATGCTAGTCTATCTTTCACTAGAAATAGTAAACCGATTCCAGGCGAAATGGTGAGTTAGGGAGTTATTTTTTGTTTTTGCTGACGATAGTGTTCCAGATTGACGTTATCAATGGAACGACCATAAAATTACACGTTGACAACCCGCCACTGGTGTCTGGTGACCAATACACGTGTGTATTAGATAAACAAACGAGCGTTTGTATGAACCGCGTTTCTGTAGGAAGTACGTGTTTTTGACACCCAATCCGTCAAAACTAATTTATTTGTTTCAGTCAAACCACAAAAAGTTACAGATTTTAGTTGCATATCGTATAATTATGATAACTTGACATGCTCGTGGACAACCCCGAACAACTATGTCCGTACTGATTACAATTTAACGTTTACTTTAGGAGAAGGTAGAGCAGCGAGGTAAACTATTAAAATCACCGTTCTTAAGTTTTTATTAAATAATTATTTTTCTTAGATATGTATACTTATGTCCAGCTATAGTTTCCGTCGATAACCGCAGCAGTTGCTTCTGGAATATTTCAACAACCCCTCACTACAGACTAGTGCACGAGAACTTCAATTTCACCCTCACAATGAATAACACTTTTGGAACTAACCAAATCAACGAACATTTCAACCATTTCGCTCACGGTTTGTATAAATTGGGTAATTTAGTCCATCCATTAATGCAAGGATTGTAGTTTTATCGGGTCCACCTGAAAAGCTAAAAGCTGAAAGTGCGACCGCCTCGTCTATACTCTTGTCTTGGGTGGTACCCTTATCCATGCAAACCTTCCCACCGGGTGTCCACCATCGAATTTTATACCAATGTGAATATGACGAGAAAAAATGGAAATATGGCGATATTCTCCTTAAACAGCCACACAAAAAAGTGACTTACAACCTAACGGGCCTCCCCTACGCCCACGCCCTATGCGACATCAGAGTCTCCTTACGCTCGGCCAAAGCCCTACCCAGCGACGAATCCATGTGGTCCCGCAACGCCTCCATCACTTTCCGGACGAGCAGCAAAAGTAAATTTTAGTGACCCAAATCGCGCAAGTATTGAGGCTCTGTTTCAGTCCCCGACGAGCCGCCGCTGACTGACGTGGGTAGTTTCGAGGTGGTGGCCTTCGGCAACAAACTCCAAAACCGAGAAGCTTACATCTACTGGAAGCAGATCCGAGAGGAGCAGAAGAACGGGCCGGAGTTCAGGTACGAGATCAGCTGCGAAGAAGAGCCCGAGCTCAAGCCAAGCAACGTCACGAACACATACGCCAAGTTCAACGAGCTGTCGATCTCCAAAAGCTACACTTTCCACATATGGTCGAAAAACGTGGACGGATCGTCGTTGCGAAGATCGACGGTCCGTGTGCCGAAGCAAGCCGATCGTAAGACGCGACTTAAGTCGGTAGTGCGCGATATTAAAGCTTTGTTGCAGGGGTGAAAGAGCCAATACGTTTCACCAAGGTGGAATTCAGCGAAGGGAATTTTGAGCTGACGTGGGAACCACCGGAGTTGCTCCCGACTCAATATATCACAAATTACACGATCTTTTCGTGCACGAATGAGCGGGATAGACCGTATCAGTGCACGGTATGTGATTTTAGTTTCCAAAAATTCTAGTCAAGTCTTAACTTATTCGTTTGTTTCTAGGGGTTGCTTAATTGGACGGTCGTTTCCAGTTCGACCACGACCGTCAATATGAAAGTGGACAAAAGTAAAATTTTCCAATTCGCTATAGCAGCGAATACCCGTGAAAGCAGCAGCGGCATGCTATGGGCCGCTTGCACCATCATCCATAACAAAAACATGGGCAAACTCAAGAACGTTTGGATTAACCGAGTCGGACCTACGTTCATCGAGCTCGGTTGGAAGTTGGACTGTACCGACGGAATCGGGAGTGTGGAAGGTTACATTGTGTATTTCTGCCCGATTAAAAGCCCGCTTCACTCGGAATGCAAAGGTAGTGCATGGGTTCATACTTCGATTTTTCTACGATCGTCATTTTTAGCTCCACAAGCGAACACCACGTTTGGTGATACCACGATTTCTCGTGGTAACATCACAGGCTTAAATCCTTACACCACGTACATGTTGACCATTTCTGTGATAACTAAACACACCACATTTAGTCAGCAGAGCGATCCCTTGTATAATACGACGCTCGAAGCCGGTAAGATGGTTAAAGTGAGGTTAGGGCGTGTTACGATGTGATTGTTTTAGCACCAAGTCATCCACAAAATTTGACGGTTGTTAATGTTACTAATTCGACGATCACGGTGGGTTGGCAGCCGCCGGCGGCCCGGAATGGGGTGTTGAAGTTCTACGAACTTGAAATTGTGGGGAATAGTCGTCTGATCACCAACAGGAGCGAAAGTACTCAGACTAGTTTTACGGTAAGTTTTGGATGCGCGCGCAGGAAATTGTCTAAATTCTAGTACAAATTGAATGCTGTAACTGTTTTACTGCAACAAATTAATGTTTGTGTATTTTATAAAGAATCAATGTAACAATCTATAAACAGAGTTTATTTTGAAGTTGCTGGAATGAAATGTACATCAAGTTTTTTTTGGCACTTTGGCAATAAACAGTATATCTTTCTTTGATTTATTAACGTCTATTTCTATACTTCAGTATGCTAAAATTATACTGGTTTTAAGAAAGTTTTGTTCACGATTCTAGGTACTCTATAAGACTAAACACTGAATAGTTGGAACAGCAGATGTATCTTATAAATATAGTTTACGGATCCTAGTTAATATCGAGGTCGGCAAATTCTTTTTCCAAAATTTTTACAATTTTAGATATAATGATATCACTGTGTCCTAGTGTCAGCACATGGTAGGACCTTTTTACAGGAATATCCTACTACAAATTTCGTCGTGTTGATTTCAATTTAATTTTTAAAAATAGGTCAAAACTAACTACATATTAGTAGGAACTTATTTATGTTCAGTTTAAAAGTGGTTTAAAATCGTATGTTTTAAAACTAAAATTTTTAGATATTAGTGGCTCCCTGGCTAAGAATCCAGAGAATATTTTATAACATAAAAATTGGTCAAAAGTTGTATTCGCAAAATTTTCTGGGTAAATTCATTAATTTTTTTGAGTCATCGTGTATAAGCAAATCCAAAAGATAGGAATCCAGTGATAAATTACAAGTATAGACTGATCATATTTTGCGCATTTTAGATAGGATTTATTTTGAGATGACATAAATTTTTTGAGGTTGATAAACAGATCTATTTTGATTAAAAAGTTCCCATGCTTACAATAACTTCAGGACGTCTACAAGATTTCAAAAAATATTAATGCAATGATAAATCACAAGTGTAGATTCATCATATTTTGCACATTTAAGATAGGATTTATTGCAAAATTTTGAGGTGGCGTCATCAATTTTTAGGGGGATGAGCAAATGCATTTTGAACAAAAATTTACCAGGTTTATCGTAACTTTAAACCATTCCAAGATTTCAAAGCATTCGGTTTTCCAGTACCCTATTAAATGAATAAAATCAATTCACGCATTAATTTTTACTCCCCGATAAATTTTTGATCAAAATGTCCCCCCTAAAAAATTGATGACGTCACCTTAAAATATTGCTGAATACAGGGTGTTATTGAAAGGTGTGTACAACAAAATTGACAGTTCTTCGTAAAGTCGAAGAAGTCTGAAAAACTTATTTTGTGTTATAAGGGGAAAATTAACCCTTATCCAACCTTTTTAGACGCTACTGAAAGATAAATGGGTAAAATTAATTTATTTCAGTAAATCCTAGCAACTGTAACAATAAAACTTTTGTTAAGACTAAATGTTGCTATAGAAACGAGAAATATTTTTTTTATCAGAGCCGTACAACGAATTTGGACATAAATTTTGATCATTTTTATCTCTAAAAGGAAAACACTTTTATCTGAACTTTTTTTAACTTTTAGCACCCACACTTCGATACCAATTGCAGATTTTATTTTATACGTACCTGTCAATAACACGCTGTATATCCTATCTTAAGTGTGCAAAATATGATAAGTCTAAACTTGTGATTTATTTTTAATACAGGGTGTTACTGAAAGGTACGTACAACAAAATTGACAGTTATTCGTCAAGTCTAAGAAGTCTGAAAAACTTACTTTGTTTTATCAAAATTATAAGGGAAAAGTTAACCCTTATCCAACCTTTTTAGACGCTACTGAAGGATAAATAGGTAAAATTAATTTATTTTAGTAAACCCTAGCAACTGTAACAATAAAACTTTTGTCAAGACTAAATGTTGCTATAGAAACGAAAGATGATCTTTTTATCAGAGGCGTACAACGAATTTGGATATAAATTTTAATAATTTTTATCTCTAAAAGGAGAACACTTTTACCGGAACTCTTTTTTACTTTTAGCACACATACTTCGAGACCAATTGCCGATTTTATTTTATACGTACCTTTCAATAACACGCTGTATATAATTAATATTTTTTAAATCTGCTTATACAAGGTTTCTCAGAAAAAAAAAATATCCAATCAGATTTTGAAATTTAACAAGTTTTTACAAGTTTAATAGGGGCAAAATCAGTCTTATCTTAGCAAATGTTAGCCCCGCCCATCCGCCTCCTATCTTCTCAGAGGGTATGGCGTTTGCCAAAATCAGTCTTATCTGAGTAAGTGTTAGCCCCGCCCACCCGCCCCTATTTTCTCAGACAATATGTCATTTGCCAAAATCAGTCTTATCTTACCAAGTACTAGCCCCGCCCACCCGCCCTCCATTTTTTCAGAGGATATGTCATCTGCCAAAGTCAGTCTTATCTTAGCAAGTACTAGCCCCGCCCACCCGCCCCTATTTTCTGAGAGGGTTATGGCGTTTGCCAAAATCAGTCTTATCTGAGCAAGTGTTAAATCCTCCCACCCGCCCCTATTTTCTCAGAGGAAATGTCATTTGCCAAAATTAGACTCATCTTAGCAAGTACTAGCATGTACTACCCTCTGAGAAAATAAAGGGCTCTTACTCCAGGGAAATAAAATATCACTCATATTTTTCACTTTTGCAATTAACTTAGAAACTGCAAAACAGAAACTTCTAAAATCTTGCCAGTTTGAAGGTTAATCAAAAGTATTCCGGTTATCCTCTCTGAAAAAATTAATGTCATCTCAAAATTATATAAAATAACGCACTCCTGCACTTGTGGTTTATGAATCCGTGTTATGTGACAGACATCCAAGTTTTTGGAAAAATGTGAAAATCGAATAGCAACATTTTTCAGCTTAACTTTGAAATTGCAAAACCGAATATTTGGAATCTTGAATGTTTTAAGGTAATTTGAAACATTGTAAAAAGAAGAGGTTTAACTCCCTGAAGGTGGCGAAACGTCGAAACTTTTCTGAAATTTTACACGATCCAAGCCCGAAAAACGTCTATATCAATATTGTAAATCGTTAATCAAAATTTATCCGTTTATGACGTTAACTTACAAATTGGCCGAATGCAAATTTGAATGTTATAAAATTACAAACTTATGTGTGATTTATGAGTCCGTGTTGAGTTTCACACAGAAAAAAACAAAAAATCTAAATCCTTGTTAATCATTTTATTCATCGTAAAATTTTTATGCATTCTCGTATGAAACAATGGAACAGCTTGTAGACATAATTAAAATTGGTGTATGCGGTCGCAATGGCGAGTTTATAATTTTTCCGTTGTTTTTCATTTGTTGTAATTGTTGAATTATATGCAAATATATGAAGTAATGTATACAAACAAGCTGTATTAAACGAAACACGATATTTAACACCCCCTAAAAACTGAGTATCTTTTATTATTGAAAAATATTTATCACACTGGATAGTTTATTACTACCAATGAAACGTCATTGACATTATTTTTGACAAGTTTTCCACTTTCTTAATTCACTTTTAGCTCGTTATAGTTATTGCGTTTTTTCGTTTCATGTGTCACTTTTAACATATTTTTTTGTCTCCAGTTCGAAAATCTGACAAGCTATGAAGACTACACGATCTCACTTGCGGCATGCACAGTAATGTGTTCAGATAAAGTAATAACTAGAAATAAAACTGCAATGGGCCGTAAGTCTGAAATGATTAGTTTTGTTGGCCACTTCTAACGCAAAATTCCAGGTCCAAATAAAATTGCTAAACCGACAGTCGACCGTCGCAATGGCACTTCAATCACGATCGCTTGGAATAGACCTTCCCAACCAGGCGGAAACAGCACTTTCTACCTTGTGCGACTGCGCCCCAAAGACGACAACAAAGTTTTTGAATACAACACGACAGGTACGTGTTCACGCGAAAGTCGCATGAACAACCTGCGCTATTTACAATAATCTATTTCAGGACGCACATATGTTCTTCAGAATTGTGGCGACGGCGGCAAATACAACACGTTTTACGTTTCTGTGAAGGCCATTAATAAGATTAAGGGAACGGACGTCGACGGTCCGTGGAGTGATGAGTTAGAGAATTATTGCTACAGACCGATCAACTACGTTATGTATTTATTACTAGTACTCGCTATAGCGGGTTTGATTAGTGTAGGTTTTCTTTTCACGAGGTACTAATTCGATTTTGTGATTTTTTCGTGTTTGACGGTTATTCGTTCCAGATTATATCATCGCTGTAAGATAATGCAGGATGTGGAGGTGAAACTTCCTCCAGGGTTAGCTCCCGTTGTTGCCGATCATACTCTTGTTCCTTGGAGTACTGAGAAACACCAAGAAAGTCGTACTCCGCACTCGCCTCCTGATGAGGAATTGCTTCTAGTGAAAATGAGTGAAGGTAGAAACTTCAGTGGTGATTCCAGTGGTTGCAGTTCAGGACACGAAAGTGTGACTTCTTCGCTGGAATCGGGTACTCACATATCTAGTAGTGCCGATTCGGGTACTGAGCAGCCCGGGAATTACTGCGCTTTGGGTGTAAATCCGAAGGTAGTAGATTCGTCGTATATACCGGTCACTGTTGACGCAAAAGAACCGTATAAGAGATGCGACGATTTAAGCGATTCGTCGCCTTATGTAATGACAGGTGAAGCAGTTAAAACAATAAATCCAGGATATATACCTTTTAATCAGACTGAACCGATCGAGAAAAATTCAGGTTACGTGGTCGCAGGAATTAAGAACGTTAATGGGTATATACCCTTCAACCAGACTGACACTGTTAGCAGAAACACGGGATATGTAGTTGCTGGTATTAAAAATTGTAAACTAGATTAGAGACTTTACTTGCGTTGATCATATCACTCATACTGGGACAAATTAAGACGTTCTGTTGATTCTCCAGCATTTCACTCTAATTAAGTAATCATGTAATGGTGTATGTGTGTTTGTTGCGTTGTGTCTTTTTAATAAGAAACTCAAATTATTTTTTTTATTTTCTTTGGATTTTTTATACCGTGTTATGTACATACTACTTTTAATTTTAATTAAGCATAATTGTATATATTTTTACATATACTTGTTATAGTTTTAATCAGATCATAAAAAGGGCAAAATGACTTGTGACTGGTCTAAATGTTGTGCCTTAATTTATTGACTGAACACTGAATGTCTGTGGTTATCGCTACTGATACGTAGAGAACTTGCCAGATTTTAAATTTAAACAGGTGCTTTATCGTTGCAATGCCAATTTAGTGATAATGTTCTTGCACTGACAATTGGTTCGTAATTTGGCTTTATACTTAAATGTGTTTTATTATGTTGTGTTTTCTTCACAGTACGTTAGTCAATTTAAATTCCCAAAAATTACCCACCGAGTGAAGAAAACAACGATTATCTTATACTTGTTTTAAGTTTTTAATGCCATGTAAATTACCAAATCGTTATCAGATGGAAATTACTTTATTTTACGTACTAACATTGATCGCTTGAGTGACAAAATCGAGATCGTTGCTCTCATTCATTTTGTCCGTAACTGCACGGATCGATTTTCTTTTTTACGTTTTATTATTTAATAAACACTTATACAAAAGCCAACATACATGATTATTTTAATTTATTATATGGCAGCATTTTTGTGTTCCTATGCTTAAAGAGTTAACATTTATAACATGTGGCCTCCCCTTGCCATTTAGATTTGGAATTGGTTCATGTCTCCCAGTATAACATGTACCTGAACTCGTTCTCCGTTTCAATTTGTTGAACTAATTTTATGAGATTTTAGTTAGGTGCAGATTACTCAAAATTTGTTCTTCAGCAGTAAATTATTGTAATTTTTCTCTGATGAAGATTTGTATGATTTTTAAGTAAATGTTTAAATTGTGTCATGAGTGTAAATTCGAAAATTGTACCTTTATTATTATTCATATTATCGTCATTGTTCCTTTTCCATTATTACATTTAATCAAATATATATTTATGAAATATTTTTGCATTTTATTTAACCAGTTCAAAGTGAAAAAAGGTCACAGTCAAACAATCTCTAGTTTTTATATTGACATAACCTAGTGATTAAGCTGATTATCACTTAGAAGTGTCAAACAATACGTCAATCACTGGAAATATTAATGTTAATGATTTACCAACAGTAGATGTCCTCCGTGTGTGAATCTCCTCACTTTTATTTATTTCTGTCGAACTAATTTGAATTTAAACACATTTGATGATTGATACCAACCGCTACAATCGTGCCAATAAAACAAACCAGTAATAATTAATAACGTTGACAGAAACAACAAAAAAAACGTCCTTCAATGACGTTTTCTGAAAACGCATTGGACTTTTCTCGGTTTAAACTCTCCCGCTGTCTATACTAATTAAAATCTTGGAAAACAGTGACCTTCAATTTTAAATATACTTAATTAAATAATTACCTAATTTGTCATTGATCATAGAACCAGACGACTAGTATTTGTGGCGCATAGCAACACGGTCAGAGGAGGCTGGGTGCGGTGACTTGGAAATTTTGTTATTATTTCAAGTTTTTTTGAGAACAGACACGTAAACTTGTATACATTAGAGCTTCTTTTTGCTTCACCCACTGAAATTAGAGTGGTACATATTTCTATGTTTTTACTTTCTTAGCAGAAGCTAAGGAAGTATTGTACTAGAGTCCAACCGACGAAAGGCTCCTTTTATGTCACGGTGGTAAATGTTATTTAAATTTTATAAGTTTGCATACTCTTACACAGATATATTTTTGGGAAAAAATCAAAGTTACAATTTAACTTTCAAAGTATAAACATAAACAGTCTAAGTTAAGCATGTTCTGAGAATACATTTTTTCCATTGGTTATCTCTGCTTTAAATATAGTTCACATTTTTCGCACTAGAATAGACCGCGTTCTTTTAGAATTTGCACCCTCGCAGCCCAGGGATTGCAGCGTTGTTATTTTCGTCACTGGTTTTTAAGTTATAGAGGTTATCACAAATTTGTCAGTTTGCTCTACACTATTAAGTTTTATACAATTATTCGTTAATTAGTAATAACCACCAAATTGATAATGTGGCGCCATTTATCGCACACAGTCCAAACATGTAGAGTCATTATCCTAAAAAATAACTTTTTAAAATTATGTACCTTGAAAACGGAGTCAAAGTCTTTAAACATGGTAGTTTTTTTTTTAAATATGTTTTTAAAAACAGGGTCAAATACTTTATTATAATGTTAACTTTTTTAAAACTACGTTGAAAAATGGAGTCAAATGTTTAAAACAGGGTAAAAATAACCTTGAAATATTTGCTTTTTTAAATATACTTTAAAAACAGGGTCAAATTCCTTAAAAATGTTAATTGTTTTTTCGAAGGTGATTTTTTTAGCCGAAATCGAATTTTATATGTCTTAAAAATAGGACAGAATCCTTAAAATTAAAAACAGTGTCGGATTAAGGATGTAGGTAAGTGAAGAAAAATGTTGCCGGTGGGAATCGAACCACACGTTTCCCGCTTGCCGACCGGGTGTCCTGACCACTAGACTACAAAGCGGCTTATCGTTCTTCGCTTACCAACCTGTTATTGTGCCGTCCAGCGGGAAATTTAAGTAGTGGAGCTCTATGGTATTGTATACAGATGCTGTTTGGGTATTATTATTACTATTATTATTTTCAGTTTTGCTGGCGACATTGGCGTTTTGAAAAAATGATGTTGTTTTTGGAATTTTGCTGACGCTACCATGAAAAACAAAGTTAGTAAAAAATTATGCTTCTTAAAATTATAAAATTAGATTTAGCGATTTTCGTTTTGTGATACTGTTAGTGATACTGATTTCACATGTTATTTTATAAAATTAGGGTATGCAGTTCTATAAAATTTATGACGTCATTTGTTTGTAGGAGGCGATAAACGAAAAAATTTTAATTAAAGATTTTGTTTTCTAATTTATTATAAGCTGCTGTAGCTTTTTTTTTAAGAAACCAGGCCAATTTTGCCGTTGAAATGTGTTTTTTTTTTTGTAAAAATCTCAAAATCTTTAGAAATCCACAACTTTTTAAAAAATAACCTTGATAATGGGGTGAAATGTTAAAAAATGCATATGATTAGCCAAATATAAAATTTAACGATTGGTTCAGTGGTTTCGAAGATTATCTGTCTAATAAAAATCCGGACAGAAGGCAGACAGACAGACGGTATCGGGAGACCTATTGTTTTGTACTGAGTTTACACTCTAAAAGTAAAAAGATGCTCTTATTTAATATTTACGTATAGTTTTTTATGTTTCTGTTATATTTTTAGGAATATCTGCTGCAGTCGTAATTGTAACATCCTCTATATAGTTATAACGAATATTGTAGATATTTGAAAATATATACATTATTCATTTCAAGAAAACTTTCAAACACTATTATAATCGAAAATTTCAGGATGGAGACTATATGGAGATGTTCAAACGTATAATTTTCTCCAACGTTGTCTTATATTATATCTAATAACACGTGAGAATTCGTAATTTTTAAATAAAAATATGTAGCACCCTTGACCAATAAAATTTCAGAACAGTGGCCACCATTATTGTCATTGTGATATTCAATATATCGTTAAACTTGGTTTTTACCATGTATGGTCAGACTACGTGAAATATTCTCTCATAATTAGAATGTACGTGGTGTGTGGTTTCTTCCACAATTTAAAATTCTGTTGACGTAGCGTCATTTCACTTTGTTTACAAAAAAAAAATGCATACGTAGATCTTGCAAACAAAAAGTTGTTATTTTGCATTTCATCATGAAACATGATTTTCGAATTATAGTATCATCGCGATACGGTGACATACGTTGTAAAAATCCGACGATTTGATATAAATACGCTTGACTTTTACTGATTAGTACGATACACTATTTTGTTATCAATTATTGTCGTCCGGTTCCCCTCCAACCTTACTTTAGCATTAACTTTACAGCTTTTACATTTATTGTGTTCGCGACTGTATGGTGAATGTGTTGTGCACTTCAGCGATTTAGCTCTCTCTGTGCTCTCTCTTGATATAAAAGTTACAAAACATTATTGACCTAAATCGGTGACATTAACAAAACACTTTCTAATTATTTCAGAATAAACGTAACAATTTAACGTAACATCTACGTTTCCGAGACCTAACTTGCCATACCAGTGTAAGTACTTTGTAAGGTCGTTAATTACAAGTTAAATAACATATGTCAAAAAGTGAGGTTACGTAATCAGCTTCTTTACAGGTTATCGAAAATTTAAAAATGCCGTGCCCCTTTTTAACAAGGCTCAGCCAAAATTACGTGAAAAACTATGCATCGATTCTGCTTAAAACCTACGGAAACCAGTGCCCTGTAATTTCGCACAGCATGAGTACTGTGGCTGGACAGGATATAAAAACGTCTCAAGGTAAATTTCGCTTATTGCAACGTCACGACAAAGTATCACCCTTGTTTTAGAATCTCAAGAGCAGAGTTCCTGTCCGTTTTTGAAGGAAGTGAACAGTGTCATCAAAGAGGTGAAAAACGATGACACTATTGAAATGAAGAATGACACTTGTAAGTTGACCCTTAATGACAGAAATAAAAGTTTCAAAAACAATTTTGCAGCGGTGTTTGCTTACGATGCGTTCTTCCACCAACAAATTATGAAGAAGAAAAAGGAGCACAGCTACCGCATTTTCAAAAAAGTTAACAGATTGGCGGGGCCTGGGCAATTTCCTAGTGCTCTGGAGTATTCGTGGGGGGAAAAACCCATCACTGTGTGGTGCTCTAATGACTACTTGGGAATGTCCTGTCACCCTCAGGTTAAGCAAGCCGTGAGGTAAGCGACTTTGTGTTATCAGTATTGCTAAAACAATAGTGTCCAAGGTGCATGTATTGTATCATAATTAGAACATTCTAGAAAATAGCATATTCAGATGGTTATGTAACGTCGCGATAACTGTTAATTACGCTTGATTACCAGTCGAAACAGCCTTATCATCATTACACGCAAATTTAAACACAGCTATTTTAACCATGACATACCTTTGAACTAGTTTGTATGCAAATTTTTTTAATTGTTCGAAGGTTATATTCGCATTCGTGAAAAATAGATATCGTATTTGTGTTTGCACGGTTTGTGGCTTCCGCCGGAAGTCGAACAATTTAATAACATATTATTTACAAAAATATCTGTGTCTTTATCATGGAATTTATTTGTTAAACATTGAAACCGCGATAAATGCATTTCGCAGCTACGCTGTCAATTTGTTGCAACACTTTGTTGTCTAATTGACCAATCAATCTTTTTAATGTTCAGAGAAAAATGAGACTAAAAATATTGACGTTAAGCTGATGTAATCTGATTATCTTATTATCTTTATGGGACATACAGTGTACTCCACAAAACACTTGTACTTGTGTACTTAGTGTGACTAATAAAATGTGCATTTAATCTTGTGGTTAATTATTTTTACTTGTAAATATTTTCAGCTTGTTTTGAACATATACTTCTACTTATGGTACTTGTAATAATTAATTATAGTTAAGTACCACAATATAGCACTAATTATACGTGCCTACGTACATTAATTGCATATAAAAGAAATTTAAAGCTACGTTTTATTAGTCATTAAATGGCCAACTTCATTTAAATAAATAATTTGAAAAATGTTTTTGAATAAATTATTGTTTTATTACATAGAAATTGGTGGTTTTTCATCTGGGAATTTTCTTTTATTTGATGACACATTTTGAACCGACTGTTTATCAGTTCGTGGGAAATTTTTATCAGTTATCTAAGAATTGCAGGAAATTTTTATTACCTTTATTTCTTTGTGCGCTTTTTTACTCTTTAATCAATGAAGCTTATTTTTGTTGTCTCTTTATATCTTAGTGGATAAATTATGATTTATTTTGTAGTTATCTAAATCTTAATGTCAAGGTTTTGATTAATTTTGCACACTTGACAGCCCTCTGTGATCTATGGCTTCAATTATAATTAGATTTTTTTATCGATTACTTTTATCTAGTTTTATTTAAGAAAAGTCGGGCACAAAAAGTAATATTGAGAAATATTTCCGCAGAGATGCTCTTGAAAAATATGGCACTGGAGCTGGAGGAACTAGAAATATCTCTGGAAATTCCACCTTGCATGAAAAACTGGAAACTCTATTAGCATCGCTACACCAAAAAGAAAGAGCTTTATTGTTTACTTCTTGTTTCGTTGCTAACGATTCAACTCTCTTCACGTTGGCAAAAACGTTACCAGGTAAATTGCGTGCGTTTGTCGTAAAATTTCAAAAGAATTTGCGGTCATTTCCGGCGAAACTCAAACCCGCAGAAATGATGGTTTGGGTTAACACGCAACTTTCCACTTACTAAGGCTTTTTCCCAGATTGTCGGATTTTCTCAGACGCGGGTAATCATGCTTCCATGATACAGGGTATCCGGAATAGTCAAGTACCGAAGTACATCTTCAGACACAACGATCCCTCCCATTTGGAGGAATTATTGAAAGGAGTCAATAAAAATATTCCGAAAATAGTTGCATTTGAGACGGTTCACTCGATGTCGGGAGCGGTGTGCCCCCTGGAGGTATATTTTTGAAAAAAAAAAAAAAAAATATATATATATATATAGCTATAGGGTTTTTTTTTTATCAGGAACTCTGTGATGTTGCTCATAAATATGGAGCCTTAACTTTTATTGATGAAGTGCACGCTGTGGGATTGTATGGCGAACATGGCGCTGGAATCGGGGAACGGGACGGAAAGTTACACAAAATGGATATCATTTCGGGAACATTGGGGAAAGCGTTCGGAAATGTTGGTGGTTATATTGGTGAGTAAAAACAAAAATAAAAAAGATTGGAGCATCAGTTCGTATTTAACTGTCAAGTTAATCTAATCTGTATAACGTATCGTTTTTTTATCAAATTCTGATGGCATAAATCTGCATTAATTTTAATAGCCACTTGAACGTAATCTCGTTACAAAAAACTAAATAATACTGGACAGCGTAGCTGTTGAAGCGCGTTTGTTGAAAATTTCTTTTTTCCAGCGTCGTCTTCAACTCTAGTCGACATGATCCGCTCCTACGCCGCTGGTTTTATATTTACAACTTCACTGCCCCCAACGGTGCTATCGGGCGCGCACAAAGCCATCGAAATTTTGGCGTCGGATGAAGGCAGAGAGTTGAGAAAGCGCCACCAAGAAAACGTCAAATATCTCCGAAACAACTTACTGAGAAACGGATTTCCAGTTGAGCACACTCCGAGTCACATCATTCCAATAAAAATCGGAAACCCGGCGCAATGCGCCTCCGTTTGTGACACATTATTGAGAGAGAAAGGCCATTACATCCAAGCGATTAACTACCCCACGGTGGCCAGAGGTCAAGAGAAACTTCGATTGGCCCCAACACCCCACCATACGAAGGAAATGATGGACATTCTCGTAACGGACCTTAAAGAAGTGTGGGAAAACTTGAACTTACCGTTCACGGGCCTCCAGTGCGGAAAGGTGAACTTGTTTAACGTGTAATAAAATAAACTGATTTTGTTTTTCAGGAATGTCGGTACTGCCAAAAGCCGATTCTGTTCGACTACTTCGAGTCGAGAACCCGGGAATCGTGCGCTAAGGATCTTCCTTGTGACATTCCAAACTGCCCACAATTAGTTGGTTTTGTGTAAAAAAGGTGCATTTTATTTTTGTTAAAACGGGATTGGCGGGGAAATTGCTTTAGTAAATTTATCAAGGAAGTATTTTTTTATTTAACCCAAGTTAATAGTATTTCGGAATGTGGTTAAAGTTTCTTTGTGGCTGTGGGGCAAACAAGGTCATTTAGTCAAACGAGGCAATATAGTTGGTTACCGAGCTTTAATTATATGGGGGAGGTTAAAAATACATTTATTTTTGTTCTCAACTAGTAAAAAAGTTACCTAAATAAATAACTACTTTTTTAATGCTTTTTTCTTTGATATTTGTGATGTCCCTAAAATGTTGCTGTTCTGGACAAACCCAAATGTCAATATGATTTTGTTAATAATAAACAAGTAATAACATTTTTTGTTTGTCTGAAAGAAAGAAAGACTCAATTCAGCGGATAGAAATGTGTCGTGTGCGCAACGCAAGTTTGTTCTAAAATTTCAAAGCGCATGCGCGTTTCAATCAAGGATCCAAGGTTACAGTTGCACGGTAAGTAAATTAAAAGCAATCAAAAATAATCACAGTGCTCTCAATTTCTCATGAATTCAGTACATCGTTTTTAAATTTAAAAAAAAACTAATTATTACCAGACGAAAAACAAAAAACTACATGGTTTTAAGATGTTCAAGTGACCACTGCTTTAGTCCAGAGTTTCTTTGTTTGGAATTAATACGTCCAAGAATTACAAAATAAATCTACAGGGAAAGTTTTGAACAAAATTGTAGTCTTTATTTATTTACAATAATTAAAGATCTTAATACATTTTCATTTTAAAAAGTATTATTTTCGGTCTTTGGCGGGTTACAAGTGACCTACTTCCTCTAACGCGAATGTGTTTCAGGCTCTATCCATTTCTATTCGAAAGTAGGTCGGAGGTACCATCGCACCGACACAAGAGTTACCAAAATTTAATTTACCTGTTTCCCCACCCTATCTGTCGTCCATCTTTTAGCCTACTTTGTTGCTTTGTAGTGGCCCACAAATGTCAAATGAGTGACAAAATTGTCAGAGAACGAATAAATGTACATATATTTGATATTCTGTTTCAAAAGCAAAAATCGAACGATTTCCTGTGCGGTGTTGCCGGTTGTATTTTCCTACCCAAAAGTGGTGTCTACGGTTCTTTAAATTTATAATGAGCATGCTTTTGTAACCACTTTTCTAGTATGTTGTTAAAAAACACTATTTCAAATAGTGGAATGCTTCTTTTTATCAACCATTGGCATTTCCAGCACGCTCTCGACGTTTCCCTTGTTAGTGGTCGCCATGGGCGGCCCATATATGTGTGTTCAGAGGGGGCCTCACGTACCGCTATTTAACACCTATAAATAAACAATTTGTTAAATAATTGAGCTCCCACAGTTTCAATGCCCAGATAACATTGCGCTAAGAATTCGTCTCGGTTTGAAACCAAATTTAGCATTTAGAAAACAAGACAAAAATTACTTACTTGTGAATAATCAATCAAAACACATTAAAATTATTATCTAATTAAAATGGTAATGAAATTTAGTGAACAGATAATTTAGTACCACTGTGAATATTTCATTATGCTACGCTCATTGCTCACGTGGGATACTGTGTGACATATGAATTGCATGATTAAAAATTTAACAATCTGTGACAGCTCGCTGATGTAGGTGACGACATTTGCTATGGTATTGATTTTAATGATGCAACTGTGTTAATCATGATATAATCTTATATCAGGTATCAAATAAACCTATAAATTGTCACGCCACGTATATATCTGTCTTTACTAACGTATTTATTGCAATTTTGAATATTTGAATCATGAGCGTACCTCAGATCCCTTACGTCAATTTATTCAATATCATTTATATAAATATCGAAGGACAAGGGGGTCAGCACAAAACCCTGCGATACGCCCGACGATTGACGAAATTTGTTGGAATGATTCAGGTTAATTTAAATCTTTTGAGAAGCTAAATTTATGCAATAAAAGCTTGCGGTGATGTGATCGATCGCCTTAGAGGAGTCACTGTACACACAATCAACCAGACTACGAACTCCTAAACAATAGATTGCTTCTCTCAGAAGATAAATTGAACTTTTATTAGTCGCATAACTAATTTTAAGTAGGTAAACGTGACGTTTTACATTCTTAAAAAAATAGTTGGGGCCCTTGAGGTTTTATCTCCTTAAAAAAAGACAGTTGGGACCCTGAGAAGGTGATTTTGCGATAACCTCGATAAAGTAAAAACTAGTGGCCTAATTAACAGTCCGCGACCCTCACAAGTGTACAGAGTATGAAAAAATGTAAATATTCTCAATTTGTCAACACATGCTTAACATCCACTGCATCAGCGGTTAAAATGAAATGAAATTTGATTTTGTCTCCTCTCAGTTTTTTTCCTATAAATACTATATAAATAAATTTGAAGAACATTTATTCGACATGTGGGTATCGTTGAGAGATTCAAAAAATAGCGACGGTTAGATTTTACAGATTTTTGAATTTGTCAATAGCCGGGTTACGGTTTGGAGAAGTAGAAGCAGGTAAACAGGTAAAGAAAAAGAGTTTAGAAATCCTAGAAACTGGAAGCGAAAGCACAAAGGCCAGGTAGACGAAAGATGATTATACACGGACGTATTTACATTGTACAAAAATTTAAAAGTACGCAGGTGTCTTCATTCTATGACGTTATCAAAATTACGTTTCTTGTTGTCGAAATAAGTCTACACATACTAAGAAAAAAAGGCAAAATGTAGCCCCACCCACCCACCCTATCTCAATTGTGATGATTTTTTTTTATTCGTCCTTATTTCTCTACGAGAAATTAAAAACAAGTTTTTGAGTATCGTGTTGTTCAAAGAATACTATATGTATTAAGAAAAAAATAAAGCTGGAGATTAGGCCCCACCCATACCCGCCCCGATCTCAATTCTCAATTGTGATTAATTTTTCATTCGTTGTCAAATCGAGGGCGGAGCTTAATTGCAAGATTTGTCTACAAGAATTTACCATTTTAAACATGTTTTAATTTTTTTGTTTTGAAAAGACAACTACGTGTATTAAAAAAAGGCAAATTATAAGCCCCGCCCACCCGCTCTGTCTCAGTTGTGATGATTTTTTTTATAATCGTTGAAATTCTTATTATTTCTGTCTCTAGAAGAAATTACCACGTAAGACATTTTTTTGAGTATCGTAGACGAAAGATTATTAGACACGGACGTATTTACATTGTACAAAAATTTAAAAGTACGCAGGTGGGTCCACGCAGTGGCGGCGTAGGGTGGTTTGGCACTCAGGGCAGTTTTCTATTGACCCCCCCCCATATAATAAAACAACAAATACTAAACGTGCTTACGGGTCTTCATTATGGGAAAATATTCTATGACGTCATCAAAATTACGTTTCTTGTTGTCGAAATAAGTCTACACATACTAAGAAAAAAAGGCAAAATGTAGCCCCACCCACCCACCCTATCTCAATTGTGATAATTTTTTTTATTCGTCCTTATTTCTCTACGAGAAATTAAAAACAAGTTTTTGAGTATCGTGTTGTTCAAAGAATACTATATGTATTAAGACAAAAATAAAGCTGAAGATTAGGCCCCACCCATACCCGCCCCGATCTCAATTCTCAATTGTGATGAATTTTTCAGTCGTTGTCAGATCGAGAGGCGGGGCTTAAGTGCAAGATCGAAAAAGACAAAATGTAAGCCCCGCCCACCCACCCTATCCCAATTGTGAGGATTTTTTATAATCGTCGAGAGCCAAAGAGCGGAATTCAAATGCAAAATTACCATGTAATACATTTTTTGAATATCGTGTTATTCAAGGGATACTATGTATATTAAGACAAAATTAAAACCAAAGATTAAGCCCCACTTATACCTGCCGTGATGTAAATAGTAATCAAGTTTTCATTCGTTGGCAGACCTAGGGGCGGAGCCTAATTGCAAAATCCATATTTCCTTACAAAAATTTACCACTATAAACGTGTCATAAGTTTATAAAAATAAAAAAAATGACCACGATTGAGATGGGGTGGGCGGACGGGGTTTATATTTTGCTTTTTTTTCTTAATATACATTGTATTCTTTGAACCACACGATGTTCAAAAACATGTTTTTAATTTTTTGTAAAGACATAAGTATTTTGCAGTTAAGCTCCGCCCCTTTGGCTCACGGCGAATAAGAAAAATCATCACAATTGAGATGGGGCGGGTGGGCGGGCTTATTTTTTGTTTTTTTATTTTAGAATGTGTAGACTTCTTTTCACAACATGAAACTTAAAGCATGTTTAAAATGGAAAATTTCTATAAGGAATAAATATATATATATATATATAATAAATTTGAGTTATTGAGAAATATATTATTGAGTTTAACCTACGCCGATTTTAATCAATTTTATAATTTTGAATTTTTAGATGTAGTCATTTTTGAATTTAACAATTTTTCAGTTTCCGTTTTTTCCAATTTCTCGATTTTTCAGATGTCATTTTTCCATTTCTTAGTTATTTGAGTTTGCAATTTTGCAGTTTTTCGATTTTACGATTTTTCAATTTTTCTATTTTTTGGTATGATCAGAAAGAAAGTACGAATCAATGAATTCTTAAAAAAACCTATTAAAAATGCATTAATTAAGTATACTTCGCCCTCTTGGCTCACGACGAATAAAAAAAATCATCACAATTAAAGTCGGGTGGGTGGGCGGGGCTTACATGTTGCCTGTTTTTTAATATACGTAGTCATCTTTTCACAACAAAAACTTAAAACAGATGACGTATATTAAGAAAAAAAAGGCAACATGTCTGCCCCGCCCACCCACCCTATCGCAATCGTGCTATTTTTTTTTACCCGTCGTAAGTCGTGGGTAAAGCTTAATTGCAAAATCCTTGTTTTTCTACGAGAACTTGTCTTGGCTCACGAGAAATCAAACAATCAAATATATATGTTGCTTTTTTTTTTCATATACGTGGTGATATATTCACAACAAAAACTTAAAACAGATGACTACGTATATTAAGAAAAAAAAAGGTAATATGCAAATTTTCGATTTCCTGATTCTCAAATTTTGAAATGTTTTCGCTTTTATCCGATTTTTGAATTTTACAATTTCTCGATTTCAAATTTATTCCATTTTTCCATTTTCTGAATTTTCCGACATTTAATTTTTCAACTTTATAATTTGGCAAGTTTTCGATGTAGTGATTTTGGAATTTATTGATTTTGTAATTTTTCAATTTTACGATTCTTCAATTATCCGAATTTCTGATTTTTAAAATTCTTCTGTTTTTCTATTTTTCAAGTGTTCATTAAAAATTTTCAATTTTCCTATTTGCAATTTTTAGATTTTACGATTCGGGTTTTCAGTTGTTCGTTTTTCCATTTTTCAGTTTTTCAATTTTACAATTAATAGATTTTTTCAATTTTTTGACTTCTTGATTATCGATTCAAAAAAATTCCAAATCGAGGGCGGAGCTTAATTGCAAGATCGATATTTGTCTACAAGAATTTATCATTTTAAACATGTTTTAATTTTTTTGTTTTGAAAAGACAACTACGTGTATTAAAAAAAAAGGCAAATTATAAGCATGTCTCAATTGTGATGATTTTTTTTTATAATCGTTGAAATTCTTATTATTTCTCCATCTACAAGAAATTAGACATTTTGTTGAGTATCGTGCTATTCAAAGGATACTATGTATATTAGGAAAAAAATAAAGCCAAAGAATAAGCCCCACCCATAACTGCTCTGATCTAAATAGTAATGAAGTTTTCATTCGTTGGGAGACCTAGAGGCGGAGCCTAATTGCAACATCCATGTTTCCTTACAAAAATGTACCATCTTAAACGTGTTTTAAGTTTCTAAAAATAGAAAAAAGCATCACAATTGGGATGGGGTAGGCGGGGTTTATATTTTGCCTTTTTTTCTTAATATACATAGTAAAAAAATGACAAAATATTAGAATGTATTGTAACGAAGTCCGTCGGCCGACTCTCTACTTTTACATTTTCTCCACCTTTCATGACCCCGTTTCCGTCTGTCTGTCTGTCCGTCTGTCTGCCGTCCCGATTTAGTTTTTTTATATATTTTTGCAGAGTGATTCTTCTGGAAATATTCTCTAGCTGTACGAGTGAGTTGTCGCTGTCACCCCTTGGTGTTTGGTACCTGGGGCAGACCCCACATTTACGCTGCCACTGGGTCCACGTGTTTTTGCGGAACGTGGACAGACAAAATTGTAAAAAGACGGACAACTTTTGATTAACGATTTACCATGACTCCAATATCTGCAAGATTTCACAGCATTCGGTTTTTGCAATTTCAGAGTTACAATGTTAAATATTATTAATTATGAAATTTTGATCAAGATGTACGTCATCCTATTGTTGGTGGGGATGATTATCCACCTATCTGTCTAATGAAAGTCGGGACAAATGACAGACAGATAGACAGAGGGAAACCGGAGATCTATTTTTTCGTATGGATCACTAAACATCGAGGAAACAAGAGTATCAATGGACTTGATTACCATAGGGTTATTATTACAAAGAAGTTAGTTTTTAAACGAATTAAACAACAGAATAATTTGGTTTCTCAAAAATAATGTAGACAAAAGTCGACCATAAAACTTGTAGGGATTGCCAAACAACTGGAAATTGTCATGCCTGAAATACTCGTCCAGGTTTGTGAAAACATGAAACGACGCGACCGCTTCTCTGTTTCATTTCTTTTACCTAAAAATAGTTTGCATATTTTTAAAGTTTAATACTGTCAACTTGACGTTTAATAAATAACTGTACGTATTGAGCTAAGACAAGCGGCTTTTCCGTCATGGCCAACTTGTGACATTTTTTTATTACGTTTTAAACTGTCCGAACTGTTCTCATTGGTGAGATTTAAAAATCTACTAAATAATTTCGTTTTTTCGGGCTTCTTTAATAAATAATGTTGAATTTTCGCATTGCTTTAGTCCGAATGGCATTGCGGCGCATAGAAAGTTGAACCTAACGTCGGAATGACAGCCGTCAATTCGTAAATAACGTTATCGTCGCAAACAGTCCACCGCCGCTGCACACACCGCACATGTGAACCAGGCAACAAAACAAACCAACAATGCGACCACCGAGATAATATTGGATAATATGACCTAGGTTTGTTGTGCTAATTTTAACATCGTTCGTAGCAGTCGTAGTATTTTTGGTGGACGTGTACGCTAATCCCGCCCCTTTGTTATGCGCAAACGTCGAATATCGGTACACGGACAAGTCCGCGGTTGCCAGGGAATTGTGAAGTAACCCTTGCGTTGCAGCGATTTTCGTGGTAGAAATAGTGTCGATAGCGCATTTTCCGTGCCGAAATGAACCACGACCGGATGGTTTGAACCCCGTTGTCCAGCGACGAGGAATTTCCACAACGGCGTAAAAATCGTAAGAGTCATTATGGTAACGTGTTATGGCAACGTAGGCTACGGGACAGCGGCGCATGCGCAGTCGAGCATGTCTTAGTGAGATTTTTGAGTACGGCGTCGAAAGAATTTAATTTGTGTATTGTTGTATTTTCGATGTGCGAGTTTCCCGACGAGTTGTGAATTTTCTTTAGTGATGGTGGTTCGCGGAGAGTGATTTGGCTGCGGTCGCCTAAACCGGCCGGACTTAAAATGAACTGGATCTCTTGTCATACAGAACCAGCGTGTTCGCTCAAATAGTTAATTTTTAAGTAGTAGTCTATTTAATTGTATGTAGGTTAAAGTCAGCTCTGTGTTCCTTTGTATTTTTAAAATGTACGCTAAAGGAAAGGGATCAACAGTGCCGTCCGATGCACAAGCACGCGAAAAGTAAGTGCAACTATTCTATGTAACACACGAACACATTGACAAGGTCCTGAGTGCCCCATTTTCGCCCTTTGGTGGCTACTTTGGCTGACGGCCCCACGTGGCCGTCTTGTGTCCACCCCGAACCCATTTCCCACCACTTCCGTTTGTTTATTACAAGACCCAAACACGTCATGTCATTATCAACAACACGCATTCTTACTACCTTTATACGAGTTTTTGACAACTACTGACACATTTCCAGGTTGGCATTATACGTATATGAATATTTACTTCACATTGGTGCACAAAAGGCAGCACAAACGTTTCTCTCGGAGGTGAGTTCGAGACACTTACTCTTCGTATCCTAACTTGTAAATTTATAGATACGATGGGAGAAGAATATCACGTTAGGGGAGCCTCCAGGATTTTTACATTCGTGGTGGTGGTAATGGCACGTTTTTCAGTTTTTTGACATACAATTTTGTTGTTGATTTTTTAGTGTATTTTGGGATCTTTATTGCGCGGCCCCCGAAAGAAGGGACACGTGTGAACATTCTTCAGAAGCAAAAGCCTTTCATGATTATGTGAGTGCCTATTTTGTAGTTTCCTACCAGTATCACGTCCACACTCACTGCTGTTAGCGCTAGTCCTTTATGGATCAATACTCCAGTTGGAGCATGGCAACGCTGCTTTAACTACGCGCTTGACCAGGTGTAATCGCCCAAGTCATTAGCTGATTTTCAAATATTTAAAATTTAGCGGGATTTCGTTTATTGCAAAATTTAAAAATTTTTTCCAAATAATAACAATATAGACACATTTACACAAACCTGAGAATTAAATCACAATCATCGCTTATTTTAACAGAGAGAATTTCTTTTTTCAACAGACTTCAAAATTTTTCTAAATTTAACATAAATACGTCTATTACTTTTGTAAGAATTCACCTTAAACACTAGTCTGATTGAATTCGTTTGTTCAATCTCCTCCACAAAACTGATGACGTCATCTCAAAATTTTCTTGCGTAAATCTGGTATGCTCAGTTATGTGTGGTTTAGTAAACCGTCCTTCATTTCAAGTTTCCATATATGGGTTATTGTAAACTTAACCGTGATTGGTTAAAACATGCACGTTGCCTAGCAACGGACCTCAATCTACCTGTTTGCAAATTACTTAAAATTCCAACAATGAAATTTAATCCTTTTAACGATGTCGGCTTAAAATTTTTGTACCTACTACCCGGGAGACACTCGACTCTTCCTCTTGTATCATAATAACATTAAATTTTTGAAGTAATAGTTTTCACAAACTCTCAACTGTTCTAAATTTATTGGAATTATCTGAAGCTTTGCATAAACTTTGTATAATTGAAGAATAACAATTTAATGTTTCTTTGACGTTTCATAGCTTGGAAAATGAAAAAGTAGGTCGCCCGTTTCCGTCTGGCTGTCATGTAATCACCTAAACTGCTGGGCCGATTGTAGAAATTGTGATATATTTGTGGTTTATTAATCCGTTTCAAATTGGCCCGGTTCTCGGTCGAAGCAAAAAGTTTTGGTTAAGTTGGAGTTAGTTTTATCAAAACTAGAAGAAAAAAAGAACATCTTGATATTAAAGCAAGGGATTTTCAAAGAAAATGAAAGGCAGTTGAAAATTTTGTAACCTTTGAATTATTGTGACAACTTTTGTCCCTCTCTGACTCTTTTTATCGCTTTATTAACAGTAATCCCTTGCGCATATAGGTTCAACACTCAATTTGTTTGTTCAACCCTTCCAAAAACTTGATGACGTCTTCTCAAAGTTTGCAAAGTAATTGTTTCTGTGTTTGAACTCTCTCTCGTTTTCCTGAAGTTCTAGAAACAGAAAATAAATTCTCAGTCAAATTTTATAATTCTTCTAATAAACTGGACTTGTTTAAGTGATTCCAAAATTAATTAAAGTTTCACCAAGAGTTTCAACAACGTGCCATGTTAAGTAATTAGGGAATTCCATTCCTCTATTCTACTTTAGTCAAGAAACGAACCCGCTTTATTTTATTATCAAATGTGCGTTTCGTCGTTTTCCACATTGTGCATGTAGCTAGTTTAAAAAACTGTTTTTATCATGATTATTTCTGAAAGTTGTTTTTAGGGCTTTGTCAATTCTGGTTATGGAGTAAACGGAATTGCACACGTAAGTCTTAGTTAAAGTTAGTTATTTTTGGGATTAATCATGTCGACTCGCAGAACACTGGTCCGGCACCAAGCCCCTTGGGACAAATGCCTCCAGCCGATGGCATGCCCGGCGGTCCAATTCCCCCTGGATTTTTTCCAGTAAGAATCGCCACCGGGATGACGAGTTTGATGTCTCTATCGATGTTTTTCTAGAATTCGACGATGAGGCCGTCACCTCCCACACACCCATCAAGTCAACCATCCCCTCATTCACAGCCACCCCCGCCTCATTCACAAATGATGTCGACACAACCGTTTATGGGTCCTAGGTATCCCGCTGGACCCCGGCCCGGAGTAAGGATGCCTCAAATCGGAAGCGATTTCAACGGAGTATGTATCTAGAGCGTCTATCTCTCTCTTTAACGTTTCATTTCTAATGGTAATCATTTTCATTAACATTGTGTATTTGAAGCCCCCTGGACAGCCAATGATTCCGAATAATATGGATCCTACAAGACAAGGTAAACAGATCCGTTTCTTTTTTAATAAAAGTTTAATATTTGACCCATAATAATATTTATATTAATAATATTAATAGTAATATTAATAATTGTAACGTAAAAGAGAATTGCACAAGCATGAAGCAATTTCATGATATGCCTCATGTAATGCATCTATTTCTGTCTCCAGGTGAAGGCGGAGAATTTGTAGGTTGGCAAGGTAGGCAATGCGCTCCTTCACCATCACACACTCATACGCATACACTTCTTTGCTTGCTTTGCTTATCACTGACACGGAGGTCCAACACTACTAGCGCTACTAAATTTTGAGGTCTCACTTTTGCATTTTTTTAAGTAGTGTGATATTAACAGCTTTGACTGGTTTTGGATCATCCAATTATACTGTGTTTTTAAATTTTCATTCTTTTAATCTTATTACATCTTGGTGTGTGTGTTGTGATCATTTTGTCTAGTAGAAATTGAGAGCAAGCCACAATCAATGGACCAACGTGGAATTTTCGTGCCCCGGAACGTCGCAGGCAATGTCTAAAAGGAGTCAATCCCGACTACACTAATTTTATAGTCGCATTAACAATGACACACCTAAATTTAGTCGCAGCTGAGTAGATGCACGATTTGCGTAAAACCCACAGTCATAAGTAAGGGATCCAATACCCGTCTCAAGATGTTGAAGAAGCACCTTCACGTAACTTTGACTAAATTTTCGAGGATAGACAAAGATGTGTTAAACAAGAAACAACTACGTAAATACTTATTCATAGTTCCATAATTGGGTACCCACTTCGTATTAGGAATTGTCTTGAACAGATCTTGATAGATTGAAGAATCAAACAACGGGCTTTTAGACGTTGCCTGCAAGCATTTTAGAAACCTTCAACGACTTAATATTCAGTTAATAAGGAAAAGAATGAAGTTTGGAATACAAGTATATACATCTGTATTTCCATAGAACTCATAATTGGTGCTGGCATGCTGGTGTCGTACGTCCCGAAGTTTTTATGTAGTAGAATAAATGTGCGAATGCTTATATGTTTTTCATTAGGCCCCCCAGGAATGAATCCCATGAATCGAATGAATCCGCCACGAGGGCCTTCCATGGGTCCCTTGGGTCCAGGAACATACGGCCCGAGTTTACGAGGTCCACCTCCTAACAGTAGTTTAGGCCCAGGTGGCCCCATGCCTCCGATGTCAATGACAGGTCCCGGTGGACGACCTCAGTGGCAACCTAACACGTCTACAGTAAGTCGATCTTAAAGCGCTACGTAGAACTGTTTCGATGCGTATGTATTCGATTCTTAAATTTATGTTCGTTTTAAGTATTAACGTTCTAATGGAGCCAATTTCGACTGAAATTAACCTTATTCAGCAAGTAGAAGCAAGTTTCGTGTGTTCGATTGACTGCAATGCATCAAAGGCGTGATTCCACGAGCAACTGCGCATGACGCATTCGCAACTTGTAAATTTGAGTGGATGTAAAAATGATATTACATACAGTTTTGCAGTTGTTAATTAATATAGATAAAGAGCTCGAAATTGACTCCATTGGCCGAAATTTGTGTGTGTAATAGACGGAATTGGCTAAAGCTTGGTGTTTTATTTTAGCCGATGAACTATTCTTCCTCTTCGCCGGGCAATTACGGAGGTCCTCCAGGATCAGCTGGTCCTCCTGGTCCTGGAACCCCGATAATGCCGAGCCCGCAGGATTCGTCGAATTCGGGGGGCGAGAACATGTATACTTTGATGAAGCCGGCGGTGGGCGGGAACATGCCTGGGGAGTTCCAGATGGGCGGCGGTCCCGAGGGTGGTCCCATGGGTCCCATGGGCCCAAACTCGATGGGTCCCGTGCTGAACGGCGACGGCATGGACGGCATGAAGAATTCGCCCGCCAACGGTGGCCCTGGGACGCCTAGAGAAGACAGCGGCAGCGGAATGGGGGACTATAACTTAGGAGGATTTGGAGGACCGGGAGAAAACGTGAGTTTCAACGCAATGGCCGGTGCTTACGCTTTGTAGACTGACACTTAACCACTAAAGGTCGCTTTCCTTGCAGGACCAAACGGAATCGGCTGCTATTTTGAAAATAAAAGAGAGCATGCAAGAGGAGGCCAAGAGGTTTGAGAAAGACTCGGACCACCCTGAGTATTTCATACAATAACTCCCTCGCTGGCCTCTTTGGCTGGTGGACGCCTCTCTTCCTACCTAACCTGTACTAACCCGGGCGGTGGTCTGCTCAGCTCTTCCTGCCCTCATCGTTGCGAGCTCGCCCATTTTCAACTATTTGACTACTCCTAGTCATGAATGTTTTCTGTTTTGCAGATTTTCCTTTGAAAGCTGAATATAAGAAGATAAGGACATTGTGTGGCTGTACTTTGGTGTAATAAATTCTCGAGTTCCTGATACCTACTTGTCCACCAGTCTAGGCTAGGTTGGATGTATTCACGGCGTTCTGTGTTTGTTCTATGCTAAGTACTACTTGCATGTGTCTACATTCCTCCACGGAGCAGATTGCAGATGGTGAAGCAGCGACGGTTACTATTTGACATTATTCACAGTGTAGTTTTTTAAATTTTTAAGAGAAAATTTGCATTTTTTTAACGAAATTTGTTCTATAATCTGCTCCGGCCTATAATGTTGTTTCTTCACCTTTTTATGTGTACATGCAATAGACAAGTGCAAAAGGAGGTTACTCCTTCATTAATACTACTATTATGTTGTATCTGTAATTTTCTCAAAAACAACTTAATTCTTATGTATATCATATACATTAAGTTCAATTATTAATTTCATTAATTTATATATTTTTTGTTCTTAATATATTACACATATATTTAAAAAAAATTAGATTATTTTATGAATGAATGACTTGAGTGCTGAATACTTTGAAGAACGGATAAATAATATTGTGTAAGTGAGTTCTTTATCTATATTGCTTTTTTTTGTATGGTTTATTAAATATTAAAAGGTTCATAGTTAGATTTGTTACATACCCTTCAACCCTACCATTAACCCAATTTCACACTTAAAAACCATCTACATAACAGTGATTCGTGAAAAAAAACGAAAGCACGGAAACAACTGGCAAACACAGTTAAGCGGAGGACGCCAGTATAACACGTCGTAAACTCAGTATCAGAACGCCTTCATAACTGGGCGTACTTTTGAAGGCATCCTTTCAGTATGCAGATGCAACTAATTAGTAAAAATATACAGAAACAGTATTGAAGAACACCCCTCCTACTAGAATGGACTGTTCAGATGAGGTGACGTCCATTTCCCGGAAAGAATCTGATATTACGATAAGGTTGATATTCATCGGAAGTGAAGATTAACCGCAAAAATCTTGCAAATTTGACATTGAAGATCAATTTTTTGCTATTCGTGGATAGCGTAGGTTAAATTAGACGTTTTTGTTATTTTCAGACTCCACTTATTAATAGTCAAAATAATAAAGGTACGGTACTACGATGTAGGCAAACATGTTTTCTTCAAATATGAGTTCGTCTGTAATGTGTGTCGTGGCTTGGACCACGTGCAACATTCTTGCTGAATTTGCATTCTCGTGGTTTTATTACAAAGGTGCGCTTATAAACCTTGTTCCAAATCCTCTGGCTATTAGCGACATTTATCTCAACAGTTACTCATTTTAGCTTGGTTTTTATTGTTTAGAGATTTTGGTCCAGCCACCAGTTATAATAAATTAGTTATACTTTAAGACTATGTACAAGAACTAAAATAAAATAATGAAATGTAGTAGGCTTAATTTCAAAATGATATTTTCAAGTGGTAATAAATGTTCCGGATGCCTATGGAGCGTGAATATTTCAAGTTCAGTATATGGTTCTAGAATACTGACAACTACGGAATTGTCAGACTATGGAACAATATCAAAATTTTCCCTACACTAAACTTGTTTCCAAATGGATAATGGGTTATATGCAGGTAATGAAACCCCCACGATCGTTTATGGATCTACCAACGATTATAATTATGTAGGTGCGTGGGGGACCCTGGAGACACGACGAGTGGGTGAAGATAGTGGAAATACCCACAAAAAAACGATAAGTATTCAAAGGTAGAAATAAACGCACTGGTAGCTTGAGATATTAATTCGGCCGAATACCGATGGTACTATTTCTTTGTTTGTCAGGTTCCAGACCTAATCAGTTCATTAACCTTCCAGATTTATCTAACTCAAATTTTAAATTTCACACTAATGCCCCTGATTTTTCTAATTTCAAACTTTAGTCCCGGTTCTTGTACCTTATCCGACTATTACGATAGTTAAAACTACTGTACCTTGCCTCTGGTCCCTAGGAATATGGACCCTGTCATACAGAAGAGGACTTTCTTTATAGCACAACCTTACTTTCTATTCATTATTTTTGGGCCACCCATGTCTCCAAGTTTCTCGTCGTACGCACCTCGTTGGTGACGATTTCCACCCCATGGGCAACAACACAAAATATAGAAAAGTTGTAAAAAGACGACGAGGTCGAGGGTTCTTTTCGGGTTTTCCGAAACTAGCCCCGCCCACCCGCCCTTTCTTTTCTCAGAGGGTATCTCATTTGCCAAAATCAGTCTTATCTTAGCAGGTACTAGCCCCGCCCACCCACCCTCTCTTTTCTTAGAAGGTACTAATCTTAGAACAACACGATTACTTAAGAACATGTTTCACATGGGAAATTGTTGAGAAATGAAGGTTTTTTAATCAAGCTCCGCCCCGGTTCATGACAAATAAAAAAATTATCACAAGTGAATTGTGAACGGGTAGGCGGAGCTTATGTTTTCCTTTTTTTTTAATAACGTAGCCTCCTTTTCCGAACAAAAACTTGAAAATATGTTTAAAATGGTAAATTTTTATACAGAAATATGGATTTTGCAATTAAACTCCGCCCCTCAGTGTGACTGCGAATAAAACATTCGTCACAATTGAGATCTGGGCGGGTGGGTGGGGCTTTTTTTATAATTTATGTAGTTTTCTTTTAACAATCTTTTGGTACAAAGAACGAGATATTACGATCAACTACATAAAGTCAATTGCTTATTACATTTTCAATTTTGACAGTAATTCAGAATTAGTTAATAGTGTAGAAAGTTTATTGCATAATTTCATTTTAGAAAAAGTCGTCAAAAATTTTCAAAAAATTCAGGGATATGCATCCAGACGTGCTGATTCCAAAAATATAGCGTGTTTATGGTCACGGGGTAATATTTTCGAAATATTAGGTGCGAAATTCGAATTTTTCGAAATTTTTGAAAAATGCGATATTTCAGTGGGCGATTTTGGAAAAACGGTTTGAGTTATGGAAGAAATGAGGCCTGAGGTAACTTCCGCGACCAGAAGTCTACAAGAAAATGTATTTAGTTAAATTTCGAAAATCGTCAAAAATTGGTAGAATTTGCATAAAGGGGGAAATTTCATTTTTGAAAAAGTTGTCTAAAAATTCCCAAAAAATTCAAGGATATATATCCTGACGTGCTGATTCCGAAAATATAGTGTGTTTGTGGTAAGGGAGCAACATTTTCCAAATATTCGGTGTGCAATTCGAATGTTTCGAAATTTTTGAAAATTGCGATATTTCAATGGACGATTTTGGAAAAACGGTTAGAGTTATCGAAGAAAAAAAAAAAAAAACGACGTGACTTTTGCGACCCGAAATGTACAAGGTAACGTATTTAGTTTAAATTTCGAAAATTGTCAGGGTTTTTTCTGTATTTAATGAATTGGAAGGACTGAAAAAGAAGTTTAGGGGCTATAGATTTTGGGAAAGCCGGGAGAAATGTATTAGGACTACAGATTAAGTAGCCACCCACCCACCCTCTCTTTTCTTAGATGCTATGTCATTTGCCAGTTTTATCTTAGCAGGTTAGCTTTCTTTTTTACTTAATACAGGTAGTTTTCTTTGAATAACACGATTACTGAAGAACATGTTTCATATGGGAAATTGTCGTTGAGAAATGAAGGTTTTGCAATTAAACCCTGCCCCCGGTTTATGACAAGTCCATTATTAGGCACGGGTAGGAGGAGCTTAGGTTTTTTTTTAATATACGTTTAAAATGGTAAATTTTTATACAGAAACATGGATTTTGCAATTAAGCTCCGCCCCTCGGTGCGAGTGCGAATAAAAAATTCATCACAATTAAGATCTGAAGAACAGTCTTTTGGCAGAACAAGAGATATTATAATAAACAACATAAAGTCAATTGTTTATTATATTTTTAAATATGTCAGTAATTCACAATTAGTTAATAAGGTAGATAGCTTATTGAATAATTTCATTTTAGAAAAAGTCGTCTAAAAATTTTCAAACGTTTTCAAACGGAGTAATATTTTCAAAATATTCGGTGCGAAAATCGAATTTTTCGAAATTTTTAAAAATTGCGAATTTCAATGGGTGATTTTGGAAAAACGGTAAATGTAATTAGTTTAAATTTTGAAAATCGCCAAAAATGGGTGGAAAATTTCATTTTTTAAAAAGTCGTTTAAAAATTATATATATTTAAGAGCTCTAAAATTAATAATGGCCGTAAAAATTACAATGGTTTACAAATTCCTTGTTGACGTATTACAAATCAAAAAAAATCCCAGCTGTAATCTAATCTTTTCTCGCATTTCCATCACTTAACCACAGTAGGTATATCTTTTAAACTAACCTTAAATAAAAATCACATTTAATCAAAAATAGTGTTTGTTTAGGGTATTATAGGTGAGACACCGAACCCTACAAGGCGATCCGAGCTTAGTCGGTCACCTCATTAAATTAAAAAAAAAAAAAACGTGTACTAGTTGAAAAAAGAAATAAAAATAAAAATTAATTTGGTTGGCCAAACCACCGGTTGTTAAGTTTTATTTCCGCATTTTTAACACAATTAAATACAATTCTGTCATTGTTTATTCAACCAAGGATAAAATACAAGAGAGAGAGATATATAATTGATAGATAAAGAACATTAATGCACTTTTAGACTGAAACTGCTCAAACCACAGCTCTTGCTGGATAATACAGTCAGAGTTAGCTTTTTGAGTGATACTTTTTACTTATTATGTATTCGTAATTTATATCAGAGTTAAATTTATTATCAAGAGCTTATTAGTAAAGTACTAATAATGCATAAACGACCCATATATTGCATATACATATAAATATTATAACTGAACAGCAATTATGGTATTTGATGATAAGACGACAAAACGAGTGCTGATAAGAGAATTTGATAGTGGCAACAACACGTAAAGCTGGAACTTCCCAAAAGGTTTTTACCCGGTGACTTAAAAATATTTATATTAAGGTTAAAAAGTACCGACGGAAGATAAATAATTTATTTATTTAACGATTGGAAACAGTTTGTTCGATAAATTTTATATCTATTTCAAGTGTTGCATATTTCTGGCAAATTTAGGAGTGTAAACAGTAGCTTTGTTAAAAGGAAATAAAACTGGGCGGGGAGAATGTGAAAGATAAGTGATAGAGTCGTGTATAATATCAGTATTGCAGCATAGTGCTAGACAACATAATAATTGTGAATGAAAATCGCAGAACGTACCCCGAAAGTACTTAAATCGGTGAATTATCCCATCTCGGCGGGAGTCGCTAAGACTTATTTTGGTAAACTCCCGAAACGGTGCACGTAGTATATTTGGGTTCAGTTTTCCACAACATGTGTTAACATCTATTGCTTCCAATTGAACGTTAATTAAGTCAAGTGTTTTAATAGCTTACGGCATTGGTACGACTATGGCTGTAGAAGTCGACGAATTATATTCAAACTTAAATAAATTACTCGATGGTGAGTTTCTACCAGGAAATTGTTACTTTGATAAAACATTATTCATACAAAGCTGTATAATCGGGTACAACTTTTAGATATTTGCAAATTTTTAACCGACGGTACAAATTACGAAAAGCTCTCACCCTATGCTCGAAAACAAGCAGACGAATTGATCAGTAGATCGAAAAAACAACTGCAGGAAATTGCAAAAGTTGCGGTCAATAACGAATACGATGGCGCTTATGTGGATATGGAAAGAAAATCAGGTATGTATCAAACACGCTTTATTTATTAAACTTAACCAAAGCTATTATAGCTAATAGTAATGAAGACAATAAAAATAATATTTATTCTTCAGTAGAAGAGGCACCCGTAATAACGCCACCACCAGTGGCTGAGCCTCAACCCAACCCTTATGCAAGTACGTAGTTACTAACTATCCTGCCGATGCTTCATTGTTTTTTTTAGACCTACCTGCGAAAGATCTTTCCCAGGATCTCAAATACGGTCCTCTATGCTGGAAATATCGAATTATCCTAAAATTTGACAAAAACAAACGGGTATATGCAGGTTTACATGACAACTGGTTTCTGATATACTCGTCGGAGAAGGACCTAAAACCGATACAGACTTTTGACTTGCGTTTTCATAAAGCCCAGTCTATCATCTGCAAGCAAAATAAGACTCCTACGCAAGATTTTGAACTGGTTAATACTACAGCAGAAGGAAAATCGTACTACGTAAGTTAAGTTGACTTAAGAACTGTCACTCTGAGTTACTGTCATTTTGACAGTTTTTATAACGAATTCGTATTGACACTGTTTCACTTAGTGTAAACTTTTCGTTAGTTTGTAGCCAGGACACATAAAGATATGCTGCAGTGGGTCTCACACATCAATAGGTGCTATGAAAATCTCAGTAAACTGACAAACGTAATACCCTCTGATGATGATATTTCCGAAACGTATGACATGATTACCGATTTAACGAATCAAGGCGATCAAGATGAAGAAGAGGAAGAAATTTACCACGACATAGAAACGTAAATTCGATCAAAATTTTTTTTTTTTTTTTTTTTGATAACTGTGTTTCAGATACAACCCCGAAATAGTCAAAACTATAAATAAACCTCCTGACTTACCTGCTAGAAGATGTATAAACATTCCCTTACCACCTGTACCACAAAAGGAAAGTTTTGACGACGATTCAAGCGAATCGTCCACGTATGACTTAGTAGTAACCACATCTAGACCATCACTAGGCAGTAAGAGTTCGTTTTCGGAGGAAGAAGAAGATGACATTTATGAACCTTTTGTGTCAAAACCGGTTGAACCCAAACCACCGGTTCAGAAATCAGAAGAAAATCAACAGAAACCTAACCAAAGTTACATACACAAGGTTTACAATAGCACGACCGCTGAGAAACCTAAGACTCCCGCAAAACCTAAATTTTTGCCCGAAAAACCTAGATCTAACGCTTCTTTCAAAAAATAAATGTCGACGCTTATAAATATTACTGCTTTCACAATTATTCCTTAAATGCTATCTACGAGAATAGGACAGTTTTAAAATTATTTTTATACTTTTTAATTAGCTCCAATTCAAAAGTTAAGAATGACGTCATTGGACCCGAATAAAAAGCGGCATTTGAGCCCGAAACTGCTACAAAGGAAGTCACACTGAATGAGGTCCTCAATTATACAACGTGGTAACACTAAAATGTATTAGTGCGTGGTTATACCACCACCTGGTGAAAGTTTCCCACTCAATCGATTATTGCGGATATATGTCACCTAGTGTTTTTTTCTGTCGTTCAAAGTTTTTAATTTACGAACTTCAATGTACATAAACTGCAACTGATAAACTGTTAATAAATTTTTAATATGTGTTCATTTTGAATGTTTTTTGTACGTCCACCGTCTTGATTGATTTTAGCCATTCAACATGGCGCATGTGTCTGGATGGTCGCGCAGACGACTTTGAATAGTCCTTTAGTTCAAGTGTCAACAATAATTTGTGTTGATTTGGGTTTGGTTTTCAGTCAAATCGTTCGGTTGTGTGTAGCTGGCTTTAATTTATGACAGGAAAACTTGGTGTATGTATTTAACGTCCTTATATAATAAACGTCAGAATCTGGCACTTAGGACTTTTATTTTTAGTTGTTTTGTACAGTGTTTGTTTTATAATTTTATGCATGATTAGATCTAAATGTTAATGTGGTATTTAATGTCTTGTTTAAAATGGAGACTCTTTGGTATTGTTAAGTACACTACAGACACTTGGTTTCTGTGAAATTTTGACCGGCAAGTTGTACCTATCAAAAGTTTTAATTTCCATGTCAAACACATTAAACAAATGGAAATTTTAAATGCACTCATATAGTCATCGGGTAGATACATAGAAAATGAAGTGCAAAAACTAAAAACGATGCTACTTGCACAACTATCCCCCTCCCCTCGTTAGCAGATCTATTGTTTTAAATTTTAATAATCCAGCTGTCAACGATAACAACAAATTTGACAACCTCTTCTGATTACAGAAGTTAATTACTGTGAATGTTAATTTTCTTTATCATGGTGTTACCAGTAACATCTAATGCACGTGTGTTTTTTTTAACCGTATGTCGTAACTACATTGTTATGAAGAAATACACATTTACTAAATTTAATTTAATTTTATAATCTGTATACCGATATAATTATGACATATGATTAGAAATACACTTGTAGTAAGTGGTTTTGATCGGAGATCGCTTGAGAGCGCATTGTTAATCAAATCACGTCAGAAATTTGTCATAATGTGAACGCGTGAAGTAGGTTGCTTTGAAATTTTTTTGTACGATTAATAAGTTATCTTATTCTGAAGTTAAAAGGTGTCATCTCTATAAAAAATATTAATAGCTTGCTTGTCGAACGTCATTAGTTTAATATTTATTTTTAAATGTACATATATTTGTTACTATTGTTTATTCTGTTAACGTAATTGGGTCGTTGACTACGATTGTATGACTATGTAGAAGAAAAGGAATTGTTAAAACTGCCATTTTTGTGTTTTGACGCTTTTTACGCTCAAACAAGTGTAGTTCTGAAGACAGAGCTCGTTATGTCTAGATCATTTTAAATTTCCCGCACTAATTACATTTTCCTGACAACTCTGACGTAGTGATGAAAACTAACGGCTTTTTAGTGACCTAAAATTTATTTAATCAGTCAAAATTTTAGGCTTAGTTTTTTTGAATGATTGTTAACCAAATTTATCAGATATTTCATTTTCTTTGCCATATTTTTAATGAAATGTTTATAATTTTTGTATTTCCCAACATGATGACGTTATCTTAAAATTTTGCTGAGTAAATCATCGTATTTAAGATTTGTAAAATTGTACAATTTATCTTAGAGAGTGCACCACCGATTACGCTGCAATTTTGCACACTTATAGTTTTCGTGAACGTGGTAACACACTGATAAGTATTTATCTGTTCATCTCTTTGACGGTATCTCAAAATTTTACAAAGTAAATTTCATTCCCAATTAAAAATTGATGACGTAAAAAAAAATCGAAAAAATGTGTGATTACTGATTAAATATTCCACGTGTTATTAACAACTGTGGGTTTTGTTGAATGATATATCTATTGTTGTTGGCACAATACAATTACTTAAACTGCCACATACAAAGAATAAATATTATTGTTTTATGAGTTAAACGCGTGCCCACATTTCATGTTAAATATGCTTCGATATATTATAAAAGTCAACAATTTCGTTTAATTTAAAAGGTCTCATCAAGTTTTTATTAAACCTAGCTGTAATAATGGAGTCACTTTAATTTTTTGAAGTATTTTGATTCAGTGTGAAGGGCGGCGAAAACTATGTCTGCTATATTTCCACATCATTTTAAAATTCTAAAACATTTCTGGTGTCAAGCTGTCCTAGTTTGTTTTCGGAATACCAGCTACAAGTCATAAATTTCATTATCACGTGCACAAGTAATGAACAAACTGAAGGCGAAAGGATATTTTTACCCGCAATTTATTCTTCGCTTTATGGGTCGAAGTAGATTTTAAAATGTTCCTAATAAATAAAGCTCTTAAAACTCGTAGTATTCCTCCAGATCCCTTGTCAGTCATAGTAGAGTATCTTTAAAAATGGCACTTATATAAACAATAGATTTAGTACATATTCTTTGTTTACTTTTACCAGATAGCGAAGAAGGTCGAAATCTTCTCACTCAACCGACGTGAACGCAGTTTTCGTCGTGCCCACTCACCACTATCACGATATAGGCACGTGTATTGACTTACAAACATACCGTGTAAACAACCGCATCCGTAATATAGCTCAACACACAACCAAACTCGTCAGTCCTAGTATATGTGTTACAGTTTCTTGTCCGTTTGCAATCGAGTATTGTGCATAAGCAAATCTCATCATGTTAACAGAAAGCAATCTCCAACAATTTGACACGGCGCACAAAAGGTGAATATTTTTAATAATAAATAAAGAACGCGCTTCCATTTTGCAAATTTCATCCATTTTGTAATTAATAATATTTTTATAGCTAATTATACTTATTGTTATTAATGTTACTGTTGTTACACTTCTATCAGTTCGGTATTTTCAAATTTTGTGTGTAATCTTCTTTGTGTTAGTCTCCTTAATTAGTATTTTAACGCTTATCCAATATTTAGCAGCCCTTCTATTAATTGTTATCAAAGTGATGCCTGATTATTTAAATTACAATCCAAATATTAGTCGATCGATTCAGAATAAGTGATAGCGTTGATATGAGGCTTGGGTGGATACTATATTGTAGTACATTTTGGGAAATAGTTTTACCAAAGTGAGACAAAGTGACTTATTAGCTCCTTTTTTCGGTGCACTATAAGGTAACTTAAGTTATTTAATGTATTTAAGTAAAACAGTCGTCAATAGCAAGTTTATACATTGTTTGCAACGCAAAAACACCCTTCAAACACATAATTGTCACAATATTAACATATACTTATACCGAGTAAATATTATTATCATTTTTAAATGTACTTGTTTCTATATTGACTTTCTACCGTGGAGGTTTTCTTTGTTTTGGTGGATTTCATTTGCTTATTATGTGAGGTTTGTATCTAAAAATACACTCACTCTTCTGTTTACAATTATATTAGCGAAGGCGTTAGTTTATAAGAATCAACGTCTGAAATAAACAAAGCCGGTGACGCGTTTAATCATCTAGAATTTTAATTATTTACGACCATCAACAGTTGCTAATTCGCATTATACCTAATAAATAGAGAACTTTGTACCTCTTCTTATTTATGCTTTGTTTACTCTGATTGTTTAATGAGGAGTTTTAATGCCGTTATGCAAATGAATTTTTTTTCAAGTTGCGTTCTAAAAAAATACGACTTATTTATTTTAACTAACACTTGAGGGTATAGTTCCGGTTTTGAAATTAGGAATACAGACCAAATAATTGCGGTTATGTAGATTTGTAAATGCTGAGACGTATAAGAATAACCACAAAGCCTTTGACCTGATTTATTTGCTCAGTGGTCACTATTTAACAATGAGATCTATAAATAATCAGGCTAATTACAAAAACCTACTTCTTAGTACGCGTGCTAAAATTTGGATAATCATTTGCGCTACAGGCGACAGAGTGTCTGGCTTATTTTAATAATTTATGAAACATTAATTAAGTCTGAGGCTGACTAATACGACTCAAGTCCAAAGATGCATATATTATACTTAGAATTGCTTACTTCGCTCTACTTTACTAAATTTCAGTCGTTTTTTAACTTAGTGCGAACATCAGGTCGTTAGTCACACTAATTTGTAGTTATCTTGCTTCAAATACACTTAAGATACGTAGGTATTATGTGGGTTTGCTCAAATATTTGCTAAAGAGGTAGGTGCTCGTATCTTCCTGCAAAATAACCACTCAAAAAATCGCTTCAATTATTATCGCCCTTGGACTTCAGTTTCTATTGACATTGATTATATTTTAATTATCAGTAAGTACCTCACACGTGAACATTCAGGCAAATCATAATATTTCATCGTGTACGTGAACGTACCCAAAGGACTAAAGTTCCATTGCCTTTGTAGTTTTTAGTTCGTCGAGTGGCTTGTAAGTGGCTATCTATTTTTGGAGCATTATATTATGATTGACACTTATTCGGAATTAAGTGTAGTATTAATAAACAACTAACGACCAATAACAGTAAAATTATATGTCGCTTTTGAATATTATATCGCTCTCTCACTCTTTCCGCTTCCATTTTTAGGACTTACAACCTCAAATTGTTACTGACTTTCTATTAAAATCAGCATTTTAATGATCAAGGATGCTGGGGACTTAAATGAAATGACTTTCTATTTTCTTTTGTTCTCAAATCGACTAATGGCAACTTCAGTTCTTCGAAGATACTAGAATTCCATCCCGGCAATGTTTTTCATTATGATTTCCAAGTTCTAAAACCCTTTCCGTTCTTCTGATTCTTCTTCGTCCCTTTAGTTTCCAACGTTAACATCGCTGTGATCGGTACATATATTTGTGGAGAAATTTCGTCCATATGTAACCACAAACCGGATCTGTTTTCTCAAGAGTGTGGATAACGATTTCCTTCGGTAAGCGGTAGCTATTAATTGTGTCGAAACCATTTGTCATCCTATTCTTTGTTTAATTTGTAACTTTGTTGCAGCCCCGGGTATAACATGAATAAGCTTTGCCGCCAAGTGTCCATTGAATCGCCCGCTGGAGCAAGCCGAGACTGTGTCTTCAATTTCGAAGTCCCGGTCCCGGATGTCCCTCCAAATGGTGCTCGCATTAGGGTGGTATGCGCAGGAGCATGCTACCGAATGAGGAATCGCTCTCCATCAGTGTCCAGTTCGTCGTCTGTGCAGTCCACTGAAGAATCTTACTATTCAGGAAACCACGGAATACGAGATGGAGCTCTATTCCCCGGGTACGAAGTGTCTGGGATCATCGATTCTCTTGGTGACAACGTGAAACCCACGGATGACATTGCTGTCAACAAGAGAGTGATTTTGTATCCGTACGACGGCATTCCACATGGTTACGCCGAGTATATAGTAGTTCACGATCTGTCTTATTTGGTCCCCATTCCTGATAATTTATCTTTGGGTGTTGCCGCTATGCTTCCCACTGGAGCTTTATTAGCTAAAAGCGCAGTCTTCACGGCACACAATTACGTTTCGGCTTTATTAAAACAGCGTCCAGCGGACCAGATTTGCAGAATTTTAATCGTGGGTACTGGTGGTCTAGCACTTTGGGCTATCAGAATCGCCCAGCATCATTTCGAAACGTCTGAAAACAAAGATAGAGTACAAATTACGGTGGCCAGCCTTAAGGACGATGGATTTAAACTTGCCAACGAGCTACAAAAGTAAATACTGCTGTTATATGTACAATTGAGACTAAATTTTCTGATTTCAGTGTTACTCTTGTCCAGTGGAATGAAGAGGTTCACGAAAAACATCTCATTGATAGAACCAAAGACGCTTGTAAAGGTCTGGTCGATATTGTGATTGATTTTGGGACCACTTCCAGATCCCTGCACAGGTCCCTCCAGTGTCTTAGTCCTGTAAGTCAGCAACGTTTCTTGTGTCCAATAATCATCTTCGGTTTGTTTAGAGTGGCGTCGTACTTGTAAGTGACGAAGTAGCAGAACGATTGCTACCTAAATTCTCTTCACTGATCAATAAAACCAATCAAAAAATTGAGGCTGTTTCATATGGGTCAATTGAACAGTTGAAAGAACTTGTTACTTATGTCGCATCAGGGGAGGTAAGTCATTCACACGAATCTCGAAAGCAAATAATCATTTCTATTTTTAGATCATTCCACCACCTTACACCGAGTTTTCAGCCGAAGAAGCTTCATCAGTTATACAAAAACTATGTCGCAGTGAGATACCTGGAAGGGCTATTCTTCGTTTTCATGATATTCAGTGAAAGGTATTAAAATGGGATACCTGATAGCTTCAGTTTGAGAGATTCAGTGTAATTACTAAGCGAAGGTTTATATTAACTCCACTTTTTTATGACAGTTCGAAAGCTCGTGATTCTCTTAGACTGAACGTTTTAAGCTCTCCATGTGTATTTTAATAATTATGATCTTTAATTTTTACCAAAAACATTTTTAATGTGATTGTATATTTACGGTTATGTATGTGTAGTTAATTTAAAGTATTATGAAATGTATCAGCATTTATGATCAGTATCTATGATCAGTATCATTTTCATAAAGACTATTTACTCATATATTTAAGTTTGTGATAACTTTTAATTCATTTCTTATTGTTTCGTAAGAACTCGTTTCGGTCGCATTTAAATTATAAGAAAGTTGATGTTTCGTGTTTTTTTTTTTTTTTCGTTATGTGGATACGAATTTATCTTTATTGATGCATTGTATAGACGTATTATATAAATTTTTAATTGTTAATATATATATAAAAAGTGTTTTTACTTTTATTTTTTGATTTGCTGCCTTCTCGTCCGAACACTCGTAATTAGGGAGGGTATCTAGCAAAGCCCTTTCCTAATTTTTTTCCGTTTTGCCGCTACCCGGTTGTTCTTCTAGTCCTCCAGTCGCGTCTGTTGCTTCTTTCATTCCAATCTTGGACGTCCATCTATTGAAATTTCCGATTTTTTCTTTCACCCGACATTCCTCCTGAATCCTTTTCTTTACCGCAGATCACAAATGCTCCTATGTGTCCCTTTTGAGCTTGGACCTACCCAGACAGCCCTTAGTTGGACCACGAATATGGACTGGACTAATGGCCACTAACGGTCGTCCTCACCTTCTTACATTTAACCTAGAACATAGTCTACATGTTTGAAAATACCACCAAAAAAATGTTGGACTCAACGTGGGTTTAACGACGCCCTTGATTCAGCTGTGAAGATGAATTCCCCGCCTTCGACGTTCTGCGCATGGATTGGGCGACTTAAGTCGGTTCGATTGGTGGGACGATCTAAAATTAAAGTTGTGTAACCAATGATAAGAAATTTACAAGTGGGCTGCGATAAGCTATAAATGGGCACGTGCGGCCTACTCACATAAGTGCATCATACGTCACATATGCGTTAATTGAGAATAATATCTATGCTGAGCGGCACACAGCGATGTATAAGAGGTTGCGCGAAAAAACTTTTTGCTCACTGGGTTAGGTCTAGACAGTTTTAGGTATTTGGGGTGCAGCAATTTTAGCTACATTTTTTTAAATAAGTTAGTGATACATTAAATCTAAAAAATAGGGTAACCTGAGCAGACTTTCATTTTAGGTCCCACTGGCTTTTCGAAAAATTAATTAAATATTCAGAAACTATACCATTCCAGTATCATAAATTCGATATTCGTTTGTTGCGAAATTGGTTACCTGGGCCAAAAAAGTAACATTAATTTTCAGTTTAACTCACTACGGTTCCGTTCAAATGATTTTTGTGGTATAGGCAACTAAATAAACATGATTTTCACTCGGAAAAATCAAAAACCAGATGATCCACGGAACAAGAATTTCCATGTTTAGGGGTATGTTTTATGGAACCTAGGATATTACATGAAAAAAAAACACTAGCGCGACCTTTTAGTTAATTATATGAAAGTTTTAAAAAGCATTAAACATTTTTTGAGTGCTTTTTAAAAAACCGAGCAGAAATGATGAAAAATTTGGTGGAATATTGATTTTACTTGACCCGAATTTTTCTGTGGAAAATTAATAATTCAAAGGATTCTTGCATTATGAAAATACACAATGCAGCTCTTTCCTGACATTAAAATAAAAAATAAACCAACCTAATTTATGATGATGCTTTAACGCATTTAAATAAAGAAACTGAAAACAAAAGACAAAATGATAATGAAAATATCAATTTGTCGTAGAATAGTAATAATAATAATTTTGCTTTAATGTGCCAGCTTATCCTACAAATTTTTATGAAATAGGCTTCACATACATAAAAAATTTACATTTACCTATATGTCACAGCTTTCCTCAAGTTTCACCTCTGCCAATATGAACATTACAAACACTGCCTACCCGGGCTAAGTATTGTTGGGAACATCTGGGACTAGTTAAGACCTACGTCACTGAGTTGCCGCATTTACAAAATTTTCCCTTCATTGAAGATTTTATTTTAGAAATTGGCTTATGTTGTAGGCGAGACTGCGCAGGACATTTTTGATGACTCGAGAAAATAAAGCGGCAATTATGAATTGATATAGTATTAAAATGTTTCCTTCTTTCGTTTAGGATAGAGATTCGAAGAAAGGTTCTGTTAACATTGTTCTATAAATGTTGACAGAACAACAACCTCTATAGGTTAGATTATTGATTTATGCTTTGTACTTTAGTATTGTGAAGTTGTTTCCTAATCGGTAATTCTAATAACAGGTTCCTTTTAAAAACTGTTGGTCTACTAAAAAGGGTTCAACATCAAAAATGAACTCTACACATTGTGTTGCTACATAATGTTTTAATTATTAATGTTTAAAGGCTACAGTGTTGCTTATCGTACTTATTGTTATTGAATAGCTATATCTATTCATTAACAACAACATACAATCACATCTGTCGTAATTAAGACTAGATTAAGATTAATAAATCTATATTTCTTATGACAGTGTGGATTATTTGTGTTTAAAGTAGATGACTTATGATCTACTTCATTTGTTATTTGATAGAATACTTTTTATCTGCTTGATGATTCTTCAATGAAGTTTAAAACACCATATACGTACTAAGCCAACATTATATTTGATTTTACAAAAGTACACTTAACCTAAAAAACATATTGTGATAGTTATTATACAACAACCCTTCCACTTATTTGAAACTTGGAAGGCGTCATTTTCCCATACTATTTCACTCTCTACTTTACTTCTATTCCAATTTTATTTATTGTAAACACGAGAAAGTTTCTAAAGGAAATTACCGAAAATGATGTGGCAACGTCGCATGCGCTGTGGTGACCTAAAAGTGTCCAGTGCCGCGCAGGTTATCAAAAATCGCGTGCGCCGTGGACCATACTTGCCAATTTAAACCAACTTTTAATAGCGCCATCTAGTGGCCCGTTCAAGCTTATTGTGGCTTTAGACAGATTATGGTTTTCAAATCAATACCGTCGGAGAGGAATTAAACCGCTGAATAAATTATAATCATAAGAAAAAATTAAAACAACCAAAAACTGTTTACATTATTGAATATATGGAGCGGTTTGACGTCATATTTGTCTGGAATATGTATTAATTTTGGATGCAGTTCTTTATTGGAGTGTTGCTTTTGATAATTGAAAGAAAACAAAGTTCAATGTACACGTATGTAATCCACTATTATAATACATTACAAAATATTTACAAACAGAAATATCGAACTGTTGAGGAAATGAGACTTAGTAACTAGCTGCCTAATTTATAGCACAGTAAAGTCTGCGTCTGGAATGCTGCATACAGTGAATGTAATTAATTTACTCAATTTTCTGTTTCAGATCTTTGACTGGGAACGCTTACGATGCTATATATTAGGAATCATGAATTACTAAACAAAAACCCACATCAAATGTAAAAAAAAAAGTATAAATAATTTAAATTGCTACTATAATCACAGATTAATCAGTAACATATGTTATAAAACTTTACAATATACACATTTGTAATAGTAGTTCAATTTTGTAGTTCTATCAATATGCAACTTCTATCAACAATACAAAAGTTGTTAAATCGAACATAGTGTTCTGTACGGTGGTTTCAACTAAACGAACGCAGTTCGGTTTCACGTGTGTGAATAGGAACGCATTTAATAAAGACGACGGTGAAAATATAAGCAAAATGTTCAAGTCCCAAAAAATAAAAAGAACATCTTCTTAAACTAGTTGAGTAACTCTTATATTTAGACAAGCGTTCTATAAAACAGATACATTTAGAATTTTTCTTTTTACTCAATAAATGGATAGATGAACAACTCAAGTGATTTCTTGTGCAAACTGTACCTAACTTATATGTAATAAATGAAGCTCCCAATACTGGTTTCTCAAAAAGTATCTCTCGTAACAGCAAACAGTAACAATTTTAAGACAATTTTTTAGAAATCCGAAAGTCACATTCGCTGATATGACTATATGATCACTTTCACGTAATTGGAGTTACTAGTCAATAAAACCGATAATTAACAATTATGCAAATAATAGTTTTCTTAAATTATAATTACTTGATAAGTATGCTATTATACACAATAGAACAAATTTTCTATTATAATCACAGATTAATCAGTAACATACTATAAAATTTACAATATGCACATTTGGATGTTTTAAATTATAGTAATTAATTATAAGTCGTTTGAAAAGGAGTGTAGTGAAAATGATTTAGAATTAACGTATTAACTCAAAATAGAACTCGTTTTTCTATTGATCACCGCACTCTGCCTCAAACCTCAAAAATAAAAACAAAATTACCTTTTCTACATCATCAACTAAATTAATAATGTTCTTGGGCTCAAGTGGGGGTGAGTTCATGTAGGTGTAGGAGTTGTAGAAGAATCAAGATTAGTAAAGAAAGCAGATGAACGCATTGAAATGAGCTTAGGGGAACCAGGAATACCCGACGGTGATCCAACTGGTGATGCCGGTTCATCTGCAATACGAACGTGATCAAATTTGGCAATAACTAAATTATAGAAGAAAAATAGGACAGCCTATTCTATACTGACTAATCTTTGCCTCACTCAACAGCTCAAAGGTAAAGGAATTCGAAATTAATAAATTTAAGTCGATATTATTTATACAGTTTATTGCAAAACAATTACAATGAAAAAAAAAAAACAAAAATCGACAATCAAAATTTCAGTTTAATCAATCGGCGTATAAGAAACTATGTCATTACAGTGTGACGTTTGTTTTAAACATCTCCAAGAGGACTCAAAACATTTCTAGGGATCTCAGTTTGGAAAATAACCAATTATACCCTCTAGAACGTAACATTATAAAAATAACTTGAACACTTTTTTACTAGTTCTATATAAAAAAACATTACATACACACATTTCACCCACAAAGACTTGAATGATAATACGTGATGCTGTTATTAAGGATGTCTTAATAGTATCTAGCCTCAGAGAGAGCTTAAAACAGTCTCATGATAAGCTGTTGACTGGTCAAGTTCTAAAACAATATACAACAGCAATTTTAATCAGTAATAAGTCAAGTATTTTGTACAATAACAGGTAGTGATCAATCCAAATAATACACTTAAAAAACAATTTCGTATAACTAAAGGAAATAATCCATATTTACTTTGCTTATAACAGAGAATTAGTAGTATAATTTAAAAATATATATATATAATTTTCGGCTACTAATTCTATGTGAACAAATTAAATAACTTACACGGAATACAGCGACTTTTTTTAACAATATGGTACAAAAAGAGTTATTACATAAAAATCGAGAGAACTTATCATCAGAAATTGTAGATATACAGTATAGCTTTGAAATATGAATAAAAATGTAGTGACTAATTACAACAGGGTATGGCAATCGTGACATGTGGTGAAATGACAAAGTGCTTTACCTGGTAGCTACTCACCTACTCCTACAACAGACAGATTGCCTGTAAGTGGAGTAGGGGATGAAGATACCGTCGACATCATGCGGCACTGCTCCTTAACAACAGGATCTGAAAGAAAAAAAAAACGTTACTTCACATTTGTGATGTCATGGGGACAATAACATGTCAAGCTAAAACAAGGACATTCACAACAACGAAAAATTGATTTGTCGAGAATACTTTTATGTAAAGGTGTTATTCAACCAAAGTAGCTCGGATTTCAATTTCAAGGAATCAAGTAATTGGAAGTCAGAAGCCATACGTAACACCAAACTACGCTAAATAATGGTCATTTAAAAATAACGAGTTGGTATATAATCAACAATACGTAGGTATCCACATGTACGTCACATTTACGCACACCAATTTGTAATTAAAATTGTCATACAAAATGATGTAGCGAAGTGTATAATTGGTCACATAATCAGAAAAATAAATACCAAAATAAATTCCACGGATGCAAAATCATTTAGAAATACTGTGCATAGAAGGAATTTTGTGTGGAAAAAATGTGACGTGTGCAGGCGCGAAGATGTACCTCGAAAATTTAAAACTGAGCAGTTTTTAATAACTTTGATGGAATGAGTAATACAATTTTCGATTTTGGGTGTTCAAAATTGCTCGTTTTGGCGTTTTCGTAAGTAATAATGGTTCACCCTGTATATGCGAATAAAAAAAATTTTTTGGAATACTTACAGAAATAGGAGTGATCCATGGCATCACGTGCGGTGAGACGCTCTAGATGATCATAACGCAACAGTTTATCCAAAAAATCTAACGCTTCTGCCGATACTAAATGTTGATTTTCGTTATGCACAAATCGCTCCCACCTCTTACGGGAATGTCTGTCGGAAAAAAAGGGGGGGTTAAGACGGTGTATAGAACAAATAGGGTTTAACTCACCTTCCTAAAATGTCGTTAAATCGTGGATCTAATTCTATATGGTATTTATCAAGGTATTCGAAAAGCTCTTCAGTTCCTAAGACTTTGGCAATACGGACTAATTGGTCGTAATTATCATGGCCATGAAAGAAAGGCTCTTTTCTAAATATCATTGAAGCTAACATACATCCCAATGACCACATATCTAATGAATAATCATACATCTGATAGTCTACAAGGAGTTCAGGTCCTTTAAAGTACCTAGAAGCGACCCTTACATTGTATTCTTGTCCTGGATGATAAAATTCTGCTAAACCCCAATCAATTAGCCTTAACTTTCGATTTTCATGATCAATCATGACGTTATGTGGCTTTACATCCCTAGACAAAAATCAATTTAATCAAATTTACATAATAAAAATCACGCAATTACCTATGCATAATACCCATGCTGTGACAATAATCCAAAGCTTTGAGCAACTCATATAAATAGTAACGAATATCGAAATCTGTAAGCGTTTGGTAAAGCTGCTTGAAATCCGTATTATTGACGTGTTCAAAAATAAGTGCTGGTGTTCTTGATACTGGATCTTTAACAACAGCCTCGAGAGTTATTATATTTGTACCTCCACGTAAATTTTCTAATATCTTTATTTCTCGTTTTATTTTCTTCTTTTTCACTGGCTGAAAGCAAGCGTTATTAGAATACTTGAATTTTGTTTATTTGAGTATGATTGGTTCAAATTTCTAGACGTAGATGACGTCCCGTCTCGCCTGTGACGTCACGCGATTGCATCAGGCGATTATGTCTAGAAATTTGACACATGATTAGCTAGCACTTTTCGGATAATACTCAAATTAATCGAGAAAATTCACTAACTAAAGTAGATTGTAGTAGGCATGCTGTAGCGCGTTAAATTTAAAAACTAGATGTAGGGGAGAGTGTGCACGTGTGGATGGAGTTCTTAGTAATTGACGTGGATGTGGGGTTACTGAGTAGTATGATGAATGTTGATTAATCTAAACTAACCTTTAATATTTTGACTACACATTTTTCATTGTTTGTTACATTGACGGCTTCAAAAACTTCACTATATTTTCCTCTTCCTAATTTTCTGACCAACTGGTAATCATCCTGCTGACCCCAGTCAACAACGTAGCTTTCATAATCCCAGTATTCACGTGGTTTGTGCGAATTAACTTCAGCATAAACTCGGGCACGACTAGGTAATGCCATTATTTTATTATGCACAAGGCTGCTCACAAAATAACGAACATAAGCTCGAGTTCCTTGAACGGTTACTGAAAATATAAAAACCACTGTTAGACTTGCATGCAACTAGGGGATATGGTAGAGACTATTGAGTGCTAACATGAATACTGGCTCAAGTTACCTTGTTTAAAGCACAGTTTTGCTAATCTAGAACATTTAATCAGCATAACTACATATCAGAATCTCCAAATTTTGTAAGTCAAGTAGTCAATAGCCTTGTATAGGTAGGCACACGCCATTCCCCTGTACATACTAGACTTTAGAAAGACTGAATAAAGGCTACACTTAAATACTCCATACCTAGTTCATTCCGTAGACAACTTATATACAGAAATATCCAATAAAACGACACATAGCAACTCCGATAACCCTTTACAATTTATCTAAAATATTTTATGTGTATTTTTTCCTCAACACTACCCGGCTTCTTAGCAAGGAGTCAGAACCAAGATGGAAGGAACTTCCATCCCGCCACGGTAGACTAGATTGGTAGCTAGCAGAGAGCCACTTATTTCAGTATATTGGATACCCCTCTAAAACGACATTGCCAGAACCAGTGGCGTACCGACCCCGAACCTCCAAATCTACAATTTCCTCTAGACCCCCAAAAACTACCAAATTTTCACAAATACCTTGATCCGCTCCTGCACGCCCCACAGAAAAAATACCCCGTCACGACTCGTTCTTGTTTTTCTTAAAAACACTTCGCACGATCGTCCAAAAAAACACCTTCAGACGTCACTGCACTATCACAACAAATTCCCACTTTACCCCTAGAGTAAACCCCTGAAACACACAAAGGCACCGCGAGGTGGCGCGACAAAAGCGGATTGACGTTGTTAACCACCAAATTTAAATTTTAAGCGGCGAATTCTAATTACACTGTTTGAAAACACTAAATCACAAGACGAAACGTTTCAATGTAAAAACTTGATGGCACAGTTTAGGCACATAGACACAGTCTTTGTAGTAACAATAACACAATCGGTGAATTTTTGCACTTGTGGTTTTTACACACAGGAATTTTAAAAAACGCTGGTTAAAACGCTACAATCATTGGAAAACTCTTTGTTCCGTATGGACACACTGATTTAAGTAAGTCACCGAGATATCGATTAATCGCTATTTGGAAAACTACACGACAGATGGAAGCAGCGACGACGATATTTTATCCGAAAGGAAAAAGTCAGAACAATTTAAAGCCACAATACTTCAAAGGAATGCAAATAATGTGGGTAAAAATATAATCTAATCGAAACTAGTTTAGCCGCAAAGTTGGATAAACTCAGTCGTTTCGTACAAATGTGCAACTGTATAGGCTGCCTTCACCACACACAGCAGTATTATTGGTTGACTAGAACCAAAATTAATTAAGCTATCACTAATTAATTAATTAATTTGCACAAACTATATTTTCGTTCTTGGGTAACTTTTCATAACAGTAATTTTTCTCACAATAATACCACACTAACGGCCACAAAATCACTGTTTTATTTATTTTTGTTTCGGACATTGACTTAAATCCGGCCTTGGCTAAATTTGCGTACCTTATTGTAAATATTCAGCAAACTTCTTAAAATTTCAACGATCATGTTATCATGTTTTAAGAATCCCGTTTTTTATTTTTATTTTTCTTAACGAAAAAACGTCCATTTTTTCCTCGTTTGTCACTTAAACTTTGGAATTGTGGAAAAACCATATTTCTGATAAAATCAATTTTTCACAGCGTGTTTAATGTTACTATTATCTTTAAAATAAAAGTATCTATTTTCTTGAACTTTGGTAGATCGATATACACTATCTTAAAAAAGAGGTGACGCAAACAATGTTCAAGATTATCGCTCAATCGTAATTTCGCAAAATATATTGCAAAATTTGTGATATAACCTTAACGTCACTGAGTCATAAAGCAAAGATCCACAGTAGTCTCAATTTACAGACAATCGAGGTCAGGTGGAATAGTAGTGTCGTACATATTCTGGAGTACCGCAAGGCACAAACCGAGACTCCCTTTTGTTTCATTTATGCATAAACGATCTGGTTGATGTTAAAAATTATAGTGAGACGTTACACACACAGTGAAAAATCGATTTTTACCCTTGTTTCCTCTGTAACCGACAGTTTTTCATGGACTGGTGAACACAAAAGGCCGTTACACATTTAATGTACTTGACAGAGATATGGAAACGTCGTCACAAACTTAAACACCGACATCTTTATGTTTATGACTCGATAGATCAACATAAATGTCACAATAAATCAGGAAGTAACTTTGATACATACTCATAATGCCACCAACCACCAAAAGTGTAATAAATTTGAGTTCAATTACTTAATGGTTGATACTAGAAACCATAAACCATTTTATTGAGCATTGTTCAAATTTACGTTCCATTTTAGCACTATATGTAAACGAAAACGTAAATTTTACGTTTAAAAATTACGTTCGTTTACGATTAACGTCGAATGTGTAAGCAGTTCTTAAGTTATTATGTTGGTACTTATGCGAATTTAATTACTTTATTTGTACAAATACAAACATTCTGACTCAGAGTTTACTTGGAATCGAAGTTGAAGTTAGTATAACGATTTTCAAAATTTTTGGCAGAATGCACACTGGAAATTTCAACTCGATCGATAAAATATTAGAAAGAAATGAGCACACAATATCATAAAAAAACTACATTTCATAAACTACCGCATATTTTACATAATGACGTTACACGTTTAACTCGGTTAACACGGTAAATTTAAATATAAACTTGGATTCTATCGAAGCGAACGCCGCTCGCGACTTTTAAATTTTAACCATCACTAAATTTACTCTTTATCGACACTAAAACTACACCCTCGGGAATTTTAGACCAATCATAACTGACATTGAGATACACAGTCACGTAAGCTCACTTACCATATCGTTCCATGGTTCCAGGGATGGAGGAACTTTGTACCGCTTGATCAACAGCCAGCGAATGCGCCGTTATGTTATTTTCGCTTCCAGAAAGTTTGAATTCGCAATTTCGGTAAATCGTCAAGAGTTTTTAAATATTCCATTTAAAAAACCTGTTTGTTTTTGTAATTCCGTTTCTCTGTTCACAGCCTTCCTGCTGCGACATCGAGCACCCGAAAAGCGGTGGCTGTTTTCCGGCATTTTTTTGCTAAATTGAAATTTAAATAGCAATAACACGACACGGCAAAAGTCGATATAGAACTGAACAATCGAGCTTTGGTTAAGATTTTACTTAGAATAGTATCGGTTGTAAGGCTATAGTATGGCTTGATATCTATGTAGTGACCACTACTATGATATCGAACATTCCGTTCTTATTCACCTTCCAGTGAATATTAATAATCGATAAATTACCCTGACTTTATCTATATAATATTATATATAATGTAAATTCTGTTACAAATGAGTGGACCAAGCTACCAGTATAGTAGTATATAGATAATAAGTAGTTGACACTTATTTTTTGTAATCCAGTTTAAAGCCAAAAGACAAACAATTTTAAGCTACTTATTTAGAAATTATTTAAGTTCGACATATTGTTAACTCAGTTAACTTAATTTGACTACATTTAATTTGACAGTGACATGAATCAATTTTAACAAAAAATGAAATTTAGAGGTTTAACTCAAATATTACCGCCCTCAGAATACAGAACGACTCCCGGGACCAACCGAAATTCGGTGACAAAATTGCATTAGTTTCTTTTCATTTTAACGAAATTGTATCTGTATTCACAGCAACGACCTTATTAATATTCCACTTAGTGTGAGTGAGGGTCCACCTAAACATGCAACTCTAAAAATTAAATAACGACACAGGCAAAAAATAACTTAATTATTTTAATTAGAGCATAATGATATAACCTAAATAAACTCAATCATTTTCACTATAAATATTTGATTACATGTTCTTAAACTAGTACCTATTTATCAATTTTTAAATCAAAAATATTAACTTGACAGTTGATACAATTTCAATTTGTACAGTGTGAGCCGTGCTTAGTGAATAAATTAAATAATTAAACACTGAAGTTATATCGTGTCACAAGATGACACACAATTAATTCAAGCGAGATAATTAATTGCACACAAACTTTACAATTTTGATTTATGATTACCAACTCTTGAGCATCCGTAATGGAACTACAATGTTAATTTCTACGGAGGTCATCAATCCTAAAATTTCCAAAAAGTGAATATTACACAGTGAAGTGACCTATTATCATGGTTCAGCAGGCGCCACTAAGAATTGCGCAAAATTCGCACTCTTGATAAATCTTCCAAATTAGGAATAAATTAGGTTTCGAATTACACAAATTACGCATAAGTTTTATAGTATAACAAGAACTCAAACCTTGACTGCTATTTCACCATGTTCATGATTGACGAATGTTAGAAAAATCTATTGTATGCAGATGACACCAATCATTAAAACGATTAGGCAACGTAATTAGGAAAGTTTTCACACAAGTGTTAATTACAATTAAGTAAGTACGTATACTTCGGTTAACACAAATTGTAACAACTGATACATCTCTTGCTTAAAATTATTAAATCATACTTAAGTGCGATTATTTCGATTTGGACTGGAATGTACCTCGTTACGTAAAAAATGGTTTTAGTGTAAAATAATAAAACAAATATTTAACCTAGGTCAAAAACACTATATAAATCTGCTTATCTTAAACTTTCACATATTCAATAATTTATTCAATGACAGCACCCAGAATCATCAATAATTTCCAAAAATAAAAAAATTGTGTTTGAAAAATCGAGTTTATTAGCATTTCGTTAGTGAGCGAGTGCGAAGAGTATACAGTAATTCCTCGGCAAAGCAGTTAGACCTTGACATCGATGAATCTATTGCCTAATTTCAGAGCGGTTCAAAATCTGCACTTGAACCTGACTCGTATTCAGAAACTTGTCTTTTGTTTCATAACTTCATAACTGCATGGTCATGTCTCGGACAAGATTTATGATCCAGAGTAAAAGTAAATTATTACTTTACGCAATAATTTTATAGTGTAAAAACGAATGGATCATTTTGACGCAACCTTTTGTTCGATGGACAGGTGTCATATTAATAACTTTCCGTTTCAAAGACTGCTCCGGAACTCGGGAGGATAACGTTGATGTTTTGACACAACTTGCAACTGGTGTCATGTTATATTTTCATTTCAAAAACACAGACCAGAGATCTATATTTCAAAAAATATCATTTTTTACACTGGAATTTTTATTAATAATTTAGAGTCATGTGGCATCCGAAATTCTGCAGGGAACTTCACACTACAAATGGCTCGATGATCTTCGATTGCTGTTAGGACTTGTTCGAGACTCTTCGATGGGTGTTGACAGTTGTTCGAATGCTTCCGATGCCTGACGAAGACTATAAACAGTTTTATACACGTTAATTTAGTGATGATAAATACCAAATTTTATGAAAAACAAACACATAGGTGAAATGATTTTGAATCGATTTTTTGAGAGAAATTTAACATTAGTAATGTCATAATGTCAAACATCCACAGAAAATTAAATTAAATTAAAAACAGAATATACCTATATCATTTTTATTGTTGATTATACGACACCGGCTGACCTTGGTTTACTTAGATGTTGAAGATGTTGACATAGGTTAATAAGTGAGACTTAAGTCATTCCAAATCTACATAGCAGGTTGTCAAAATTTTCCGCTTCAAAATTTAGATAAATTCAAATAATTTAAATTACTGGAAAGTGTGCAGTAAGTTACATTCAGTGACAGCAAGGATAATGAAGATTAAGTGCTTGAGTTTTTTCATTTTATATAGATTCTTATGTTTTTTTTTCAACTTGTGTGAATTATATGTATGTCTTTGGGTTCAGTGTTTCGTTTTTCGCTAATTACAATTTTTACTTAGTTTTAAGTAGTATGACAATTTGCTGTGTTGTAACAAACTCTAGGGTAATTTTCAATTCATTTACACACAGATGTCCATAAATATTTGATAGCAAAATATCACTGGAAACATAAATGTGTCAAATTAGCCGCTCACCTTTATAGAATCTTCACTATCCGTTCCCAGATATGATGGTCACTTTGGCAGTACATAATGTTTTGCCTTATTTCGACAAGGCGGCACTTCGTTGTGATATTCATTTACGAATACTTTGCAGTACAAAAAAACTAACATCCCTGACTGTTTTTGTATGACTTTTGAACCATGTAGTCACCATTTTCCAGTGGCAAAAAAAATACGAATATAAAATTTTGCCAGAAGCGTTAATAATTTTTCATTGACATTGATATAGTCAAGGTAGTGTCTACATTGACTGAATATTGCAAAACAATGCAATAGTGTAAGTGCCTTCTTACCTAAAAGCGTACACTGTAAAGTCGGTGACCTTGTAGTGATGATGCAAATTTACAAACAAATCGAGTTTTTCGCAAATATGTAAATATTGGTGTATATGTTGCAAAAATATCGACTATGGTATTTTTCGCCCTGGAACTGAGAATAATGTACACATGCCACAGAACACATTTGAAAAAAATATATACTTAACACAATTCCAAACACATCTATAATCACGCCAGCGAAAAACGTATTTACGTGGATGTTTCACAGCATCGCTTGTGTGCATGTGTATAATTACGAACTGCAGATACACCTACTTTTACGCTTATTAGAGAATATGGTAAATATAGCCTAGAAAAATTCAAATGTCGCTACCCGATGATGTGATCTACATTATTTTGGAATTAGCCTTGATTTTGTTAATATTTGTCTTATGCAACCGTAACCAATAAAAATCTGCAGGTAACCCATTGCCTAACATGTTATATGGTACACTTGACTTTTGATATGGTTGTGAAATTCGCGAAAATAATAAAATCATTAAAAAACTTAAAACTTGTAAGAAACGAATTATTTTAATGATTTATAGAAACTTCATTGGTTTTAAATTGTTAGAAATAAAAATTAATTTTAACAATGTACAGTCTGTCACCACTCGTCATAACACTAACGAAGAAACACAAAACACAAGTTTGGCGCCTTGCGCAACTTCTATTGAATGAAATTATTTTGAATGCCACGACTTTTCTCACTATAATCGTGTCTAGTTGAAGATAAATTGATAAACAAATTTTCAGATTTTGCAATAGATGTTTCCCACTACTGCAATGGTGGGGTTTTATGCAAACTATATATACCCATAATGAATTGTTAAAATCATTTGGTGATATTTAATTTGTCGAGCCTATCAGTGAACAATGAGAGTGCATCTTGCAGTAAGAAACCAATCTGGTCCTTATTTATATTTTGAAATTGTAATTTCAGGTTTTTTTGGTTGTTATGTTGGTGGTAGTGTGTCAGTGCATACCGTACGATGACTCCGACCCTACCCTCAGCCATGGATATGGCGACGACGATTACCACCCGGCCCAGGACCAACAATTTTTTATACTGAAAAAGCTCAAACTGCTGGGTCTAGGTTTACTTGGCAAGAAACTTTTTGGTTAATTTGTGATACTCATAGTGTAGATATAGGTAGTTAAATTATTTTGTACTTAAAGTCGTAATAAATTTTTAATTAATTTTTCTCTTTAATACATGATGGGGAAATATAATTGATACTTACAAATAAAAACAATATACAATAGTACCCAAAACGGATATTCTAAGTGAATAACAAATAAAGTATAAAGTTCGATCTCGCTGACAAAATATACAGATTAACATATTAACAAAATTTCTAAGATCAATAATATAAATAAAACTTAAAAAAGGTGTAAAATAAACAATTTTAACTATCTCCGTCAACAACAATTAATGCTGATTGAATGTGGCAGGTTTGTCGTACAGGAGCCTCCATTTGGTCTGACATACAGAAAATTTCGATACGAGCACCTAAATCAAAAGTGCCCGGCTTTGAAACAACCGCCGAAAGATTCACCGGTTCTGTAGACAAAGGTTTCAATTCTCTAACTGCACTTCCAGTCCCCAGCCAAGAAAAATTTTTGGAAGCATATGGATAGAATAGATCAGAGTGAGAGAGAGGAAGTCCGCTAAAACAAAACAATAGTTAGTTTCAAACAACCGCACACTCGTGGCGGGAGATTTAAATCCGCACGCATGCGTGGAGCGAAACTCGATTTTTCTAACACGCAAGCCCAAGATTTGAAATTTCCCGCCAAAAGTTGTATTGGAAACAGAGCCACAACCAGTTTGGTAATGTACTTTAACTTTTTCAGAATATTAGGTATTCTTTTATCGTTTCATTATAATGAAACAACCTAACCTCACTTATTTAGTCAAACTGACACAATTATATACAGAGTGATGCACGAAAACACGTGCAGCTTTCACAATACTAATAAAACTTGTTATACCTCGTACTTCCCAAAGTGTTGATAATAACGTTCAAATCTGCAGAATTCTCTATGTTATGTAGTAGCAACTTCACAGGCACGATGCAGAACTTCTCCTTGCGGAAATTGTGCTCGACTACCGCCGGATAAATAAGCGTACACGTGACTTTGGTTTCATGACCGGTCTGACTTTCGCTCCGTTTGTCTTTATTTAAGCTGACTTCTAACAACGTTGCGGGGTCGCTCAAAGCTGCAAACTCGTCGACGTCTATTGGAGTTTCGTTAGTTTTGTGAACCGTGAAAGATATTTGGGTTTGACCGTCGACCACCCTTTTTTGCGGGTCGTTGACTAGGGCTTGCCATTGCACAAAAACCGCTCCGTCTGCGTTTTCGTCGCCTTTAGGGTCACCCTCGTCGAACAAATTCAGCGGGGAATGCTCGTGTTTTTTCGCGAAGGCGAGGTAGGCGGAATGAAGCGACTGTCGGGTACTTCTCTCATGATTTAAGTATATGTTAGAGTAGGTACTTTTCTTTTGGTTGGTTCGTTTCGCTTTTAGTAGAATGTGTGCCGATTCCTGAGAGTGTAAGTTGATGTATTTTGGGGTGACGATGTTTTCGGTGAAGGTCCAAAATTTGCTGAGCATTCCGACGTTAAGGAGACTGATTTCGGTTAAAACGGAGTTGTAGAATTTGTTTAGGTTTGAAGTTTTGAGGACTAGAGCGACTTCTTCGACTTGTTTACAGCTGAAACTCTCTTGCACGGTGGCTTCGACTTTTATGGATTCTTGGACTGATAAAGTCCATTTGTGTCTGACAAGGCGATATCTTAAATTCGTGACGTTATTAAAGTAGGAGGGGTTGAGCAGACTTACCTAGGTACTACTCCGGTGTTCACGTTTTCGTAATAAATAAGTAAGTCGATGAGACACGGTCCTGGTTTATTAGGCGCTTTAATGAAAATGGAAAGGGTTGTACTTTGACCTGGATCGAGTCGGTCGTTTGGAAGTGGTACCGACGTGATGTGATTCTCTCTAATCAGTTTTTCTTTCATTGCAGGCGTACAATTGGTTAGAGAAATTTCAGACTGTTCTTTAAATTTGGATTCACAGTTACACAAAAATTGAGGAGCAGAGGTCGCCATGTACACTTTATGTAAAGGAAGAGTACCGGTATTTTGAAAATCGATCACCACTCTTTGTACTTCATCACATAAAAATTCGGAATTAAATTCTGAGAAAGTAACCTAGAAAGTTAAGTAGGTGGGTATTAAGTACTAAAATTGGTGATGAATGTCGTACCTGGAGACACGGCGCCAGTGGTACTACTTTAATTTCTACACTTTTACTATCAAGGGTGCCATTTTTCATACTATTTTTTAATTCCGACTTGATATTAAACAGTTGTTTTCCTTGAATAGAGATATTATCTGTGGCTAAGGTATAACAAATCCCTTTTAGCGTGATCACCCCAGTTACAAGAGGAGTTAGCGAAAGTACGACATTTTGATTACAACTTTGTTGGATTGAAAGTGACTTCGTTACGTGTGTTTTTACATAATCCTTAACCTCAGTTTCTGGATCTTCGTTCGACACGGAAACGTCATCACTTTCAAAATACCAAAGTAAGTAAATGTCTTTCATTTGTAATACGATTTGTAAAGTATTATTAAGTTGTATGCAGACTTGAATCGGTTCATTGACAATAGCAGTCGGACTATTTTTTGTTAAATTAGTAACACTGTATAGTGTTATCATTGGTTTAAAAGTAAGCGGAAGTGACCCATAAGCTTCTTGTACTAATAATTCTTCTAGTTTATTCCACCTAGTCACAGCCTCGGCGTTATCCGGGTCCACGAAATTTACTCCTACTGCAGACACTTTACCCGGGGTACTCAACGGAGGTGTCGGTTCCATCAACAACTTCAACGAATCGTTATCTAAGTCAGGTAGCGCCAAAATCGGAATGTCTTTTTCTTCTTCTTTCTTCAACTTATTCTACAATCGAAACACAAATTAGTCAATTTCAAGTCGCATATTTACACCACTTACCCCCAATATCGTTATATACTCCTTCAAAAACACACTCTGCTGCTGACCCGACTGTTTACTATCCCCGTTAAGTAGCTTCGCGAAAGATTTAACCGCTTCATCAAACGAGTGTAGGTTATGAGCCTGCCTTCCAATAGTGTAATGTATATGGTCCTCAGCCAAATCCCAGCCGCTGTTCTCATAAACCTGATGCGCTTGTTTGTAACTTCGTAACGAATGTTTTCGTTGAGCAGCTTTAGAAAATCTGTGACCCGCTAATACCATGTGAAACGCGTATTTTCTTACCATTTTTGAGTGCAAAAAACAATAAGCTGCTTGTTCTAAAAATAGCGCGGACCGTAAGTCTGATTCTTCGCTTGTCATTCTAATAAGTTGGTGGGCGGCTTCGCCGTATAAACCGCGACTTTTCAGACACTCAGAACTGAGGAGAGTCGCTCTGGTGGCAAACTGGGGCATCCTTAGAAAAAAAAAATTTAACTAATAAGTTTTGCGTTTTTATTACACAGTTCGTAGACATACTTGCACGTGTTTAAGTAAGTCGTTATGCTTTCTTCCATATAGTCGTATGTCTTTCTGTTTGATTCGTTTGCCATAAAAGCTGAGAGTGCTGCCATTTCTAGTGCGCCTGCGTAGTAAAGCCAAGCTTGGTCTGTGTTATAGTCCCGTTTTGCCAAATGATATGCTTGAAACGCTAGAGTAAAGTGGCCGAACATGAAATATAGATCACCTAATCGTCGTACTTGTAATTCTGGTGAGTCTGGAGCATATCTACAATACAAATAATAACAACCGCAAACTTATTAAAAATCTTACATTAAGTTATTCACAGCGACAGAACTAGCCCCAGGTTTGTTAGGATTGAACCATCTTTTAGTCGCGCTAAACAAAGACCTACTAACACCCTTTTTGTTTGATATAACGTCACTCAGTTGTTGAATTTGTTTTTCAATGTAAGGCAACAAACAGGTTTTACAAAATTCATGCAAAAATAATTTCACTTGTTCTACGTCTTCAGTGGATAAACAAAGACCGTGCACTTTTAATTTTACGTTGTTTACGATAAATCTGTCCTTATCGTTACTTGAAGAATTCTGAAAGCACAAAGAATAATAGCACTAGTCGCAGGACGTCGCACCTACATAAAATTTTGTTGCAGTTATTTTTGTTGCGCATGAACAGTACAATTGAATCTAGTGATTTAAGTCGTCTAGCGGGCCATGAAGTCGATTTTTAAAGTACTGTAGTGTTGGCGCTCCTGGTTTAGTTTGACACTTGAACTGTCAAATCGTATTTTAAATAAATTTCGTGGCCTACTAGACGAGTTTAATGATTATAATACAATACAAACAATAAAATTTTATGTTGATTGAACTAAGTTTTGTTGGTGATCCCGTACCATTATCAGTTCTTCAGTATCAGGGCTCAATGGGTGATAATTAAGGTTCGTTTTTGTGTCATTATCCTGGGTGGAGTCAAAAACCGCCCGTGTTGTGTATGGCGAACTTTCTGGTGTTGGTTTATAATCTCTTGATTCTATATTATTGTGAATAAATTGGCTCCACGGATCTGGTAAATGTTCGCTGTTTCCTGCTCCCGGAGGCCGCGAGTTCATTCTCAAAAGAAAGCAGTTAGCTTCTCCGTAGGAACTTTTAATTGATTCATAAGCTTCACTCGCTCTTTCTATATTTCCTTCAACATTGTCATGGATAATCACATAGTACTTTAAAATGTTTGAGCTAAACCATTTGGGTAACTTTCCGGGGGCGCTATTTTGCATTTGGTTTAGGCTTTGCGCTAGCTGAATAAGACTCTCCACCACGTTAATTTCACCCGACGAAACCACCAAAACACATGATAAAAAATGCTTGGTGTATTCATGATCTGACGGGTATTGGACCCTCAGAAACGTATCTCTCCACGCTTCAAACCACGGCGTCGATAAAGTAATGTTTAATAAATGATCATTAGTTGTAAAATTCTCGCTCCTGAAATCTGACAACTCACTTACAGAAGTGTTTAAAAACTTCCTGGCCAAAGTGGTTTGAGGCGGGCGCGAATTTACATTTAGGAAAGTCAGTTTGAGATTCCGTATCATGATAACTGCACCCGTCGGGTCTTTATAATGAACTACAACAGAAAGTCAATACAAACCTACAACTAAAATCCAACATACCATCGTTGCTCAATTTTGAAAAAGGCTGAAGCAACTCTATGAAGGTGAGGTTGTTTTTTTGGCAGCATTTCTCTGCAAGAGGGGTACACAACACGGCAATTTGCGGAGTGAAGGCGTTTTTTATGAATTCCTGTGAAGTTTGTTTGCACTGAGCCATTGTCAGGTTATGTGTGCCGCCAAGTCATCGATCCCAATTTAAACTTACTGTACATGTTAAATAAAGTCAGAGATAATTATCCATGTGTGGTGGTTTTCTTGCCTCTTAAATTATGACTAACACGAAAAAAATCAGCTGCACATCAGCTGTTTATGCAAAGTGAATGAAGTGACAGGTTGATAGGGTTGACAGGTGCCATATGCAACTCGGTAAAACAGGAATCTGCACCCATTTTACGTTTCCGCGTTTATTCATTAATTTTTTGATTGTTTGGTGCTTTCTACAAAATATAGTTTCATAGGAAAGTCAAAACCACGAATAATAATTAATGAATTGTCTCCGCTTGTGGCGATTTTTAAAAAGTGCGCATGTCACGAAAGTAACTAACAAACTAAAAATCCCTAGATGGAGAAAACGCGGGAAACAACACAAACGTAACCGGGTTCGTTGTTGTCTTTAATCTCAAACAAACAGGGGGTGGCTTAGTTTGCAGTTCGGTTTTAGCACACCTCCTCACCGTATAACATGAATTCTGAACGGTTAATCGGTTCACCCATCAAACATTTAATCAAACCGCGCCCTTACACAGTAATTGTTGAGGGAAACATTGGAAGTGGAAAAACCACGTTTCTTAATTATTTTCAGCAGTTCGACGATGTTAATGTGCTCGCAGAACCTGTTAATAAGTGGAGGAATTGCAATGGATACAATTTATTGGTATGTCTGTTCGTGAAGTTGTTTCAAAATGTAACTGTGACGCGTTGTAGGAAAAAATGTACATTGACCCGAAAAAGTGGAGTTTCACTTTTCAGTCGTACGTGCAGTTGACGATTCTTCAACACCACACTTTAATGACGAGGCACCCCATAAAATTAATGGAACGGTCGATATATAGCGCAAGGTATTTAGTAAAAATTTTGTATTTTGTATTTAACAAAATTTTTGTAGGAATTGTTTCGTGGAACAAATGGCTAGAACTGGAAGTATTGACTGTTGTTCTGTCTCTGTGATGGATGAGTGGTTCAAATGGGCCCAAGAAAGCTGCGATTTGTCAGTGGATTTAATAGGTAAGTGAAAAACCACATGTGAAGTAAATTAACGTGGGACGTTATAGTGTACCTGAGGACGTCACCGAAAGTCGCACATGAGCGCACATTGAAGCGTAATCGTCGAGAAGAACAATCAGTGCCTTTGGAGTATTTCAGAGACATACACAACCTGCACGAAGACTGGCTCATTCATAACAAATTCAACTGTCCGGCACCCGTTTTGGTAATTGATGCAGATCTAGACCAGTCTGTCATTCAAAAAGAGTATTTAAAGTGCAAAGCGCAAATATTTACGAGTAAATCATTGAAAGTTTAGTGTAAGCACTTTAAGTTAACCTTTAAGGTTTAAAAATTATTTTCTTATTGCAACTGTGTATTTTATGTAGGATCGTTTTAAATTTCATTTGTGTAGTTTTCAATTTTAATTAAATAAATATCATCTAAGTTTTAATTTTATATTTCTTTGAACATTACAAGAATCTGGTAGAAAAAATTGTACAAATTATTTGAGACACGCGAGATCATTGACAGATGTCACACTTTTGGATCAGTCTTGACAAGTAGTTTGACATCTGACGTAGATTCTAGATCAGTTAAGCGGTACCACAGAATCAAATTGAAATGACCAAAAGACAAATTTTGTCACTTGATTATAAAATTAACGTATGTAAACAACAGTTCAAATTAAAAACAAAATCAACCTAACAAAATATACCTAATAACAAATGATTATATTTTTTAAGTATTCAGTACAACAACCATACTTCTAAAAATCACTTTATATCACAAACTTGTTACACTTTAGAAACAATTTCTCAAGTTCTTACCAGTGTTGTTTACATTGCAAATAATAACGTTTTAAATATTAACACTCCACTGATAAGAACGTTAAACAGTGGATCAAACATTTGTTCCAAAAATTCATACAAAAATATACCTATGTTGTTGAGTTTATGCGAAACTAAGTTTCTACAATAGTACAAATTTGTATTTTGTTCAGTTTGGTAGGGAATGACAATTTTATTTAAAATTTTTCGACCAACGTTGCACCGCGTCTTGTTGACTGGTGTCCCACAACGTTTTTGACAGTTTGCCAACTGTAGCAGCGGTAGTTTCATTTTGAATCCAATCTAGTAACAACTGGTAAATAACCTAAAAACAAACAATCACAATTTGTTGTAAAAATCGTTTATACACACCTCTTTGATTCCAGCGCGGCTGTAATCTTCGTAAAATTGACTGATTTGGCCATCTGAATAGTCCAACAATCGGGCGGTAGTTCGCCAGTGTTCGTTCATATGTGGCGACACAAAAAGTAGATGTTTTCGTTCAACGGGCACAGTACTGTCAAACAAGGCGTTTATGGCATCAGTAACAACATAGTCTTTTTGTGAGCTATTTTCAGTTTTGCTGTTCATGTATACGTTATAGTTTGATCCAACGTGAATTCCGTTAGCATTACTAATATTAATTACGCTAGCGTAGGCTACAATGATACGATAAACTTAACTGTGATGAATCTGGTTTTATTTTACCTGTATGTCTCGCTTTTTTTGGTTTTCCAAAAACTTTCGGTTTTGTTTTGATTTTAGGGTGGACATTTATGTGTTCCGGTTCTTCGTATTCGTCCTTTTTTTCATTAATAACTTCGTCTCGTGGAGGGCTTGGAATGGCATCGGTGGTTAGGTCATCGTCTGAGTTACTTTGTCCAGACATTTTTCGTTAAAAAATATCGACTCCGTGCACTTGTTATTGTATTATCAACGTCCGTTTTATCAGTTTTATGCTGTGATAAACTTTACTCTTACAAAAATTTTCATTCTATGTCCTTGTGTGATGTCACTACTCTCCAGTCCAGTACGACCTACTCGTGTTTTATTTTATCACAAAACGTTCAACCTCGTCTATTCAAACTTACAATGTTTACATTTATTCACTTCAACGCACGCACCGATGGATTCCTACAAACTGGAGAATTTAATGAATATTAATGGAGGGAGCGGGTTCGACCATATTGCGAAAGTCACGAGAAGTACATGGGCGGAGTTAACACAGTCGCATTAATGCATACGCAATGTGGTCACATGGGTGTACTTTTGATATTCTCTCTGCGAACTATCAAAAGTTTGCGGATGACGTTCTCTGCTATGACTATTAAACATAAGATAAAATCCTGGGGGAAATACACGGCGGGTAAAACGAATGTGTGTTGCAAAAACCAAAAAAGGGGAATTACTTCGCGAGATGTGCTGAAAATTTGGCAAAATATTGTGAGAATTTCCGTCACAGTACGGTTTTGCCGCTTAGCCGAAAACAGGAACTATATAATTAAACGGTCAAATATGGCCGTGGATTTTTGTAAACTGTTTGTTTTATAAGTTAAAAGCATCAGGTATTTATTGCAACGTCCGGCTAGAAAAGCCCTATAAAAAGTAAACCCAGTTAGCATGAAAGCTACTTATCAGTGTGTTACATCTTTAATGTTGCAAGGTTAACGACGAAGTTAGCCTTGTAAGAATTTAACTATGGAATAATTAATATTCGGCTGTGGCTCACAATGGACAAAATCAATTTGTGACTTGCAAACCGAATTTTCCCTCGCACTTTGGTGTCGAAATCGTTTTAAATGTGATAAGTATTTAATCTAATCGTGTCATCAAATTTTCTATGGTGTCAGAGGGTATTTAGCGAAACTGAAATTTCGAGGAAATTGAACATACTACATAGAGACTACGAGCAAAGTAGTTTAGTCGCACATCATAATATGCACTTAACAAGCAAGAAGCGCATGCGTACTAACAAATTATTATTATACACAACAGCAATTTTTTAATTTAGTAAACACCAAAGTATCGTTGTGATGTTTTTTGAAAGTTGTCAGGTCGTGATCGTACGATGTGGATGCAATGATTGTTAAATAAATGTAGGCTTGAAATTGTAACAAACAATTTTTTATTTGGTTTAATTCAATACATCATAGATAAATAAACGTCAGATTAATATTGCACATGATTGAAAAATGCCTATGTCAAATGGACGTAATATAATATGCCATATGATAAAATGTAAAATGAAAAAGTGAAGAAAAAGGATGATGCGTAAAAATGATCAACAAATAATGGCAACGCTACAATAAAATATAACTATATTTACATAATGTAGCTGGGTATTTCGTCCATTTAAAAATGAGGCGTAAATGTTCCGCTTAACATAAAACGACTAAATAAAATCGTGTCAACTGACATGTCAAGACATTGACATAAATAAAGGATAACATATAGAAGAGACAGTAGTGCAGTGACACGGAAGCCAGTTGGGGGTTCGGAAAGGTACCAGGTTAACAAGAAGGCACAAGCAGCGGCAGCTGTCTAGCACTAGCATTAGCAGGTGCCAGTCAGCAGAGTGGAGTGTAGAACGGCGCAATACCCTGTGAATTATCGACGAAAATGTACCGCAGCGCATTCGGACTTAAGATGGCTTTACTGAAGACATCCAATGGTGTAGTACACAAATAGATACGTACATACTGTCGAGGCACTGTGAGTAAGGCAATCCTACAGTAGTTCAGTGGAGATAGGGTCATCCGTGTGAACACGGACAGCCGGGTCGAACCGACATTTAAACTTTAAAACTATGTGCAAGGTTTGTGCACACAACAGTAGATAAAATATATCTATATATTATATAATGTATAATTATATAATTTAATTTGTGTAGGTCAATATACAGAATAGATATCGTACTCTGAAATCACAAACAAATTGAAAAGGCTACAACAATGAACACTCTAGGTTCCAATGGGGAAGCAGTACAAATACAGTACATTCAACATTGACGGGCGGACGGACGGACGGACGCGCCGACGGTCGACGTTCGATTCGTTCAAAACCGACGCACTGACACCGACCCGACGCGTCCACGTACCGCCCGCACCAACAGCCAGTGGACAGAGTACATCCGATTCAGGTTGGGGAAAGCACCAATACATAACAAGAGTAGTGTCCTGCATAGTCTCAATATGTTTGTTAGTGGCTGCATCCTCGCTAAATTAACAAGTGTACATTATAAATAATATACTATTTATCTAAAAACATTTATAAAAAAGACACTAATAATTACAAGAAAATAATGGCACTATATATTATGTTTGTTTCTGAGAACAAATGTTGGCGCCAGCATATAACGCTGTCGCTGACTGGAACCACGACACATTCACCACACTAACCCATTCTATATAAATCTTATCCTCTCTCGCGCTCTCTCTCTTTCTCTCTACAAAATCGTTTTTTTATATATTTTTCACTGATAAATGACTACAAATTTCATAAAATATCCAGTTTTACTAGACTCGTAGTTTATCACATAGATGACAATTGGCAATAGAAACGCGTTCGGTTATCCACACGTTATCACTATGGCACTTAGCGTCTCGTGCGCCGGTCTAGGATGGCCAGTCTGTGAGTCTTGCTCGCTTATGCATCTGTATATTTTCGTAATCACCACCACTAGGCGGTCCCGTCGGCGACGGCAGATTCGTCGGCGTGACACTACCAGGAGTCGGAGTTATGTGACCGGCCGAACTGGGCCTCGGATGATGGCTGTGCGTCAGGTTAAGACTCTGCACGTGCGAATGATGAACGCCGGTGCTCAAATGCGGATGATGTTCTCTTGGAGGCGATATCGGTTCACTCTTTATTTTAACGGGTATGGGTGAGGACGACGACGGCGGCGGCGTGCTACTGGATACGGCCAAATGCGGCAAACAGTTACTACTGTGTGTCAGAGCTGTAGATATTTGGTGTCCGCTCCACGATATGGAACTCAAACCCATGTCCGGGCCCATGCTAAAATCCTGCGCGCCGAACGATGTCAGAGTGCCGGGATAATTCGACAGTCCGGGGGTTTGCAGTGCCACCACTGGCGTATTCAAGGTCGACTGGGTTCGATTATGCTGAAAACAAAAACCAAACGTCAACCGACACTTGTCATCCTAATACTTGTACTCTCGTTACGTCGTATCAACGTATCATCATCCATCATCGACCGTTCGCTCCGGTCGCGTATGCAAATGGTCGACCTACGTCGTGTCATTTTTGCAGAGCCGATCATCGACCACGATAATAAGTGGGGCATTAAAATAACGGTACGAAACGAAATCGAACTAAAAGCCCGAGGCTACTTACTTCTCCGTACGAAACTTCTTCCGGGGTAATACTTGGTCCTAGTGCCGTAGGTATGACGACTCGGAGGTTAGATCTCGGGCCGGGCGAATGTTGCTTCGGGTGTTGCTTTGAGGAACTAAGACCCGGTCCCGGGCTCGGCCCTGGGGACGGCGAACCACCCATCGGTGACGCCGAATTCGGGTAACCGTTGCTCATCTCGGGCATACCGCCGCTCGGATAAACCGAGTCGGTCTCCGAAGAAGACGGTCGAGGACTAATACTAGTATGAGCCATTTGCGGACTAGATTGAAGAAGACCAGAATCACCGTAACTTATGTTAACAGGCACCGAGACGGGTTGGGTGTAATTTGAAGAACTCATGCTGACCTGTTGGCAAAAAAAGCATTTCAGGAATCGAGTCCGCGCACCGCGACCTAAATCGTCAATCTTTTCTTCTTTTTTCCTTACAACATCCCAACTTACGTACCCTTTGTCCGTTGATTTGGTTTCTCTGAAGCATCATTTGGAACTCCTCGTCGATCTTGCTGTATTTGGCTTCGGTCCGCGGCGTCAACTGGTATTCCGTCTCCGGCTCCGGACTGTCAGGACTCATCACGCCGTTCTTATGCTCTTTCTTATTAAGTGCCTGCAAGTGTCAGTGGACCAGCTCATGGAGAAACGCAGCCTCTGGGGCTATCATACACACACCACACGTTCTAATTATCTCTAGTTAAAAAAAACTCTCTACCACACGAACTAGCATTACAAGTTAGGATATCAAAACTGAAGCAACAACTCGCGTAAATAACAGGCAAATGCAGCAATCCGATAACTTAGTATAATAAGCAACAAAAAACGAGTAACGTGTTAGCTTTTGAAGAATATCAGTGTACGTATGTATGTAGGTAGGTAAATAAATCAGTCTCGATGAAATCAACACAGTTATCGTGTTTGCATCAGCCAAGTATCGGGCATAGTTGCTGCTGGGTTTGATGTACCTCGATAATATTTTTGTTGGTCAGAGACTCGTGTGGCTCGTTGTATTCCGTGTACTTGAGTAACACTTTGTCCATGTCCGTGCTGGCATACTGATACAATTTATTGCTGCTGCTGAAGATGATGAGAGCGATCTCGCAGTCGCACAAAACCGACAGCTCGTAAGCCTTCTTCATCACGCCGAACTTCCGTTTGTTGAAAGTAACCTGCGCCAAAAAGTTACTAGCGACGGCACTCGTGCGACAAATTATTATTATTAGTATTAGCGTACTTTAAGAAAAGGGAAAATTATTTTCAATTAATTAATTAATTACATTACACGAGCGTCGAACGCATTATCACACCGCGTGCAATTTTCCTTTTTCTACGAGCACGAAGAAATCGCTTCGATATTTATTGGTCAGTGGTTTGTGGAATTACCTGTCGATTCCGTTCGTCGGTGATTCTCGATATTTGTATTTTTTTGCGACCCATGGCAGCAATTTTGAATCACTAGATAGAAAACCCGTGTCGACTATACAGTGTGGCAATAGCCTAAAGCGCTGACGTATCAAAGAGCGGTTGTGGAGTATCACCTCGTAGTTGGTCGTCAATGATCTGAAACAACATCTCTGCTGAAATACGTACGTACTCTAAATCGAAAATCTCAGCAAGTCGTACGTGGAAAAATCGCTTAAAAAATATGGCCGCATCTGAAATGTTTTTCGATCGATTTTGCGACAATGGGGCAGATTTATGGTAAAAGTTGTGGTAATTTTTGATAGGGAAACGGGCCACCCGCAAACATAGTGACCTGATTTTGATCAGGGTAGTAGCGGATCGATTGTCGAGGGCGAACAAGGCCGGCGCGTGGCCCTCCTACGCGGCAAGGGCGATCTACCTGTATAGGTAACGGGTAGTGGATTAAACCACCCACCTACACTAAATTATGTTTATACAATTAAAGTATGGCGATGGGGGGACGCAAAAAATTGGCGAAAACTAAGTTCGTCGAGGCGCTCGGACGGCGGTTAACGCTCGAGCGAGGCGAGTATCATCGAAAGAAAAAAAAAACCAACAACAATAAAACAGAGAAAAAAAATAGCAAAAGTTGAAACGGTCGTCTTTCTTCAAGTTTAATCGCAAAATATAAACAAATTATGAAGTTATGACAAAAATAGAATAAGTGTACTATTTTTAATTGGTCGATAAAAGCATTGTTACTAAATATAGTAGCAAATCATCACAGAAATATAGACACGTAACAAATTGTTTGTTTTTGTTGTTAAAGTGCGAGCGGGTTATGCGTACGGAGAGTTAGTTCGGTGTGAAATTGGCGAATCGGCTCTCGGTACGGATCGCTCGTGTCCCAATAATAATAATATCACGAGTGGATCCATCGTTCGGTGCAGCGTCTTGCCGACGTCCGCGCTCGAAAAAACAGAAAAAGCCCATAAATAATGCATCCTCACTCATCTCGGCGAAGCAAAGAATGTATTTCCATAATTTAGCGTTATTGTGTACACGGGCCGAGGTTAAGAGTTCCCCGTATTAGCATAGATACGGCAATCCAAACTCAAACAAAATTTCGAACTCACCTGGCGAAAATTGAAGCACGGTCCGCTCGAACATGCTAAGATAAAGGCCGGTTCGGCGGCGGCGAGGCACTGCGACACTCGTGAAAAGGCTCCGAACTGAGCGCGACTTGGCAGGAACGCGGAGATCGCTACGACGGCTCGCAGGGAGAGAACGACGCGCACCACGCGAGAAAACTACCGAGACCGAGTCCCGGCACCCGGCCCGTGCCAAGCTGAGATGATACGCTGATACCCGCCACCGGAGACGGCCCGGCATTGGTCGATACGCCGCCGTGACGTCACGGGCACGCGGCCAATCGCCGCCGCCGTCGGTATCTACGCCGTTCGAGTCAGCTGGCGCGGGTAGCCAAGACGCGTGGGGTAAGCCGAGGGCCAGCATCTTGCGCGTCGCCGTGGTCTCCGATCTTCGACGCCTTCCGAGCTCTATGCGCTCCCTCGATGTCGCACGTTAACGCCGCCTGCACCGCTAATTATAGACCGAGTGTTCTTCTTCTGCACCCCGGCCGCGGATCGGATGTCGCACCTTACGAACTTTTCCTCGCCGAGGTATCGATTCGCTCAAATTAACGAAATCCCACTCAAAGAGGTCCGCAAGTCCAAGCAACGAACGATCCGCCCAAATTACAAAACTTTTAAGAATGTCGAAATCGAAAGACTATCACTATTTGAAATATTGAATGTATAATCGGGGTCGGACGCCAGGTGTAATCCAGCGTCCAGCGCATTCGATTCGATTAATAAGTGCGCAATATTTACGAGAACCTATCGAGTAACTACCGACATCTTATATCTCGCTAATACATGAACTGATTGATCCCGGTGTCGACGGCAAGCTACGACCTCTTCCGCAAACAAGTAAACAGCGAGCGGCTAAGCCCCAAATCGAATTTTTTAAATGCAAAACACGTGTTAATTAAACGAGGTCTCTTCCATCGTCATCGCCTCCATATGTCCAGGGCTTATGTAAATATGTTATTAGTTCCCGCTATAGCGCGATACCGTAAGCCTTAATCACATTGATAAAAATTACAGAAATAGGAAAAGATCTCCCTATGACGGAGATAAATAAAATCGACTGCACCTGTCAAAGTCGATTTCGATCGCATCAATAAAACTATTGATGCCGCGGACGCAAATTCAAACTCCGACTAGTAAAACAATAAAATCATTACACAACAAAGAGTATAACGATTAGTTTTCGGTTCTAGTGCGCCAAACACTTCATTAAAAATCCTTGGACCAGTTCCAAAAATATGGTGAAGTTTGCTTGGCATCAACATTTTTTAATTACGAATAAACTTGTACCGCTAAAATGCCATACTGCCAACACCATTTTTTTCAGATTATTCTCTAACAGGAAATTATTGACTATAAAAGGTTCGAACGCCAGACGTGCGGTTACACAGTATGTGCTCTGAGCACATGTGTTCCGGCAAGATTAATTTTTTTTTAGCAAATTCTACGTACATTTCAACTATCCATCCAGATTTTTACTTACGAGAAAAAAATCCTCCCTTCGACAAGTCAAAAGTCGAACGTCGAGATGAACGAACTTCGTAACTACAAAAACTTTACTCTTCGGATAAGCAACTATTCCACTTCTTAATTATTTCTAAAGTTGGGCCAGCGCCCTTTACTAAAGCTAATAGAATGTTCTCGCCGCCGGATTTCCGCTAAGACGGTGCGCTTACAGCTGTTTTGCTTGCTCCTGGATCACAGTTCCCCTACACTTAAAAGTGACGTTCTCGCCTTATCACATGCAATATGTAAAGTTATTCGTGAAAAAAAGGGTCACTTGAATCGTCGCAGTGAATGGTACTCGATCGAACCGACAATTACGATCTCGACCAGATGACCTACACTCGATACCGAAGGGGCAACCCAAAGCGGTGACCAAAAATCGAAAAGTACGACAGTCGAAATTTTCGACCTCTACATGTGCATGGGTATGCAAAATCGGCGCGGGTGGTGCCGGGCCCTCAGATGTGGTACCTGGGAGTCATCAACCGCACATAATGACTCTTCCACACGGTCTAGATACGCACGATAGAGGGATGTTGGGCGCCAAGTCCCTCCCGGTAGAAAATCGGAGTTCACCCCCCGTCCTCCCCCACCGACGAACACAAGCCGGTGCACGTGTTTTCCAGGCCTCTCCCGCTTTCCCGCCTCCCGGTTCAATCTTGACGGATCACGGCTCTCGCCAACGCGAACGGCCAGGATAAACAACGAACTCCAATTACAAATCGCACATTTTCCGTATTTTACCCAAAGGACACGTTAAATTTTGCCATTATTGTTTCTTGAAACAACAAACCCATTTGGGCGATGGAGACTTTTCGAGGGTTAGATTTAGATTATTTTTAGAAAATAAGAACGTCACTGATTTGTAGAAACTTTTAAACGACGACAATGGAATATAAAAGTTATTGACGGTTTAATGCTTTCTTGAAATCAACACCGGTGCCGAAACGTGGCGTAATAATTTCCGATAAGTAACAAAGTCGCTCGAAAAAAGTTTCAATTGCCTCGTTTTACACGAAATCTTTCGACCGTGCGTTTTCAACTTGTTGTCGTTTCAAAAGGAGCAATATAGAAGTATCAAACGATCATATTTTCTACTCGTTATTACATATTTCATTATGTTGTTTGTATACAAAGAATGGCAAATCTAGTTTACTAAATTCATCCATTAAAATCAAGGACATTCACTTCATTTGCTTTTTCATTTGTCGAAATTTCCGCTTTATCTTACGTGGAAAGAAATTTTTCATTAGATAGCAACATTAAAATACGCCGAGGGTCCTTATTGTTTCTTTGTACTGTTTACTCAAAATAACATATATAACAAGATGGTAGCATAAAGTTAACGTTGTCATATCTTAACGAACATGGTTACTCACAAAAATAGTATTTTTTACGAAGATCGTCAAAATATGAACACCCCTACATTTTAAATACATATAGGTTTGTTATTTCAAATTGCTCTTTCATTTGAATACGCTACGAAAATCAAAATTTTCCACAGTTTACGCAGATGAAAATTGATTAAAACTAAATATGTTATCTTCTTCTTAATAAGAAAGAAATACACCTTGTTTGTACATGATTATTACATCAATAGCGGCGTTGAATTTGCCGCCTCCTCGACACACGGATTATAATCAAAGCTAACGTTAAAGGTCACTAATGGCGGATATATCAAGTGACAAGCAAATTTAGACATTAATTTACAGACACTCTGTACTTCCTTGGTCGCAAAATGAAACAAAATATCGTCATTATCATTACCAATGGCCAGTTTTAGATTACATAAGTAGTACTTGAGAGAAAAAAACAAGCGCAACTGTCAAAATTACTCTATATTTCAGACCGTGCCATAAACAATAAATAAAAAATTTAGTTGGCCGTGGCTTTAAAACTGCAGTTGGCAATTCTGTTTTGTGAATGTTGCACTATGCGGCCAATTTTTTTTGAGGTTGAAATTAATTGCCAGAAATAAATTTTATAATTTGTAACTAGTTTCTAGGCAATTTTGACAATTTCATATTTTTCAAATATTCGTTTCTGAGATTGTTAAAACAGTTCAGTTTTGACACAATCTTAAAAATCAGACATTATTAAAACACCAACGTCACTGCATCGAATAGCTTCCATTAATATGTAACAATATTTTGCGATGACGTCATTGATTTTTGTATGGGACGTATAAATCAATTTTAGTTCGGTAACCTCTACATCAAGGTTAATATCTTAATAACATTTCGAAGAAATCCGCTGTGTAGCTGCCGAAATACACCGTCAAACTAATCGTCTGAATTTTTTTGGGTTCATCTATACGAGTAAAATTGAAAAGAGATGAGTTGTGAATTCATAGGAGCTGCAAATTTCAAGTGAGATTTTGCGATGACGTCATCTTTTTTTAAATATCTCTACACGATGAATTTCAACCGTCTCTTAGTAATTGTATCGTATATTTACAATGACAGATTTCTACAGAACAAAATCAATGAGAACTTTTTG